GAGAGAGAGAGAGAGAGAGAGAGAGAGCAGTAACGAGGCGAAGCACGTCTGGCACGTTTCTGCAGCCGTTGGAGGACAAACCCCCTTCTTGCCATCTGCCACAACGGCCATGGCCAGCAGCTTCATGGAATCATGGTCAGCAGCCCCACAGTGTACCGTACCGTCCATGGAGCAATCGAGAAGTGAAATAGGAGTTGGTCGTCTCCCGTCCTGTACAGCGGGCGTAAGAATGGATAGCCATATTCGTCCGTCCATTCTCCATCGCGGACCCCGATGTCTAGTCTGTTTGAAAGAAGAGAGCCTTGGCAATGTATGTGAGTGTATGTGAGTGTGTGAGTGTGTAAAGAAGAGAGTGTGTAAGTGAGAGAGAGAGAGAGGCCGACATAGTCTCGGTACAGGAAACAATCTAGCTTCCGTATCCGATGATACTGTTGTAGTATACGGTGACAGGTCTATAGCCAGATTCAGTCATTACACTGTGCATGCAGGTGGCGTGTATGTGTGTGTGTGTGTTCGTGTATGTATGTGTGTGTAGGTAGTGTATGTGCGTATTGAGATGGCGAGCTGCAGAACAGGTCAGGTAGCAAGTAGCGCTGCATGCCGATCGATGGTCCCCGCCCTGCACTGTGCCGCTGTCTTGTGTAACCCGGTATAACACAGCAGAATGAGAGCAGATTCTTTCTCAGAGCGCTTGCGAAGAGGTATACCTGAGGTATATCTGTCGTACAAATGCACCTGGCCCGCTGCATGCTGTATGGATATACATACAGTCTGCATCAGGAGATCATGATGGACATTCCCCGTCTCGGACCGATCACAGCGTGAATCTGGCAGAAGATGGTGATGATGGACTTCTAGATAGGTCGCCGTTCATCAGAGACCGTTGCCGCGTCCAGTCCCCGCTAGTACTGCCAGCTGGATAGGGCGTGCAACCACGCACAGCAGCGCAGCAATCCCTCTCGCAGGAGAAACACAAAAAAAAAGGGTCAGGTAGGTAGTTATTATTTGTAGTGGAGGTAGGTATGTAGCGGTGTTTCATCATCCCTATGATATTTCCAGCTGCGGGGCGTTTTTTTTTTTCAATTGTCTGTCGTCTTGTATGACCGGGTCCGAAGGTCTGAAGAAAACAGCCAAAAGGGAGCAGACAGGGGGGCAGTTGATTATGCATAAAGTGAGGATACTAACAGGTAAGTGACAGTCCCAACAACCAACAAGTCTACGACTGTACCAAGCAACAGCAGCTGATGTCGTGCACGGAAGATCTAGATCAGCACAAACCCTAGCAAAACCTTCTTCACACTTGTGCAGCGGGGAGGGCAGTCCGGTCACCGCAACAAAGTACGGCCGAGAATCTGCCAGAGAGCGAGCGGTGTTGCGAGTCTGCGAGAGATCGCCGGGAGCGATGCGGGATGCAACTTGGCATGAGCACGGTCGAATGAATAAAAGGTGGGCATCTGTATGATTTTTTGTTTTATATGTACGTCGAGCAGCTTAGACGAGAGGTTTGGGGAAGAGATCGTCGTTGGGTACTTGTGCAGCGCTGTTGTGTGACTGTCTGAGCAGAGAGATATGTAGGGCCACTATTGATTTTTATTCAAATACCTCCTATTCGATGAGATGCAAATTGCTCGTTAGAACTAGCAAAAGTTTCGCTTGGACCAGTTGACTAGGTATATACATACTTGAACAAGTAAGAGCACAGCGTCTGGTAGACACTATCACCGTAGGTACAGGATACTGTACAACGTTGTAGGCTGCTCCGACGGCTTGCTAGATACAGTATACCGCCTTGATATGAGTGGTTAGCAATCGCAGCCTGGAAGATACAAGTGTCTTGTCTGGTCTTGTCTTGACTTGTCATCTCTTGTACAACGGGTCCTACAGGGCAGTCAAAGAACGACTAAGCGTCCTAACGACAGAAATATAGAAAAGATACTATATCCAAGTTGTGTCCTGCAACCGTCACCATCTCTTGGCGGTGCTGTATAATTGGCCCTATCCCCGGGACACCCTCACCCCCACGCACCTCAACCACGACAACATCCCACTCCCTACTGCCCGGGCAGTGTCAACAACATGAACGTTCAAGCAATCAATCGATATGCTGTGCTTCCCTCCTACAATCCGCGCAGAGCCAACGCACCCTTCTCGTTTCATACTTCCATCGTACCTAGGCGATAGAGATGGGCGGGCCGAAACTCCCGGATATGAAAAAGTATATGTATATATACTTAAGTCTGTATTATCTGCCGTATGGCATGTCCTGAGGCGTACTACTGCTGTATGCTAGACTGCCAAGGTAGGTAGTCCACCGACGTCAACCGTAATAATAATAAGCGACGAGTCTTATTGTACGATCGTCCAAGATGGACGCAGCTGGCTAGCAGACGCTATGCTGGAAAGCCTTGTATTGGTACAGGTACGTAGGCAGTAGGCTGCTATGTATGCTGCCTGACTGTTGCAGTACAGCCGATCTAGATGACTGTAGTTATACAAGCTAAGAACTTTGTACAGGAGACGATTAGCCATCTGACCATTGTCGCAGCACTTATTTACTTACTTACTGTTCATTTATAGAAATCGGATGTTGCTCCAATGTACTGGGGGAAATAAGCTGCTAATTGAGTAACAGAAGCCCGGCGCAACTTTCACTTGAGCTGGAAGTTTGGAATCAGAGTTCCTCTTAGGATCTTCTCTTTGCATCTCCGGATCAGAATGTGTTTGTTGCCGATGGTAGTAGGTAGATGAAGTGAGGTATAGTAGAAAAGAAGAAGAAAAAGAAGAAAAAAGGCAATCGAGTCAGTATGTCAAAGTTTCACTTATTAGGGCTTGGCAATGCTTACGAGCCACTTCTCTTCGACTATACCGACTTTGTCATCATTTTGCTGCTGCTCCTATACCAGATCTTCTCGTGCTATATACTATGCTATGCTATGCCTTCTAGAACCCCTTTACTTAACTTTACCGTCAACCCTAGAGAATTCTCACTTACTTCGTCGCTGGCTCCAAGCTCATTATGAACCTTTCGAGGGTATAGCCGTCTTCATGTCTTTTTCTCCAGAAGATTCCAGAATCCAGTAAATAATTAATTCCCCCAAAAACCCCACCCCAGCAAACAAACAAAACCAGCCCAGAACACTGCCCCGGGCAGGTTCAATGCGAGTCGAGTCGAGTGTTTCCTTTTTTTTCCTGTTGAAGTTCACGGAAGAAAAGAAAAGTTATTGGTTTCTACCGTACGTTTTTCGAGACTTGCAAGGAAGGATTGAAGACTTATGCTGCAGAGTATATATATATATTGTAGTGAGATTGGGAGGGATGATAAGGACTGGGTGATGAGGGAAAGGGCGATGAGGACTAGAGCGGCTACGCCGGCTAGATTGATGCTGGAGTGATGGAGGGGAGGGATAAAGGCAGGGGGACGGTTGAGGTTGGGGCACTCGACGAGGACGGATTCTGAGTGGGTTACGAAGCAGGAGGACAGTTTGAATTGCATGAGTGCAATCAGCTTTTTCCCCTATACGCACACACTTCAGTAGAGTAGGAGGTAGGTAGAACCATCTAACTTCTCCACGGAACCTCATAACCAAAATCAATCAACCCATTCGGTACCTATACTCAAAAATCCTCAACTTTCAAACTCCTCCCCGCCTCCACCTCCCGTCTCCAAATCCTCCTCTCCTCACTCGAATTCACTCCAGGTCCATTATACACACTCCCATATTCATTCCCCGTCGCATAATCCGCTCCTTCTCCCTCCTGATTCTTTTTCGTAAAATTCCTCCTCGTCCACTTCCCGTAGGCAATCAAATTATACAATCGAAAAGCCAGAAAAGCGAATTGGTCTCGTTCCAAATCAGCAGGGTATTCCGCGCCGAGATCGACAGCTGCTGCGATACCAGAGATGCATGCGGTTTCGTGCGCGTTGACCAAGGTCCAGCTGGCGGCGTAGCGTGTGTGGCGTTTGCCCTGGAGGAACATCATTCGGGGGACGACGAAGAGGTAATGGGTCCAGGAGTGACAGAGTTGATGCCACCAATCTTCGCGGATGATCTTGTCCTTTTGAATCTCGTCGCGCGTCCAGAGATGGGAGTCTCGGTCGTTGTTGAGGAAGATGGTTTGGAAGACGTGCTTGTCAAAGGGTACCGTGGGAGGGAATTGGGGTTGGTAGTTGGTGCAGTCGAAACACATTTCTAGTTTGGTCAGGTCTTGTTGATACATGCGGATCAGGTACATGGCTTTGAAATTCTCCTTTGCCCAGTCGTTTCGAGATGACATGTCCACATTATTGATGGAGGATACGGCGAGTTCCTCATTGTAAAAGTTTTCGTAGTACTTCTTCATGTATTCGTGGTCTTGGTGCGTGACTGTGATATCGTTGGCGAACTTTGCTGAGCCGAGAACACGAGACTCCAGGCTGGTGATGGTGGGTTGGAGGAGGCGTTTTGCAGTGTCTGTGAGCACGCAGAGGACAATCTCATCATACTCCTCGACGCTTTCACTTTGGTCTGCATCGGCTTTGGAGCCTTCTACGTTGTCGGGTACCCATGCCGAGTCGGGGTTATGACCATCTTTGACTGGGGTGCGACTGATGATTTTGACTTGGACGCCATTCTTGTCTCGTCGCGTGATCTGAGTGACTTCAGTGGAGAGGCGGATGTGGACGCCCTTCTTAAGTAGGTTCTTGCGCCAGGTGTCGTAGAAGTCGCTGAGATTGGGGAAGACTACCATGGGAGGCATATTGGAAGCAACGCTGTGCTTGTCAGGAGGATACCACATGCCGTAGGTAGGACTCGTGCACAGGCGGTCCAGCATGATGGTGGGCACTTCGGGCGCATAGTTGCCGGTGCCCAAGAACAGTGCCACCATGGGCAGAGCGACTACATTGGCGAACTCTTCGGAGAAGCGGAAGAGCTTGATGAGCAGTTTGATGGGAACGAGGGCGAAGAACAGCTCCAATGCTCGGATGATCTTCAGCATGCGGAAGAACTTGACGACTTCCGACTTGTGTTTTTCCAGCATCTTGGTCGGGTATACATTGCTCCAGAACTGGTCTCCCTTGCCAAAGGAGACCTGGAGCTTGACAGGATCCGCCCAGAAGCCATTTCTACCAAACATAGCCATAGTGTGGTGGAAGATGTACGAGCCCCCTTGGACTCCCTGATTCAGCCATGATGCGCCTGTCTTTTGCTTGTCCAACGGGATCGAGTATGCCTGTCCACCGCAATAATCGACGGCGTCCACCAGTGTCACGTCGAATTTGTCGGGATGCTCGGCGAGATGATGGGCACAGGACATTCCTGTATTCGTTCCCCCCGTCAGCGATGCATTCAATGACAGAGAATCATGCTATGTTGCAACCAAACCATACCAGCAGCTCCCGCTCCCACCACCAACACCCTTTTCTTCTTCTTCTCCTTCTCCTTCGTCTTCGTCTTCGTATTCTCCTGCTTCTTGTCCTCCTCCTCCTCCTCCCTCCTCCTCTGGCCTTCCATCTGCTGGCTCATATCGAATCGAGTCTGCGAGGCGTGAGCTTCCAGGAGTGGTCTGCCGTCAGTGGGCATGTCCAAGCAATCGATGGGGAGGGGAGGGGATTATGAAGGAGAGGAGAGGAGAGGAGAGGAGAGCGCTCGAACACATTCCTCCCACCTACTGGCTTTCAACATGTACTACCACCTTTGCGCCCGCGCCACGCTCCTGGGGACGGGGCCAAGGGCATGTGAGAGACACGCAACCGTCGTCATGATGGTCTGCTCTGGGTTAGTTTCAATTCATTCACCAACCGAAGCGGATCATATCACAGATCGGCGCCAAGGCTCGTCTATCGGCGCTTGGCCCGATGAAACTAGTCAACTACCTCCGTACAGTAGGTAGTACATGTTGATGTACCTTAGGTAGGAGGTCAGGTATTGAATAAGGCGGAATTATATTACACCAACACGCCAAGAGTGCAATGTGTATACCGTACTACTACTACTCCTACTCCTACTCCTGCGGCCACTCCTCCCTCGGCCTTTGTCGGGTGTGAAGGGCGACAAGAGAACGGAGTCTCTCTCAATTGGGAAGAAGTAGGAGAGAGGTTGATAATGGTTTACTTACCAGAACAGCGTGTCCGAGTATAAGGAGGTGGAAAGCCAGATCATGTGCAATGTCTAGACGGGCTGGAACAGTCTAGGGAGTTGGTAAGGAAGGCGAATACATATCATATACGTATCACGAAGAAGAGAAAGAAAGAAAGAGAAAGCGCTAGAATGGAGATATGAGCTGATTCGACGACGAAGACAGTAGGCAGGCTACCTAGGTAGTCAATACATGTTGGACGCCTCCAAGCCCTGCTCTTTGGCGATCCGCTTGTACGACACACACACACAACGGCGACCTTTCCCTCTTACTTGCATCACAACATCAACAACAACATCCACACAATCGATGCTTTTCGTAGCCAGATCAATCGGCTGTCAAAGTTTCGCTCCACCTGAATTCCCGCTTTCAGGACGCGGCTTTGAGACCAGTACCGGTGATATTGAGGCCGTCATTCTTCAGCAGGCTTGTGCAAATTGGACCCAAAGTTCCCTTCATATCGGGGTTGAACGCCACATTAATGTAGCTCATGTTGGTGAGCCCGCAAAGTGACTCGGGGATAATACCAGTCAACTGATTTTCCTGCATATACGCCTCTTCCAAGTCAGCCCAGTTTGCAAGACTTTCAGGAATCGGCCCTGTGAATTGGTTGGCGGACATGGAGAAGGAGAATATATCGGTGGCAACGGCTTCTGGAAGGGGTCCGGTGAATTTATTGTTCTAGAAACGGGCAGTGTTAGTAAGAGCCACGTCGTAGCAAAAAAAAGAAGAATATGTGATATACTCACGTTGATGTAGAGGGCCTGAAGGGTTGGGGTTGCGAAGGCCTTGGCGGGAAGCTCGCCTTCGAATTCCTATTTATCAAACATCAAGTCAGTCGTGCCGTTCCCCCTCCTGCTCCCGTGACAGGTCTGCAGAATGCTTACGTTGAAACGGATGTCCAAGAATATCAGTGGAAGGTCCAGAACTTCAGTTGGAAATGGTCCGCTTAACCCGTTGACGCTGAGATCGATCTCACTGATGTTCTGCAGGTTGCTAAGGTCTGGGATCATGCCCTCGAAGTCGTTGCCGTTGGCTGTAAAGTTGCGCTCAGTCAGGATCTGTCCATAGGTACTCTTTTTTTCCCCGGTTCGTCAAAGCGAACACTTACCATGAAAAAATTGAAGGTCAGTCAGCGCATCCAGGAAACCAGTCAACTGCAGGCCTTCGCCAAGACCGTATTGATTGAAGTCTGTATAGATATGGTCAGCTGGACATGATGGTGAAAAATGGGTTCACGTCTCCTCCGCCTACCAAGTCCAACGAGGGCCTTGTATCCTGCCGGAACCATGTCGCACTTGGTTGCGTTAAACGTGCAGACATCATCGCCAGTCCAATTCGCCTTAAGTCCTGTGTCGTCCACAGTGATGGTTGCAGCAAAAGCCATGAGCGTAGCGAGGTCTCTTGCCAAATGATCATCGCCACCGGCGTCTGTCTGTGCCCAGACGAGAGAGGTCAGCGAGAGAGCTGCAAATACAGCAGCAGTGATAGAGGAACCCATGGTGAGGCGAGATAGTAGGAAAGTAATGAACGTATAGGGTGGGATGTGTGCTTAGGAGGCAGTATGCTCGTTGGCGAGCGATAGGGGCGGCATAGGATACAAGTAGTCTCTGCGTGAGTTGGTATTAACTATTATTACCTCACCGTGGTCAGCTCTAGGCTCAATGTTGCTGTAGTGCCATGTCTTCAGTGATCCTGGCACTTGCCAAATTGTCTTTATTAGAACAGTACTGCCAGAAGGGTGAGATGGTTTTGAACAGCCTGGAGCACCACTGTTCGTCTCTGCTTCTCCCACTGGCTGTACTCAACCCTGTTCATACATGGCACTTGTTTTGTGCCTAAGCTTCCTTGGGAACGCCAAAAACGCCCTTGTGCCCAGAAACTCTGATCAGGGCAGGTTGGAAAGGGATAGAGAAATAAAGAATGATATTTCCAGCCCCTAAGACCTCGAAATTCTGCCGAAGATAGCACGAGGATGCTGCTGCTGAGGTGAATGTTATATAGACGGACTGGTATTGACTTTTATCAACATACTAGAATTGCTAGAGGAGTCTGTTTGTCTAGAGATGTTCGCAAAAAGAGGATCTGCTTGCGATCTGTAATTGTTGTTGTTGTTGTTGTTTATCAAAATACGGGTTTTTATATATAGCGGGAGGCTTTTTTTTATATAGCGGGAGGCCTTTTAGGGTTGCACCCTAAAATGCCTTCCCTATATCCCCTATATATGCCTTAGGCATATCTCTTAGCTCGCAAAGAATTTTCGCACAACGCTAATAACGCTTCCTATATATATACAAACACAAACATATATATATATATATATATATACGGCTGTAGTATATAGTATAGCGCAGACAGACAGTAAGATTATAGCTATTATTGCTAATTCGATAGAGCTAGCGCGTATCGAATACGATAATAATTAAGTACTACTTTATAGCGGTTTTGTAACTAGCCTTAACGCTATTATACTTAATCTTATAGCCTAGTAGACAGACGCAGATCTCGAAATTACTATTAACTAGCAATATAAAGAGCCTAAAGATACTAAAAGTACGATAGCAATAGCGTTAGTACCGGAACTAAGGCTCGCGCTATCGCTTACGATAACGATAGCAATAGTAACTACGATAGCGATAGCCTTAGCGCGAGAAATTAGAAGACAACGAGCGCGCCTAGCTAATCGCGAGATATCCGAAGACGAGTTCTTTAATCTTAGTAGGTACGATAGCAATACAGATATCCCTATACTAGCGCTAGTAACAGCGCTAGTTATAGCGCTAGTTATAGCTAACGACAATATATAATATAGTAACCGTAATATACCTAATACTAGCTTCTATAGCGAAATACTAACTACGAATACCTCTATACTAACTCGCAAAAAGCTATAACGACTACTATAGCTAACGGACTTAGTTCCGAGCTAATTATAGAGCTAAGAAAGGCTATTAACAGTAGTAGGTAATGTATAGCAAGAGCCCGGAAATAGAGGAATTTAGGCAGAATCGAGTAATTCTATAGATATAGAGGATAAGAACGTATACTACGGACTACGCTACGAAATCCCTAAGCCTCGTCGCTAGCGCTTCCTTAATAAGGCATCAACATACGTATACCTCGTCGCCTATAGTGCTCGCTATAGTGTTGTATAGATAAAGAATAGCGGCCGTAAGTACTTCGTAGGCTTAGACAAAGTAAGGAAACTTATACTTCGGTACGCCCGAGGCGACCGTATTAACAAGCTTGTTAAAGTACGTACTAGACGGATATTACGGAAGAAGCAGTATACTTAGAAGATTAGGTATCGGGTTATAGCAACTATTACTACTATTAACAAAGGTAATAAACATAGTAAGTAGTTATTTAGTCTTAGTACGAAAACATATTATAACTATTTGAGTATAGACTTAATTGGACTCCCTTTCTACCGCCGCTAATAGCGCGGTAGCCGCTTCCGCGAGTTCCTCCGAAACTGCCGTAACGTTAGTATCTTACTATTATAGATACGCGCGCTAGCTAAGCAAGAGTTTATTATTAAGGCAGGGCTCTTAGGAATAGGCGCTACGCTAGTACTCCGAGATATCTATAATAAGTTTGCGAAGATACGATATAAGCTTATTGTTAGCAAAACCCCGATCGATTAGTTAATTACGATACTTAAAGAAGAGGGTTTCTTCTTTGCTTATAAGTACAACGACGGCCGGCTCTAGTACCTCTTCTTTATATACTCCGACCTTATCCGTATCTACGTAGACAATACTAAGGTACTTATTTACGACTATACTTATAATATCGTTAAGTTAGATCTGCCGCTTTTATGCTTTAACTTCGTTAGTCGCCTTAGATCGGTCCTACTACTCGCCTATATACTTATAGAAGATAAGACCTATAATAGCTATATATAGGTATTTTAGTAGCTCTAGAATCTCTTCGACAAGTACGAGATTAACGATCCTAAGGTATTTGTTTATAATAGAGATAGGGTAGCGATAAACGTACTTAAAGGGGTGTTTCTAGGTACTAATACTATACTCTATACTTAGTATATAGACATAGCAGTTAGGGCCTATATAGCGAAGACGTTCGGTTAGTAGAAGAATAAAGAGACTAATCGATTCGTACCGAGCGAGCTTGCTAAGGAATTCCTCGCTCTCTATAGAAACTATCGCTATATAGGTTCTAAGGAGGCATTCAACGATATATATACTATACTTAAGGAGCGGGCTAAGTACGGCGAAACATACTATAGCGACAACAGCGACGATAATAAGTATTAAAATACTATATCTAGAGCTGCCTTTACAGCTATAGAAACAGATATAGAATTAGAGGAAGAGCTAGATATTATCGTACGGCTACTCGACAATCCTACTATACCTACTACTTTCGTTAAGGATACGCCTAAGCGCTAGTAGAAGATTGTTTGCTATCTATAGACTGTATAGTAGGTTTATAAGGAGAAGTACGTAAAGGCCTAGACTAATAAACTGTAGTACTTTGGTTATAATATATCCTCCGGCGGCGAGAGCGCTTATAAAGGATTAAAGGTATAGATAACGAGCTTACGCAATAATACCCTAATATTCTTTATAAAACTCGCGCTATTCTACGATAGTTACCTAGACCGTAAGAAGGCAAAGCTTAGTTACGCGTAGAACAAGACGTTAACAGCATTCGTATATAAAGAGTACTACTATAAGATCAATACTATAGTAGATACTAGGGCCCTCTACTATATCTAGAAGCAGAAACAGAAGCTTAAGAGTAAGCTTAAAAGTATAAGGACTAATAAACACTACGAACGTATACATTGTAGTAGAGTATTTATACGTACTATAGGTATAGACTGCTCTTATAGACTAGAAGGCGCAAGGAGTTCCTTACAACTAAATTATTCGATAAATTCTAGATTATTCTAGACACTTACGATACTAGTAGCGGTCCGGTATTAAGATTACTCGAGCTACCGACAAAGCTACGAAAGCGAGTAGCCCGGCTTCTCCGCTCTTATACTGCCGGTATAGGCATATTATTAAGTACGCGCGATCTAACTAGTACCGAGCGCAACGACCCTAATAATCGAAACACGCTAGTTAGGGATTATAAGGAGGATAATGCTATATAGCTCGCGCGACGTAATAGTAAACCGTAGGTACCTGTCTATTAATAGGCGAATCGCCGAATTGCCGTACTAGAAGGTAGGAGGTATTATTAGTATAGTACTACTACTAGCTGTATTTACGGTAGGTATATCTGTCTTAAGAACAAAATAGTATACGATTCGCGCTATAAGTACAAAGTACCTTATAGAGGCTATAAGAATCAATACAGTACTACTACTTTACGACCGACTATAGTACTAGTACTAGTACTAGTACGAGCGCTAGTACGAGGACGAGGGCAAGGGCGGGGGCGAGGACAAGGACGAGCGATACGCGCAGACTACCTATCGCTAGACTACCTATCGCTAGACTACCTATTACTAGACGTATTTACTAAATAGTAGGCTTAATTCGCCGCTATACAAGCTTAAATAACTGCCCTAGCCTAGTAGATACTATAGATACCGTAGATACCGCCGGTATACGGATACGATAGCGGACGGCGCGTCGGTAGTAGAAATAGATAGGTACGCGTACGAGGAAGAGATAAATATTAGGTTATATAGCTAGTATACGGCGGCGGCGGACGGCGCGGCTACGGTAGACGGCGCAACGACGGTAGACGGCGTAGCGACGGTAGAAACGGATAGGGACGCATACGAGGAAGAGATAAAGATAAGAGTATACAACCGGTACGCCGTAGGCCTGTAGCCATAGCCGCGGACGTTGCGGCGGCGGACCTACTACGCCTATATATAGGCAGACTATAAAGAAGCGGTAGGTAGAAGAGATAGAGGGTAAGGATAGTAATAATAATAATAATAATAATAGTAATAAGAGTAGTAATAGCTATAGCGAATTCGAGGTAGACGATAAGGATAAGAATAGTATAGAGGTAGTAATACCTTCGCGCTTATACTAATATATTAGTAGGCTACGATTTAGGCCCGCGATAGTATTACAAGATATACGCAAGATTAGCTAATAGGGAGGTAGAGAGATACTATTGATTATAGTAGGTAAAGAGCCGAAGATAGTAGCAATCGCGTAGAATTAATACTACGAGAATTTAGCTACCTCCGGTAGGCTACAATATAATATACTACTATTAAACAAACTTGATACTCTAGTATATTGTTGCTATAGTTATTCTAATATTCCGCTATACTAATTCTGTAATTATAACTATTGTTGTCGTCGCTATCGTCGTATGTCAAGAAAGTTCTTCGCAAGCGGAGAAGTATGCCTAAGGCCTTATTGCCTAAGGCACTTAGGTTGCAACCCTAAAGTTTAGGGTGCAACCCTAAAAGGCCTCCCGCCATATAAAATTTATGCTCCCGCTATATATAAAAACCCCAAAATACCTAAGGTACCTGGTAGGGATGGATGTATGCTTGGGATCATCAAAGTTTTTACGTTTCGGAAGGAAATTGGATCCAACACTGCTTCCCTGACCGGGTCAGCCCAACACCTCAGGATGACGACCACAACAACAGCAACAACAACAACAGCAACGACAGCAACAACAACAATAACACCGGTCTTCGGCATGATTACTAAGGTGTTGCATGCTATGGCCCCTAGTAGTGAACCGTGATTGTCTGTCTAGGATACTCCTAGCTCCAACCGCTCAAAGTAGATCATGCCATTATGGAGCAGGAGCTTATTCGGTCGATGAGAGTACCCAAGTACATGTAGCTCCTTGAGGGGATCGAACTGGGAGAACAACGTACGTCGAGAGAGGTATGATGATGAAATGCCCTTCTCGACTTGTAGCGCGCCTTCGAAGGAGGTGAGTTTGTATTGTAATCTGCAACAGCAGAGTGATAGGTAGGACTACTAGGTGGTGTTCGACTACAACACTCAGGTTGGAGAAGAGGTAATAACTCGGAAGTTCGAAACTCAGGCTTGGAAGAATAGCCCTTCGCTCTGATGACAGTACAGGTACCTCTGTAACCTCCACCCACGTACATGTGTCGAGATTTGCTTACCAAGGAGAGGCATGATATGAAAGAAGGCAATTGGGATTTGGGAATTTGTAGGTTATTGAGCACGCGGGGATCCTTCCCGGGGCGGACTGTAGGACGAGAACGGCGAGGGCGGCGGACTGTGAGACAGCGAGGGCAGCGATGATATGTCTCGTTCCATTCTTCAGGATTCTGTATTGCATCGAGGGAACGCCACTTCGGATGTCACGCATCCGGACATCTTCACGGTTGCATCAGATCCACACCGTACTTGAAGGATGGATGCAGCCTACCCGGCCTACTGCACAGTGCACCAATGTCTGGTCTTGTAGGCACCACCGCACGGCGCACGACATCTCGCGCAGGGCCACAACGCACGCCACGACGCCACCCTAGTGTGCTGACACCCACCGACTCCATCCAACCAGGCTTGGACCTAGCATCCCAGGAATTGTACGGATCGACTGGAGAGCCATAGAGATGCGTTCGCGATTGCGCATGGACACGGTACCTCCTATCACTACCGCATGATCGTCCATACACTTTCCCTGGTAATCACCAAGAACATGACGTGCTATGAGCTCTCTGTGCGACGGAGCCGAAGCCGACCGACATAGCACACAAGCTTGATTCGAAAGAATCCTTCTCGGCTTCGGCAAGGCACCTAATCGAGACCAAGTGGATTGTTCGGCCCCAAGGGTCGTCTTTGGTGTTTGCCTCACCATCATGGACAAGCTGAAATCGAAGACGGGATGCTTAACATGTGTGGCTCGGAGGAAGAAATGCGACGAAGCAGAGCCCACATGCGGACACTGTACACGCCTCCACATCGCATGTGTGAGGCGTGAGTCCACAACGGATCGTGCAATGGTCGTGATCTCGTCAACCAACTTGAAGGCGAGGAAGACTCCGCAACTTCGGTCACCAATCACGAACGGATATCCCTCCTTTGGTAACGACATTGAGAGGCACATGTCCATTGCAAGTCCTGGTGCGCTGGCTGCGCTAGTGTCCTGCATGGCCGGACCTGGATTTCGAGACGTCGTCTTGTTTGGAACATTCTGTGCGGAAAGTCGTCTGGTGCGTCGAGCGCTGGTCGCGTTCTCCGCGTACAGTCAAGGCCCACAGTGTGACGACTCGTACAAACTGTCCTTGCGAAGCTATCAGTTCTGCATCACGGATATGAAGCACAGTCGCTCATACGAGCATACAGATGCTGCTGAACAGGATCGGGTCATGACGGCAATCCTGTTCCTTGGTTTGCTCGAGGTGAGTACATGCATTGACTGTCATTTGCCGAAAGTTGTCTCATAGTGTGTAGGGTTTGAAGATCGGTGACTCCAGCAATGCAGTCGCCCACTTCGAAATGTGCAGGAAGCTTCTGACGGCACGGCTATCTCAGCCTGGAGTGCTGCACGATGCCGCCTTGGTCAAACTGTATCGCGTGGTAGCAGAATGTATCATGTATAACCTCGCAGCCCTCTCGCCTTTTCATGCGGGAATCAATCAGGTGGTTACTGACTGGGGGAGCTCCTTCGACTGCTTGTTTCCTGGTAATGACCATGCACTGAGTCCATTTCTGGGCGGATTCCACGATGTGTATCGCTTGATGCTGAGAATCAACCTTCACCTTCGTCGAATACCTTCAATGCCCTCTGCCGTGTCCACAGTGCAGGGCAAGCAGACTCTGGAGGCTCTGTGGTGGGAGCTGCATGCGCTCGAAGTGAAGCTTCCGGCCTCGTACCGTCGGGTCGAAGGTGCCGAAAGTACAAGGTTGTACAAGGCCAAACACAAGATCTCTATTCTCGCATTGGGGATTCATTTGGCCAAGATTTCCAACCCACTCGTCGCTTCATCTGACATGGTCATCCGCGGATACCTCCACGACGCCATAGGTACCCTGGCATGTCAAGACATTCGCGAGCCTGGAAATCCAGCATTGCGATGGCCATTGACCATTCTTGCTTGTGCTGCCGTCGGCAAAGAGGACTTTGCATTCGTTGTGGCGAAGATGAAAGAGCTGGAGATGATCCTTGACCCATCGAATCGCGGTAAGCTGCAGTCGGCGTATACCATTCTGCAGAGGTATCGACAAGGAAATCTTGAATTGCACCTGCAGACCCATCGTGGCAGCTGGACCCCTCATGAGCAGCTGGACTTTTTACTCGAGCCACAGTTCTTGGATCACATCAGAGGTCCCGATGTTCAACGGGAAGGAACTCTTTCCCCAGGTCGTTTGATGATCGAGCCTGTAAAGGACTTGATGTGAATTGACCCATTGCCCAAATAGACGTAGACGAAAAAGTGGTGCGAAGCTCGGGAGGTCCTTGTGATCGTTCGCGTCATGGAGGAATCAGTTCTGGAACTGAGCCGCGCTGTGAGCCACGGCACACACGAGGACCGGCTCATAGCCAGAATTGACATGTCGTACTCCCCAACAACGAGGGTGTGTCAGCAGCCATAATTGTAGGTAGATCAATCCGAGTGACGGAAGCGTGAGAGAATGCGAAGACCTCTCACTGTCGGCCCGTGATGAAGCTTCGATGCTGATGGGTACCAAACGGGGAGATGGAACAACCGAGGGTCGCCACTGAGCAGAAAATGTCGAAAGTGTCGAAAGTGTGAGAGGACAAAGATGGAATAAGTACCTAGCGATCCTGTGCGTCCCGTAGACCACCCCAGCAGCCAATGAAGAGCGGACGCGCCGTGCATACAAGCTCCCCTGCATTCAAGTGGGTCTGTCTGGTTTCTTCGGCCGTGGGATCACGTATGAGGATGCAATGAAGGGGAGTGTGAGTATGGCGACGACAGTGAGAGTCTGTACATGGCGTTGTATATAAGAACCTGGGAAAACCATCAGCAGCAATCTTCTCATATCAACCATCAGAACGAAGGTGAACTCGACGAGATATACCAAAACTCCAAGCATTCCAATCGGGGACCATCTGAGGATTACACCAAGCCTACCAAGCCTATCAAGCCTCCGACTGAAGCCCACCTAGGGTAATTATTACTCCCAGTACACCATATCAGCTGACTTAGACCGCGCTGACGTAGGTATACTACATCCAGCAAGATGTGCTATATCAACATGATCACCTGGGTCCAGTGTGAACACTTTCGAGTCGTCACGCAGATGTGTGCAGAGGCCCAGCGACGACAGCCGGCACAATTCTGCAAGACTGCCCATGAACCCATTGCCACAGATGTGACTGCGGACCGCGGTCCTTGTCCGGACAAGAAGCGACATCCGTCTGCGGTGTATGATTCCACCAGCGTCGCTTGGGCCCAGAGTTTGGGGATTACAAGCACGAGTGAGAGGAAGATGCGGAGAAGGGGTTGAAGCGTTTGTTCTTGGGCAGAGACACATGTCCGTCTCATGTTCCCGTTCCAGTAAATGTAGAGATGGTAGCACCAAAAACGAGAGTACGTAACATTGTCGCACGAGCGTCCATGTACTCCCAAATCCTGACAGCTGGGCTTGCTGGCGATCTTGGCCGTCGACAGCGCAGTATACTAGGAGGTACTGCTTTCCTTGATCTCTGGCACACACGCTTTGAGCTCGAACAGTCTATACTATGTTGCAGGTAAGCGCGAGACATGGAGTCTGAGCGTATTGCTACAAAGATAGCGACCATATTGGCGCCAGTGAGGTCCGCCAGTGAGGTCCGACAGTGAGGTGTTGGCGACAGTCAGAATCGAGCGATCCCTATCCGTGATTCCGCTGCGAGGAGGGCTGCACATGAAAACCATACTCTCTAGGTAGTGACCAATCCTCATGCTTTGCCGCTCTCTTTCAACCATCGCCACCACTACCACCACTCTGCCCTCTCCGTCCCGGCCTCATCACAGCTTTCAACTTGTCCTCCTCCTCCTCCTTCCCACTCTTGACCTTTTCTCCGCTTCTCTTCTCCCCTACGCTATCTTCCTGTGAACCACTTCCTTTGAACACTTCCCTGCCGAGCTCCGCTACAATGCCTCCTCCCGTGCCCTCCACCTTCTCCGCTTTGCCATGCCGTCGTCGATGCTCCGCCAACAGACTCAAGCCTCCGCCGCCCGTGTCTGCATCTCGATGGCGCTGCGCATTGGCTTTGGCGGCGCGAATGCTGGTGCGTGCGTAGACGAAGAGCAAGATGGCCATGGTAAAAGCTGCCGCTGGAGCGACGATGGTCCGACTGTTGATGCGGGGACGAGGGTTGGGAGGGAGGCCGGCCTTGACGGGTACGGTTGAGTCTGTTGTGCCGGCCGGAGCACGGGGTTGGGAGAGACGGGCGCCCATGTTGTTGCGAGAGCGACGTTCTCTATGTTATGGGACGAGAAGAGAGTGTCATGTAGTTCCGCATGGTCGTTGTTGGAGCTCAGGAGTACTGACTGTACATGTATGAGGAGGTACATTGGCAACATTCGGGGACAAGAGGAATGATGTCATGACTCTGGGTTCTGCCAAATAGGTACCGAAGAACTCCATAACAACCATAACACATACACATACCTGATATGTACATGTAAGATCATTATTACCTTCTGATGTATCGCTGAGCTCCCATGTCTGCCAGCGTCGCTACTGGCCTTGCCATCACCAATCCGTTAGTCAAGTATCGAGCACTTCTTGCTACTCGAGCCATTGCACCCGATCCCGTACTCTCTCTCTCTCTCTCTGCCATATTGAACCTGCTCCTGTGCGTCCGCCAGTCTAATCACTCCCTCACAGGCCCAACATCGACTCGCCATTCACTTGGCAAAACTGTACGACCGGCTGAAGGATTATGAGCCAGAGCTTGAATATAGCCACCAACTCGACCAAATTGCGCGAGCAGTCCACGCGCAACAGCATGTCAAGAATGCACATCCCTATCCTCCTCCCAGGCGCAGCCTCTGGCGGGAGCTCTTTGCTGCAAAAGAGAGGCGTGATTCGCTGGCCTTGACGAGAAAACTGACCAGTTACGAGTCTGCTCTGCAAATGGACTCGCCCAAAGGCCTGATGCTGCATGGCGAGGTCGGGACAGGGAAATCCATGCTCATCGATCTCTTCGCAGACTGCCTTCCCAATCGCAAGAAGCGACGAAGTCACTTCAATACCTTCATGTTGGAGACCTTTGCGAAACTCGAGACCCTCCGGTCGGATCGCATGAGGAGCGGAAGGTCGAATGTTCCCTCTTCGCTCAGCTTGGCAGACGATGATTACTCTCTGGTATGGTTGGCCAAAGAGATGATTCAGACTTCTCCCATCCTGTTTCTCGATGAGTTCCAAATGCCAGATCGAGTTGCGAGCAAGATCCTCACAAATCTGATGACGAGCTTCTTCCAACTCGGCGGGGTCTTGGTCGCGACTAGCAATCGCATGCCCGAGGAATTGGCAAAGGCTGCGGGCATCAGTTACTCACCACCTGCTGATCAGCGGGGTTTTGGCTGGCAGCTGGGATTGGGGCGGCGGAGGAGGCCGCCTGCTGGCAGGTATAGTGGGCACAATGAGTTTACCGCATTCCTGGAAGTGTTGAAAGCGAGGTGTGAAGTGTGGGAAGTCGAAGGGTCACGAGACTTTAGACGGATGGACAGCGGAAGTGTAGCACCCCTGAAGGGTATCGATCTGGATGACCTAGACAGTCTGGACTCTGGATATGTCTCTGCCGAGTCCACTGTAGCACCAGAGAAAGATTTGCCGATACAACCACCCAAGCATTTTGACATTGCCACGCAAGGCGCCACGGCGGACACAGATGCAGCAATCAGCTCCGCTTTAGGAGGCCAATCCATTGCCGCCTGGTCGCCTGCAACGATGATGGTATATGGCAGAAACATCCATATACCCCGAGCCTTCGAAGGTGTGACAATGTGGACCTTTGACGAGCTGTGCAAAGGCACATATGGCCCCGCGGACTACATCTCCCTCGCCTCCACGTACCACACTCTGGTTCTCACAGAAGTGCCCGTTTTGAACTGGCTCATGAAGAACGAAGCTCGTCGTTTCATCACCCTCCTCGACGCACTCTACGAATGCCGCTGCAAGCTGTTCGTCTCTGCAGCAGCGGGACCGGACGACATTTTCTTCCCCGAAGAGAAGAAGCGAGCAGAAGAGGGCGACAATGGCGATGCTGTCTACTCTGAGACACTGTCCGAAGTCTACCAGGATGCTACAGCACCTTTCCGGCCCAACGTGCTCACTCAAAACCCCAACTACAGCGAGCCTGAGAATGAGCCGGATTACACACATGCTCGCCTTGCTGGACTGCTCAGTGCCGATGCACGCAGTTCTGCGCTCGAGGACGGCACTCCTATATCGCGGGGTGCAGTGGGAGGCTCTTCATCAAACCCCTTCGGCCGTTCATTCGGCAAGACCGACTCTGAACTCGAGCGCAAGCCATACGATCCTGATGAAGTGCGTTACACAGCGCGACCGAATTTTCAAAAGACGGCAGCATTCACCGGCGAAGACGAACGGTTTGCGTACAAACGTGCTCAGAGCAGATTATGGGAAATGTGTTCAGAGCGATGGTGGCAGAGAAATGAAGCAGGTTGGCATCGACCTACACCTCGCGAAGTCCGGAGATGGGAGGGCAGGGAAGATGGGAGAAAGGTCGGCGAGGATATTTTCACGGGAATCAACAGCGAGATTCAAATGGGTGAGGCCGTCGAGGACACCACGAGGCCGCCAGAAAGCTTCAAGAGATATGATGGCGGGCCGTTCAAGAAGCCACTTGAGCCTGCGAAGAAAATTAGCTGGACGCATGCTTGGGGCCTGGGAGAGTGGGGCAAGAGAGCGGGAGCTTGGGGTAAGGGTGTTGATGGGCTAAAGAGTAAAAAAAAATGAATGATAGGAGTGGAAGCGTTGAATCGGGCCCATTCTAGCTATCATTTGATCTAAGACGTGTCTCCTCGTATACCACCTCACCCCGTACGTCAGTCAAGAGATTTTAATACCGCTTCGCAAGTCAAAGCTAACGGAGAGCGTCTGTTTGTACTCTCGTAGTACAGGTACAGAACCCCCTTTTGATCCGCTTCCTGCTTATTGCCTCCTTTTCAACGACGCGGATTCTCACTGACTACCTACCTACCTTAGGAATAATCGGTTCGAGGCGAGAGCTATGTACCTGTAGGGACATTCACGACCGTCTTAGCTCCTATAATTGTTGTTTAGGAACAAGTTTGTCCTTAGTAGGCTCTCCTCTCTACATACCTAACTTTCAAGTTGCCTGAAGAAAAGTTTTGCCTAACTAAGGTATTTTATACGGTCGAGGTGAATAAAAAAGAGCGACAAGGGTGGGTATATATCGAAGATACCTATCTAGGGTAGTTTAAAGAGAGAGAGTGTGTGCAAGTACATGCATGTATCATAAATCATTCATCTTCATCCATCTTCATCCATCTTCATCCTCCTCCTCCTCCTCCTCCTCCTCCTCCTCCTCCTCCAACACCCTTCTTCTCCAAGCCCACCCACATATACAAGGTACTCAGAGAGTCACCCTCTTTAAGCCGCAAAAGCCATGTCTTCCAGCCCCTCAACATCCTCGGCCATTTCCTCCATCTCCAGAGATCTCTCCTTAAGGCCTCCGTTGTTGCTGGCGCAAGTCTATACAAGAAAAAAGGAAAAAAAGAGTGAGCCCTTGTTCTCAGCTAGATCCTCCGGCCCGATGGGAGATGGGGGATGGGGGGGGGGCCATCGCAAATGGATCGTGAGCTTACTTTTTCACATATGCAGTAATCTTCCGAGCTTTGGCAACCGCTGCAATCGATGCCACTGATGCATTTGGCCTGTCGCTTCTGAGGGGGTTTTCTGGCGGAGCAAGACTATACAAGAAAAAAGAAAAAAAGAGTGAGCCCTTGTTCTCAGCTAGATCCTCCTGCCCGATGGGGGATGGGGGATGGGGGGGGGGGGGCATCGCAAATGGATCGTGAGCTTACATTTTCACATTTGCAACGCGCGTTCCGGCCGACGCAACCGCTGCAATCCCATCCTCGCTCGCATCCTTGCCCGGATGGCTTGCCGGGTTTCTATACAAGAAAAGAAAAAGAAACGAGTGAGCCCTTGTGGTTAGCTAGATCCTACCTAACGGGGGATGGGGGTTGGGGCTCGCAAATGGATCCTGAACTTACAAATCCCCCCGTGCAAGCGACATACTCTGCACTACTGGAGCAACCGTTGCAATGTTTGTCGCAGCCGGCGGCGACGCTGCTGGCGAGAGCGAGGGTGATGTATGCGAGGCAGGTGGTGAGACGGACCATTTTTGCTGTTGGTGTTGTTGTTATTGTTGTTGTAGAGAGAAGAGGATTTGGATCGGTGTGGAGATGAGGTTTGATTTTTGTTTCTTGTCGTTGTTGTCTTGATCTGATGATTGCAACACAAGTAAGGAGGGGGAGTGAGCCTTCTTATATACAGTATGTTCTTCATCTGACTGAACTGGAATTGGGGAAAAGGAAAGGAAAGCCCCCATCTCCCGCACAATCGTCCTTCGTGTCAGAAACCAGGTTTGACCGTAATCCGCATGTTGTTGTAAGCCTGTAGAGTGTTGTGTGGTCCGTGTGGTCGATACCTCTCTCTCTCTCTCCCCCGTAGGTATCTTGGAGAGTCGTCAGTAGGTAACGAGGTAGTCGAAACGGCACAGTCAAGCATTATCCGTAAGAATTGCCACGTGAGTAGCATAGCTCTCGATATAGATATGGGCTCGCGCTATGAGATGAAACATCATCCTTGCCACGAGATCCTTGTTCATGTGACTCTGAGGTTGGGGGAGGCTATGGCCTATGGGGCTCAGTCACTCCTCGCCTCCAGTAAGCCGCATTGAGTGAGACAGGGGCGCGGGGGAATGAGGGTGGCGAAGCAGGTCAGGGTGAGGAGAAATGTGTTGTTAAACACGAGCAGTGTAGAGATCCGTTTCATATTGCTGTGCCAATTGCAAAGAGCTGGTTGTGTTACTGGCAGGTTGATCGTTGTCCCCGGCTGATGGATGCTTGGCCTCGTGCTTGACTGGTCTTGTACTGGGTATAACAAAGCTTAACTCGAGAACAAGGTCACCTGGTGGTCTTTGATATACCCGGAAAAGGAATATGAATGGTCTTGACATTTGCACAGCCGAGGGAAGCCGACACTTCCGTCAGATTCCCTTCATCATAGAAGGATCTGGAAGACTGGGAGAAGAAAGGCAATTGCGATAGAGTGGACTGCAGGGACTGGAATATGAGTAAGCGTTTCCAATACGAAATGATATACCTCAATCCTACGCAACAATCCAAACATAGGGTACATTACCTCGTTCCCGACTTCTGGGTGCAGAAAGAGGCATTTTTGCACATCCTCGTCCTTTAGAAACATCAACTGAATGAAACGACTCTTTTAGCCTGCTAAGCGCATTTTGTACTTTTGTGCTTTTCTTTGTTGACTCCCCTTGAGAAAGTAGAAGAAATTTTCAAATCATAACCTGCCGAATGGGATGTTATCTATGTCTTTTGCATTGTCCTAGAAATGAAATGGAACATCACTTAGGTATTGGACCTGTCGGGTAATGGATTTGTGTCTTGTCTTTTGTCTTGTTCTGTGGAATCCAATGTATTTTGCAAAATGACTTTGTCGGGGACTGGATCAACGATGGACTACTTGTTGAGTGAACCGTCCTAGATGGAGAATCTCCTCTCTTCTCAGGATTTCGGTAGGAGTTTCAAGAAGTAGCTGCCGGCTGCGTAGACGACGACGACGACGACGACATTCCCAGAACATATTCCAAAAACCGCTCCGCATCTCTCGCCGCAGCCAATGGATCCAGTCTCCTCAAAGCATTCCTCTGCGCCTCAAGTACCTCCGGCTGTTCCATGACATCCTTCATAACTTCATCCTCTTTCAACCAATAATCATCCACCACCCTCCTCATCTCCCTATCCCTCACACTTCCATTCCGAATCACACCGACCCCTCTCGCTTTAACCAACACACCCTCCAACCGCTGCGCAAAATCCAAAACGCGCTCACTCGAAGACGGCGCGGCAGCATTCATCAACGACACCCGCCCCGTAGCTTCCAACCACATCCCCACGCCCAAAACCGCATCTACCACTGCCATGGCCACACCGCGATATACGCGTAATTTCCAATACAAAAAATCCACATCCGAAACTCGTACACTTCTCTGATTGGGCGTGTCGTCATACATGACCACCATGTACATTTCCGCCACAAACAATCCCAAACTCATCATGATTGCGATATTTCTCCACCAACGTGCTGCTGCTGCTGCTGCTCCACTTCCACTTCCATTTCCTCCAAACACCACCTTCGAAGTAATCACCCCCAACCCCACCAAATGCAAAACATGCCACCCCGCAATCCCCACGAGAGCAAAAATCATCGCATCCCTCTCCGCATCGATTTCACCCGGCGGACTCATCGGATTCAACACCAGAACCTCAGGGCCATAACGCGCATACAATAATCTCGCCTCGAGGGCTCCCTTGGGGAAAATTTCTCGGAGAAGAAGCTCATCGTGCGGTGTCAAAGGTCGGAGAGTGGAGAGGCGGGTATAGAGGACATTGGTGGAAGTGTGTAAGCGAGAGGAGGTCTGGAGGAAAATGTTTGGAGGGCTGAAGAGGGGGAGGGTGGAGAGGAGGGAGAGGATGGTGGAGAGGAGGAGGAGGAAGAGGGAGATGTAGGGAGGTGTCCGTCTTGTTGTTGGTTTATTCTTGTTGTGGGCGTTGTGGGGGTTCGTGATGCTGCGGTAGTATGCTATTGCTTTGGGGAGGACGAGGGGCCCGATGAGGAAGAGGAGGCTTTGGATGCTGTGGGTGGGTGGGGTTTTAGCAATGTACATATATAAAAGACGTTGGAATTGGGCTATGATGAAGTCTCAACTAACCTCGACCAGGACACCATCTCTCCTTCTTCGCCTCTTTCTTTCTTTCTCTCTCTATTTCCCCCTTTCTCCCTTCCGTCTATTATTTTCGCGCAATGTACGAATACAAGTAATGTATGTAGGTATGTACGTAAGGTAAGCCAGGTAGATACATATTGATAAACGTGTCGTCGACTCGTCGTGTCCAACAAAACACTTGGCGCCACGCCACGCCTCGGCTCGGTCCAGACTCCAGAGGCTACCTACCTTACCTTATATGTAAACTTAAGCCGGCAACCGGCCAAAAAGAATCCGTGTCGGATCAGATATTCAATTAGGTATATGTAAGGTACCTTCTAGGTTGTAATAAAGAATATGCAAAAAGTGTGTATGGGTATGCATAGTGAAACCAACAAACAGGCACCTCACGATTCGAGCAGGCTTCATCGTTGCTGGTGCAAGGTATGATGGCTGCCTACCTAGTGACTTTTTTCTACTGCAAGCGGTATTTGAATTCCCCATGTGAATTTCCATGTGACAAGGTTGAAGGCAGGCAGGTAAATGGTATAATGTTCCATCATCATACACAAAGACATATGAACAGCTGCACTTCACTGGCAACATACAAAAAATACGAATACCAATATGAGAGAGTAGACTTGATTTGTTTCCTTCCGTCCAGCATCTAGCTATTCGTGCAGAATGAGTGAGGCATAAGCTGCGCAACAGAGCGAGCCAAAAATCCTCTATATAACACACAAACACACCAACATGTATATCGTAACATGAGACGGGCACTGTCTCACTTGCCCATCTTCCTTGATGGACTTCCTGCAGGTCTGAAGCCATGCGATTCGTTAGCAAGCATACTGTTCCTTCGAATAATCACTCCTCGTTGACCCATCACGTCCACGTGCTCGTCCTCAATATCAATTTCCATCTCATCTGAACAGTTCCGCACCACAGTGGGAATGGGCCGATGCGCGTCCGGCATCTCGACTTGTGGCGTGTCCTCCTCGGACACTGAATGATCGTCGTCCTCGTGATCGCTAATCATGCCCGGAACATCGGCAGTATTCGGACTGAGTGTCGCCGATGTCAGATCCTGAGGTGAGGATAGCTGGCTTCGCATGTGGTAATCACGAGACGGCGCTGGTGCAATCGGTGCAGGGCGCGGACGCTGCGTGCCGGACCCGAAGCCTTTACGGCTTTGTGCTTGTGGAAAATAATTGTTTCCCGCCGGCATACGCGCACCGGGCCCAACAGGAGTCGCAGGAGAGTTGGGGTCGGAGATGATGTCTGGCGACATCATGTCGGCGTCCGCGTTCAGATCCACCTTCTCTTTCGCCAGAGCCACGGCATGGGCCAGATCGCCGCCCATGTTGTGCTTCTTCCAGAATGACGACAAAATCGGAGTCTCGCTGGAGGCTTTGAAAGGCGCCGATCGGAAAGCGGAGGGCACGGGAGTGCTGAGACTGGGCACTGGCTTGGCGTTGGCCTTGGCAATGGGTCGATGTTCAGCAGCGGGCAGACTGCCCGAGTTCAACGGGTGTACCAATCCACTCTGAGCTTTCGCAGGCATAGATGCCGTGGACGCCGATGCTCTGCCAGTACTAGGTTTCGAGGCATGCGCCTTGACAGCTTCGGCAGGCATACTGGCCTTTTCCTCTGCGTCCAGGAGGCGACCGCAGTCAAGGGCGGCAGCGTCATGCGACTTGTAATCCACCTTGTGGGCAATGCGACAATGGTTGAGGAAACCTTGAATGCTGCTGAAGTTGCCACGTTGGCAGTTGTTGCAGATGAGCTTGACCAACTGCCCGTCCGAAGAGCGAGCCAGTACCAGAGGTTGCGACTTGTCCTTGGGTGGTGCGGCCGAGTAGTTTGGCAAACTGTGGAGGGGATCTGCAGATCTGGTCGAAGTGCCTAGTGACTTGCTGGCAGACTTTCGAGGTGCTGGAATACTGCTATTGCTGCTCCGTGTGGATCGTCCTGCTGCATGAAGGTGTGCTTCCGCGAGCGCGAGAGCCTCAGGCGAGACGGAGTCGAACAGAGGATCGCGCAACAGCCACTGAGAGTAATGCTTGGAATAAGGACCATCCGCGACGCCATATGGTGCAGGATGCGAGGGCACAGAGTGTCCTGGACGTGGAGCGATGGCCGGCCCTGTACCTTGTGAGACGTCCAGTGAAGGAGACTCAGTGCCAGGGTAGGGTCGCAATTCGCAACGTCGAAGCTGCTCGAGCGCGATCTGGCATTTGGCTAGTTCCTGCTCGATCAACCGCAATTCATTGTGCTTCATGAGGATCTGCATGTTGAATTCGTTTTCGATCACTTGCTGCAGGGGCGTAAGGGCAGGGGCCATATCGGATGCTGTCTCGCTAGAAATGGTGTGCGAGTCTGCACGAGGCTGCGAAGGTGAAGCTGCTGACTGCGACGGTGCCACAGGAGGTTGCGCTGCAGCTGGCTGCCTGATTTGCGGAGTGTTCGCTCCTGCAGAAGTAGTAGGCCCGGAAATCGGCGCACTCTCTGGCTGAGGCAGGAGTGGTGTCGCGGCGGCGCATGCTTGCGCAGGCAGTATGGAGACACCGCTGGGATTCTGCAAGAGAGTCGGAGGTGAAGTAGTCGTCGTCGTCGTCGCCGCCGCTGCGGGCGGACACTGCCGCACAAAGTCCTGCTGCTGCTTCTTCGACATCGGGATCGTTTGGCCGGGAGACACCGCATCGTGGCTATCTGCGCGCTTCCTCTTCAAGTCCTGTAGCGCCGGTATTTCTACCATGGGCCTCATCTTGTCGAGATTCGCCTTCTCCGATAGCTTGATCTGGTGTTCGCTGCACCACGGCAAACGAAATATGCTCTGCATGTTGGTGGCGCGCAAGGGTGCGGCAGTGTCAATTCTGTAGCCACGAAGCTGCTGCCTCCATAGAGCGCTTGTCGAGGTGGGATGCGACTGAAAGTCGGGTTGATCGCTGTCGCATGAGGGTGTCGCAAAAGGGCTTGCGGCACAGTCGGGGTGGGAGGAGGGTCCGGTAAGATGGGGTCCGTGAGGTGTTCTCGTCCGGTGGTGGCGTTCGGTGGTGGTGTTGTTGTGGTGGTGGCGGTATTGCAAACGGCGCGACCCAAGGGTGAGAGAGTGCGTCGCTGAAGTTGAGTGCCGACGGAGACGTGGCCGGGAAGAAGCTCGGAGAAGGTGATGGGTCAGTTCGGTCGGGTTGGACGGGATGGCGGCCGCGAGGCAGAAAATGTATTAGAAGTAAGTGGCTAGTAACACAAGACAGGTGTACGAATGCAGAAAAAGGTGAAGAAGGTGGTGGTGGTGAAGACAGTGGAAGAAGAAGAAGAAGAAGAAGAAGTCGCGGTGGGAAGAGTCAGTCGAGGTTGAAGTGTGGAGTGAGAGACAGAGAGAGATACAGGCAAGGCAAGGCAAGGCAAGCAGAAGTTGGGATGGGGACGGGATGTGGGAGGCAGCTCAGAACACGACTGCTCACTAGCTCCGCTCTAGCCTCTAGGCTCTAGCCTCGCCAGCTGGAAATCAAGAACGTCAAGGTTGGTGCACGCAGCGAATGGGAAGCAAACCGGGTGCCGACGACGCCTTGGAGCTGACGATGGCTCTAACCGTCTCGGGCTATCCACACAGCGTAATGGATACCCCTGACGGGCGTCGAATGTTCTGACTTTTTGCTGCTGGCTGGCTGCTGGCTGCTAGCTGCTGTGCTGCTGTGCTGCTGTGCTGCTGTGCTTCCACCCCTTCTTCTACCCCCGGCCAGGCCTGCTATGTAGCCAGCCTGCGCTGCAAGTGCCGGGACGTCGCAGGTGTTTGTTGTTCTATGACTAACCTGACCTTAAGGTACCTACATATAGACTGGATCTCCATATCTTTGTTTGCGTGGCAGGCCGCGGGTGTAGGTAGTGTAGTGTTGTGTTGTGACTAACCGGCTTTCCGTTGGAATGGAAACTGGAAACGTGTAGAAGAACTACCTGAACAGATACATACTGTACCTGACCTTACCTACCTATATGTACAGAAAGACTCAGACTGTACGTGCGGACAGTAATACGCCATGGGATGCGTATGGACCGTATGGTATGGTACAGTACAGGTACTAGTCCGAGAACGTTCAAAAACTGTCTTTTAGTACAGGGGAAGCTTCATGCGATAGCAACAACGCAGTTCTACCTTACGGCAGGTGGACACGTGAAAACATTAGGTACGGTAATAACAATGAATCATGCAACTGATGCACACTGCTGGTCTTCCGGTGACTCGCCGCACGCCTCATTCTCGGTCTGAATCACGCCAAACGGCAGGGCAGGGCAGGACAGGGCAGGGCAGCAATCATCGACGGATCATCCATTCAATTCACAAACAATAATTGGAGAAGGATGGGATAGAGCGGCGTCGCACGGAAGCAATCAACATGTGACGCGCAAATCTCCGCAATCCAGAAATGCGACAGGTTTCCTCTTTATGAACTGAGACCTACATCATTAACCTCCTAGCAACTACATGTACCTTAGTTTACACTGGATGGCTTCCCCAGTCGGGTACTCCCAGAGGCGTGCCGTGGTGGAACTGCAACTAGTGGCCGACTTATCCTTTGGCACACGTGACTCGTAACTGACCTTGCTTCAGGTAGGAGGTACCTAGGTAGGAGGTAGGCTTGCAGCTTGCTGGGCTGGGGAAGGTTTTTGGGTCCTGAAAACTGAATTCTGTTAATTGAATATTTAACCTACTCGGCCTTGCCGCCGCCGACTTTCACACTTTTCGACCAGCAAGATTCTGCAGCCAGGCAACGGTCACATACCTGTATAAGGTATACCCCCCAGGATGGAGTTTGAGGAATCATCACTCCGCGGAATGTATGACCTTGTCACCCTCGGAGTCGCAGGAGGAACCCAAATCTCAAGCCGCACTTCGGCCGTGCTTGCAAAACTGCTCTCCACCACCACTACTGGTGATGAGACGACGAAGACGTCCATTGTAGCGCTCACTGCAACATCCAAAGCAGCAAGCAAATTAATCAGCATCGTGGAAATTGCCAAGCGAGAACTGCTAGCTCGAGGTCAGAAAGTCTACCAGTACAATGCGCTGGGCTCAAGAATGACTGAAATCCCGCGTCGTACACACGTTGAGACTGTCGTCACTGCGGAAAATCCAGCAGAAGAAGAATCTGATGAATCCGAAGAGGATGCCTTTGAAGTCATGGGAGGAGTCGTCGCCGCTGCCGCACCAGGGCAGGAAAGCGAAGGAATGAAAAAGAGAAATATACCAACGTTGAAGATCTATCTATCGACTGTCTCGGTGAAGGAGCTCAAGCTTGCATTTGGGTATGATGGCCGCTCGTCTTGAGTTCCATGTGTGGTAGTGCGTTGGACGTGTGTTGACATTATTTCTTGCAGAGAACAGACCTGAGAGATGATGATGAAGGTGACGTCCAAAGATACCTACAGGTGCCTTCCAGGTTTTGTGTACCAGGTATCTACAGGTATCTACCAGGAAAGGCAGGATGCCGTCTTCTCTGGTATGTAGCCGCGACTTCCCTCTCCCCGCCCTTGCGACATTGGAAGGACCTCGCTCAGGCTAGATTTATCAGCATTTTGGGAAACAGAGACACGTGACCTCACGAATCGCACTGTCTTCCCCAAACTTAGCTTGCACTTGGCGTCTTCTAGTTCTTCTCCAAGGAAGGCAGAGCGCAAGACCCAGTAGATAGAGTCCGTGGCAATGCCATGTGTCATGACAATCATGCTAGCTCTATAGGTCCCCAGTGAGATCGTGCAGAGATGCACGCATGTACCTGCTTGGAGAGCATAAACAACCTTTAGGCTCTGTCACGGATTCTGTCACGGAAAGGCTCAGAATGGAACAAGAAAGGATGGAAATTCCTCAGATGTGGTCGTATCATCGTACACAGACTGACTTCACTCTGCTGCTTGCATACACATCAAAAACCAGAAACGCCACTACCCACTGTCCTTGTGCCCGTTTCTTACTCGCAGGGAGTCCATGTCATATATTTTCATAAGTAAGAAACGCCCGCCCGCCCCACTACTGTTCGCTCGCTGGCGACTCTCATTTCGTACATCCCATGTCAATTCCACACATCACACAATGCCCATGCTCGAGTGTAATCCCGTGAGCCCTACTGCCGTATCGGTATATCGGCCGTCTCACTCTGATCCGATGCTCGGGCCTGCTGCAAGTCGTCCGGAAGATCCTGCTCATTTACCGATGATTCGCGGTGCAAGTGGCTCGCTTCCTTGACCGGCGAGCCCGCTTGTTGTCCATTTCCCGACAGCGTCGGGTGAAGGGCGGGAGCACCCGAAATGGAACCCCGAGGACCGTTTTCGGTGGTGGGTGTACCAGCCGATACCTGCTGGGAGAGGTGTGGGATGTTTTCGGGCCTAGGTGATATCGTGTCAGCAGCAGACCATCCTCATCTCTCTCTCTCCCCCTCCATCCTGGTTTCATTCTACATCTATTCTTCATTCTGTGCCTCTTCTGCTCATTTGAGATGAAGAAGAGAAAGAAAGCAAGAGACATGTACTCACGTCGGATGCTCCCTCCCCAGACCACCACTCAAACTTGCATCATCGTTCTTGCCGGCCTTACTCATAGCATAATCGCCCGAGTCAAAGTACTTCCGCTCCTGCAGCTTCTTACTGAAGAGATCCTTCTTGTTGGGAAGTTTGCCATATAAGCGGAAGAGCTTCTGCTCCTCTTCCGTGAGGGACTGCCAGAATGGAGTCAGTGATTCGCACAATGGTATCAGTACATCCGGGACAATGTGACGACGATGTATCGGTGGAGAGTGTGAGTGTGGAGTGTGAAGACGTACGCTCACGTCGACTTTGTTCTGTTTGTGCGGGTTCAAGGCCATCTTGGAGGAGGTGGAGGGGTAGGTAGTGGTGGTGGTGAGGCGGAAGCGTTCGGCGGCAGTAGTGGTGGTCTTTCGGAGCAAATCCCGAGCCTGCAGGTCGCGCCTTTTCTTTGTGTGTCGAGCTCTTTTCTGTGCTGGACGAGTGGTGTCTGTGCAGCTTTCCAGCGCCTTCGGTCTCGTGGGCGCTGGGGAGGAAAGGTTGGGCGATACGAGTCGTGGCGGGGCGCTTCCGATGGCGTTGAAGCTGGCGTCGTCGGAGTGGTGGTAGTGGTGGGTGCTGTTTGTGGGCAAATGGCCAATCCCAGGGTCGGTGCAGGAAGAAGCAAAGGGGTCAGAGGACGAGGGGATGAAGTTGAAGTCTGACGTGATGCTTTCTTCTCTCCTCTGCTGGTCGCACGGTGGTAGAGGTCTTTGGGCAGTGGTCGATAGTCCCCGCGAACAGCGTGCCGGAAGGTGTGCCGATTGGTGCAGGACAGCCAGGACAGAGCTTGGGTTGCTTGCAAAGCTGGAACTGGACCTGGAACTGGGTCTGGGACACTTTTCCTCCACTCTTTGCCTGCGCACACAATGTAACATGGGCGATGATTTATATTGGTGTAGTGTGGTGTTGTGGTATGGCAATGTCCCACAGTCAAGCGAATGAGCCAGATCTCATGGTGCAGCAGCAGCAGCAACAGCAACAGCAGCCGACCTGTCACTTCAAGTACATGTAGGGTCGAAGTTACGGTGACAGGCGTGGCACAGAATCTGGCATCACACCACTACTCACCAGAGGCATGCTCTTCTCGTGCACCACCGTGTCCCACGCGGACTTGTACCTCCCGCTGATACACTTACCTCAACATTTCAGGTACAAGAATCTACAACCCGAACGCGTCCCCTTAGTCCATCTTGGCATGTGCAACATCTGGCGCCATGGCTTGACCTATCCCTCGGCCTTCCCTCCGATACCAACGGTAGACGCCAAGACATGCCATAGACAACCATATCTACCTACCTAAGCGTCGGTTCTGCCTCCTGCCTGTCGGTCCAAGGGAGCATATCTCAGAGACAACCTTCTCCGCATCTGCATCGAGACCAGTGAGAGTGCGATGGGCTGTTACGATCTGGCCTGCTTCAACGCCTGCGTATAAAAGCTTTGCAAGGCGCGCACGTCTGTGCCGAGAGCAACAAAATCGAAGCGTTCTCTCGCTTTTCGAGCAGCTTCACCGTCCGTCACAAACAACCCCACCTTCTTCCCATACCGTTTCGCAGTCTCCACGATCTTGTTCATCGCCTCGAGAAACTCCGGCTCGGTCCCTTTGGCAGGCGTATAGCCCAGTAATGACAAGGCCAAATCAGTCGGTCCAATAAACAACAGATCTGGAGATTGATATCAGCAGTCGTCCTCGTCTTCTTGCTGATTATGCCTGTTGAGCTGTCTCTCGCTCGTTCGCTCTCTCTTACCAACACCATCCACCTGACAGATCTCCTCGACATTCTCCAGTCCTTGTCTCGATTCAATCTGAATCATCGTCACCAAGCTCTGATTCGCTTTGGCCACATACTCCGATGTTGTCGCGAGCCCATGCTCCAAGTACGCAAACGCCGAACCCGCCCCACGCACTCCTTGTGGGGGGAACTTGGCCATCGAAACTACCGATCGAGCTTGTTCGGCTGTATCTATCATGGGAACGAGTAGTCCACTGGGGAGGCTTGATGATCAGTGATGGTTTCTTCCTGTGATTTCAAGAGCCTCTGGAAAAGTACGGGCATGTTTCACTCACTGTGCTCCACTATCTAAGGCTCGCTTGATCAGCGGTCCTGTTGGGCCTCTGATACGAACAATGGGAGATGCCCCTGCGGCTACGACCGCGGAAACCATTTCGTGCATGTCCGTGTCACCGACGTAGCCTGTATTATTCGTGTTCATATCAGTGAGGCAAGTACATGTAGTGATCCGATGCAATACTTGAGCAGGAGAAGGAGGAGGAGGCGAGGTATTACGGACCATGTTCGCGGTCGATTATTACGGCCTGATAAGACGGGGGAAATCAGTGCTGCGACTACTGCTGCCTTTCTACATTAGGGATATATTTCTTACATCCAGACCTGTATTGGCTACGATTTGAGCTAGACGCATGCCTCTCATTGCCATGAAAGTGGACATGACCGGTTGGCCTTGGTCGAGCATGTTGAGTAGCTTGAGCTTAGGATTCGTCATAGCGGTGTTTTCTTCCCTGGCTGGTAATGTGGAATGGATGTTTTCTAATCAGTAAAGAAAGATAGAATCGGCGTCCAAGGAGGTCGATCTCCATGACAGTATATCCGAATGGGACATGGCCTAGGACACTTTCTTTCCATCCTCGGCCAACCTGCGAACTTAGAAGGTCTAGGCGGGGTCATCAAGTTTCAGCCTCCGTACCACTTTTCGACCTCACCTCTTCCGTCTGCACTGAATTCACGTCAGGGTCCCTTATAAAATCCAGCGTCACCACCAGACCATGCCGTATACACTCCAAGGAAGAAACGTCCTCATCACAGGCGGATCGAGGTATAAATTTCCCCGCTAGCCATCATCACAACTGAACCATCACTCTAACATTGCAAACTACCTACAAGAGGACTCGGAGCAGAAATAGCTCGCAAATTCGCCGCAGAAGGCAGCAATATCGCCATCAACTACCACAGTAAAGAAGCTCCGGCGAAAGAACTTTCCCGCGAACTCGAATCCCAATACCACATCAAAACAACAGTTCTCCAAGGCGACGCAGGCAACGTCTCGGACATTGAACGCTGCGTCCGCGAAACCGTGGAATCACTCGGTGGTCTCGACATTATCATCGGCAACGCAGGATGGACTCGATTCTCCCAATTCGACAATCTGGACGATTTGAGTTATGACGAATGGGACAAATGCTGGAATACCAACGTCAAAGGCAATCACGCTCTTCTCAAAACAGCCATGCCCATCTTTCAGGCGAATCCCGATGGGGGTGTATTCATCATGACGTCGAGTGTGGCAGGAAAATCGTTATCCGGGAGCAGCATGGCGTATAGTGTGACGAAAGCGGCGCAGATTCATTTAATGAAGTGTTTGGCGAATACGCAAGGTCCGAAGAGTGGAGGGAAAGTGCGGGTGAATGCGATTTTGCCCGGGTTGTTGTTGACGGATTGGGGGAATTTGTATGGGGAGGAGAGGATTGCAGGGTTGAAGAATATGGCGGCGTTGAAGCGGGAGACGAAGTTGGATGATTGTGCGCAGACGTTTGTGGATGTGGCGAAGAATACGAGTTGGACTGGACAGGCGATTCATATTGGTAAGTTGCCTTTTAGACCAATTTATCGTTGGGAGATATTTGCTAATTGGTAGATAGATTCGGGATTGAATGTCGGGCATATGTGATTGACAAGAGGTCATACCAAGCCAATAGGGGAAATTCCGAGCGAACTATCTCAGCCCGATTCATGATAGCCACAACGCTGGTGTGTATACAGTCTTGCATTCTAGCGTCTGTAGTCCCGAGACCTAGACACAGACCATCTAGATCAGCGGATAATAATCATGTTCCCTCTTCCTTCACAGCTCGTTTCCCTCTTCAGGCGGGCCTCAACTTACTTTCACTTGACCCAAAGAATACATCAAAGTCGTGATGTCCCTCTTCACCAGATCTCTACACACTTCGACATGTCTCACCCACCCACTCACCTTCACAACCACGATGACAGAGCAAAGCTGGTGGTGTTCCATCATCTACACTACCACCACCACCACCACCAACGAGACCTCTCTGTATCCTACTCTCCCAAACACAACAGCAATACGTCCCATCCGTCCATCTCGCTCCTCCAAACAAGCCACATCCCAAACTTCATTTCGACTTCAAGCAACGATGACAACCACAACAATATCTACTCCACCACGACCACAAACTTCTTCAATCAATCAATCAATCAATCAATCCCTCCCTTCAACAAATCAGATCGAACCCTCCTCCTCGTCAAATAACAACAACAAGAAGAAGGAGATGAAGAAAAACAATCAGAACAAGGGGAAAGAACAATTTTCTCCAATAACCAAGAATCATTCTCTTCCTTGTCGCAATCCTCATTCTTATCGTTGTTCTTGTCCTTGTCTCGATCCTATCGTATTCTACTACGGAGAGTACGGAGAGTACGGAGAGTGCGGAGAGTGCGGAGAGTGCGGAGAGTGAAATGATGATACAGAAATGGGATATTAGGAATACGGGATCAGGAATAGGAATACAGAATGCGTATAAGGGATTGTAAATAGGGAACAATAAATAGGGGAGAAGGGAGAAGGGAGAAGGAAAAGACGGGGTGATTAGGGATAGGGATAGGGATAGGGATTGGGGATAAAGATTGGGATTCATTAGCAGGAGAAGGGAGGGAGGAGACGGGAGGGAAAATAGAGTAGGTACATGTACATGTAGGTAGTCTTCTTCTCGTCGTCTATACCTATCTGGTAGGTATATAGATCTGGCGACTACAGGTTCTATTTCGACGATAAAGTAGGGGCAGGGTGGGTCCATTTGGCGTATCATGGCCTGACCTTTGCTGCCGTTGAGGCCAATGGCACACCGAGAGAGATGTGTATGCTTTATGTAGATGTGTTTTAGGCGGCACATTAGGAAGGACGTACAAGACTTTCACATGCTGCCACTTCAGCTAAGGTACCTTATTCCGTTTGAGTCACGAATCCTTACGTAATCCATCAGCCACGCGCTAGTGGGATTCGACATCAATGTTTAAAGTCACGACTTCAAACTGGGCACTTACTCACTACAACATAGCTGCTGTATGCCAAAACAGCAGCACTTTTTTTTCTTTTTTTAATCAAACATCCTCCCCTCCAGCTCCAGCACTGACACCCTCACCAAGCAGCCCCTCCAACACCCTGTCCCCGCCCGCCGCCCTCGCTCTCGCCGGAGAGCGCGAAATGAAGGCGCCCGCCTAGACGACTTATCATGAGCGCGTCAGATGGCGGCGGCAGCAACAACAAGAAGAGCCAGGGTATCCTTTTTTACCACCCTTCGCGCAACGTCACTCTCCTGGCCAAACGACGCCGCACAGAAATCAGCGCCGCGAGCGCTTCCCTACTCAGCACGTTCGCCGCATTCCCGCTTGATTTCACCAAATCGCGGATGCAATCGTACAACACGGGATTCGGGCACACAGTAAAAGATGCATACAAGGCTGAAGGTATGCGCGCCTTCTGGCGCGGAGTCGGGGCTCCGCTGGCGTCCATTCTTGTTGTCAGGACGCTCTCGATGAGCATCTACCAAAAGAGCAAGTATTTCTTCGACAGAATCATCCACGACATCACTGGAGAGAGCCCATTGGTCACAGCTAATGCTGCTGGAGCGTACCCAACAATTTGGACCATGCTGAACTTTGGTGCAGCTGGCGGTGTGGCTGGAGCCGCAGTCACAATCATCTCTTGTCCCTTTGAGCTAACCAAGCTTAATGAGCAGTTGGCTGGCAAAGAGGCGAGGAACAAGGCTGAATCGGGTCGCGGTCAGCATGCTACACACAACGGCGTCGGCGGCCAGAAGCCTGGAATGGTTGCGCGCTTCTTCAGGACTGGCAGCTTTGCCACTGCGTCGCGCCTGGTGAAAGATCGCGGTTTCGTTGGCTTGTACTCTGGCTACCGTCTGCACCTGATGAGGGACACCCTGGGAACCGCAATCTACTTCGCCACGTATGAGAGTGTGAAGCAGTTCATGGGCAACGCGAGAGGTCTCAGTGCTACCTCGCCTGGAGCCGTGTTGTTGGGTGGAGGAGCTTGCGGCGTTCTGAGCTGGGTCATAGTAAGTCACAGTCGTTTCCGAGTATGCTGAAGAGAGAGATTGCTAACTTCTTCCACTCAGGTCTACCCCATCGACGTCGCGAAGACCATCTACCAGAAGAATGCGCTCACCGCCGGAAGTGGCTACGCCGCTCGACCCAAGATCAAATACTTCGGAGGCAACTACCGCGGACTGGGAGTGTCGCTGGGAAGAACCTGTATTATCAATATGATCTTCTTCAGCACCTTTGAGTTCATGAAGAAGGAAATCAATGCTTTGGATCTCGATTAAAGGGCAAGCAGAGAAGGGCAAGCAGAGAAGGGCAAGCAGAGAAGGGCAAGCAGAGAAGGGCAAGCAGAGAAGCATGGATCGAAGAGAGAGGAACACACACACACAAGGGAGCGGGACGTGCACATCCCAGTTGCATGAGAGGATACTTCAACACAGGGGAGTTCACATTCGTAAGGCGTTTGAGCGTGGAGTAGGGATCATGGAGGCGTTAGCGTGTCATTGCTGGTCGAGCATATAGCTCCTGGCATACGAATTCACATATGGGCGGGCAAGGTCTAGAGCTGAGACTGCATTGAACCACTGTAGTTACCCACGGCTGCGATGATGGCAATTGCATGTAACGAGAGCGAGAGGGAGGCCAAGCCCCAGAGTGCTGAGAGATAGCACAATCGTGAACAAACATTAACCACAGACGGAACTACCTTTTCCAGATCTGACCACTGTCTTCATTCTTCTTCCCAGTAAGTATTGCTCATACATGTAGCTCTCGCGGAGGCTGAAGTATGAGTGAGTAAGTCACAGCTCTTTGGCGTCACCTACAGACACGAAGTACCAGCCAGAGAGAGACGAGAGAACGTCAAGTCCTCATCTACATCAGCGACCTCAGTGCAGTGTACAACAACAACAACAATAAGAACAACATCGCTCCGCCGCCCGTGTGCCGCGACCAAGTTCAATAAATCAGGTACGTACCTACGTCTTCGTCCTGCTTCGCGCACATTCGTGTATTGAACAACGACATGTATCTTATCTGACTGATGAGATGTTGTGTGGATTTGTACATACCTAGGTAAGGTCAGGTCAGGTAGGCAGGTAAGGTATTAGTAAAAAAAAGAGGATTTGTTTTTGTTTTTGTTTTGCTCTGGAACCCATGTTGTTGGGGCCTGGGGCCTGGGGGGTGGGGTGTTTGTTCCGCAGATAGCCTTCCTGGGGTTTTTGAGTCGAAACTGGTCCTGGGTACGTGGGTTCTAGAACTACATTACCTACCTGGTATATCAGACAGTTCGACAATCGACACTAGGAGGTAGGAGGTAGGAGGTATTAAAGGTAAGACCCCGAGATAACGGGAACCATGGGTCATATCTCACTAAGGTACCTGGTATGCTCGATGGATCGAGATCGGAACCTACCTTACCTAGTAGTCGGTCGGTGGGACTCAATACTTGACCGTACAGGTATGTGTTCGATTTTGTCGTATCTTTGTCGCTACCCAAGGTCGCTAATCACTATCCATATATATCCGCTCTCGCGACCTGTATATGCCTCACCTAGACTAGCAGTAGTTCTCGCGATAGACGGCCCAACCCCGACTACAGGCTACAGCGTCGCGTCTTGTCATATCATGGCACTTTACTTGTAGCCAAGTTTTCGTGTCGGCCGCCTTGGTTTAGTACCCTGATTCGCAAACTAGTCAGGGTTCCCCAAGTCTTTCCAACTCGCGTACAGGAACTAGTTCTCACGAGGGAAATGCGAGTGCCCAGTGGGTATTGGGTCACTGGGTCGCTGGGCGTGCTCGTGCAAAAAGACGCGTGCCCCACTATATCACCGGGCCAACCAACCGTGTTCAGCGGAAAACAATAGCCCCCAGCCAGCCCAGCCATCCACACATGGGCCGGTCGTTGCGCAATCCGCAGCGGCTACTGGACAAGTCGCAGACGAGAAGGTTGGGACTGTGGTTCCAGGCCAGTGTGCGTGTATCCGTCGTGATCGTACGGAGGTACTGCTTGTCGGATTTAGACTCTGTTATTGCGCATCTGCCGTTTGTTGATGCTGCCAGATATCTATTCTGTACATGGGTCTCTGCACTCTACCACCGCCCGGCACCCGTAGTACTATGGCCACCCGTTCGATTGATTGATGAGACCTGCCTCGCTCATTCTTCTCCCATACCTGACTCTGGATTCATTCCGGCCTTCTGGATCACTAACACACATTCTTGTCTAAGCTGTGCAACTACTGCTGGGGAGCGCAACTTGAACTTGATCCGCTACCTTACCTTACGCTCGCCTCCGATACGATACGATACCACCACGACCAAGAGCTCACGAATGGGAGAGAATGGTGGAGGAGAGCATGGTGTAGTAGTAGCAGCACGAACGACACCAGTCTCGCGGTCGTCTTCTGCATGACCTTGGCACTCACCTCCGAATCCATATTCTTATGAAGAACCAGTTCCTGCCATGGAGCCTCTGGGCTCTGTCGCATGTGGCGCTGGCCGATACCTCACTGCCATACAATCCGACGGCTGTCCTCACATGGGAGAACTCCACCACCGCATACATCTTGAGCGGCTCGTCGAGCAATGCGAACCAGGGCACGCTACAGGCATTGGATGTCTCGGGCCAGTTCTCCGTCAATAAGCTGTCAATCAAGACTCTGTCGCAGACACTGCCCTTCTTAAACAGTGATACCCTCGTGCCGTATGTGCCCATCATCGATGGCGCTGGCAACATCACTGTCGTTGCAGGCAGCTGTGACGCGGGGCCAGATGACACCACGCTATGGCGGTATTCGGGAGGGTGGGCACAACATAACACATCTGGAACACAACTCAGCTCAAGTGGGAACTTGGTGGGAGTCAACTATCTCAGTAACGGAGTGGCCTTCACGGCTGGCGTGGCCGATACAGTGACGGCAGCAGACTTCTATGTCTTTGGCGGCATGTGTCCCGAGAGTAATAGCACGGCAGCAACATGGCAAAGCGACGCAGAGTACTCGCAAACGATGCTGGAATATGCCTCGGGAGATGGAAGTACATATGATATCAGCAACACGGCCGCCAGAGGGCCACCTATACCGGAAGCGGGATTCTCCATGACGGGCCTCACGCCCACTTTTCGAGTCAACACGACGGGGAATGCGCAGACCCAACAGCGAGACTTTCTGTTGTTTGGCGGGCACACCCAAGATGCATTCCTCAATACTTCTCAAGTCGCCATGTTCTCTCTGCCACAGAATAGCTGGTCGTTCTTGCCAGTGCAGCAGCCATCAGCAACCAGAACAGATCTCGCTGCACGTTCGTCTGATGTCTCAGCGGTGGAGCCCCGATCAGGGCATACAGCGGTACTTTCGCAAGATGGCAGCAAGATCATCATCATCGGGGGCTGGGTGGGAGATGTCTCGAACCCTGCACAGCCACAACTGGCAATACTGAATCTAGGCTCCGAATATGGTGGAGATGAAGCAGAGGCATGGACCTGGACAGTACCCGATCAAACGGGCAGCGGCATCGCCGCAGGCACTGGATTATACGGACATGGTGCAGCCATGCTTCCTGGTGGCGTTGTGATGATCGTAGGCGGCTACACCATTCCCGCTGCATCATCCTCGAGATATGCCCGAAGGCAGGCGCAGGTCAGCGATCAGATCTTGCTGTACAACGCCACTGCGAACCAGTGGATTGACTCGTACACGAATCCTTCGTATACTGGGCAAGCGAGCGCATCCACGTCCGGAGGTGGAGCTCTAAGCAAGAAATCGCAACAAACAGGTCTGGGTTTGGGTCTCGGTCTGGGCGTGCTCGTGCTGGTGTTGCTGATTCTGGCGTACTTCTGGTATTCCAGGCGTCTCCAGAAGAAGCGGGAGGAGCGCGAACAGGCATTGGTGCATTCTGCAGGCGGGTCATTCATGGCTTTGGATCAGCCATTCCTGGATCATGGAAGTGTGCATGATCGACGCAATGGGCCGTATTCTGCCGTCGGGAACGGTGAACAGCAGATGCAACAAGCCGCTTCCACAGGTCTTTTCGTCAACGTGCCAAGTTCTCTTCAAGGCCTGGCAAGCAGGCCCTACAGCTATCACAAGACAGCAAGATACGACGACTCGCAGGTCATACAGGGCAGTGGTAATATACATCCCATTCTCGAACGACAAGATGAGGATGATGTTGAACGAGCCAGCACTCCACGGGACCCCTTCCTCGATCAGTCCCCAACTCTGGAGCCAGGACAAGTGCGCGACAGGTTTAGTAATGCCGAGGCGAAGCTACAAGAGCTACAGCGAGTGCTGCACTCGGGCACCACGACTTCGCCTGTTCGTGAAAGTTCCCATGATGTGGTCCCGAACCCGCTAGGAAGTCATCCTCACTCGCCACAACCGGCTAATGCCGCAGAAACTTTGCGTAGAGTTCCGACCTTTTTGTCCCGGCATCAGGTCATCGAGCGGAAGCCAGTGTCCACTGATCAGGACGCGAACTGGGAGGTGATAGAGCACGAGTACGATGAGCTGCCTGGCTCGAGCTCCGGCCATGGTTCTGCACCTGCGTCTTGGACGGGCCGCATGTCACCTACCAAGACAGATGAACGAACGTCCTCCACGCTGAGTGATCAATCTTCTCGTTCTCACACGTCCACGAACTCGATCACGCGCACAATGTCGACACGTACGGGAGCGGCGATGGTAGCAGCGCTGGCCCGGCGGGAAGCCGACACCACGCCATGTACGTCGCCACTGGCGACACGAACAGGAACCATGACTACGACGGCATCGAGCAGTGGTAGGAAGTCACCGTATTACTTCCTAGGAGCGCACACGGAAAGTCAAAGGAAGTCGAGGAGAGAGGCCAAGAAGGCACCGGCATTGGAGCCTATACAGAATGCCGATCAATCGACCGAGTCCTTCATGACGGCTCACTCGTCTTTCATCGGCCTCCAGCAAGAAGGCAAATCACTTCTCGGCGGCAGCCCCGTACGTGATCGCGATGATCCGTACCAACGAGCACTGGCCGCTCATGGCATGAACGTCAGCGGACAAAAATCGGAAGCAGAGGCGTCATCGGTTCCACATCGAAGACAAGGCTGGATGGGCAGTATACGCCGAGCGTTGACGACAGCCATGAATGAGCGCAGCTTCAGCATGACTAGTCAAAGTAAGCACGCCCACGATGAAGTGGACCCGCGAACCTCTGCATCATCTCCCACCCGAATGTCGGGCAGTGGGATTAGCGCCAGCGACGGCCCACGGCGTACCGTATCCGATGGCGGCGCGCTCCTCAAACAGAAACGAGGACAGAAAGATTGGGATGGTCTTGATCCGTACCGAGACGATCCCAACCTCGCAGGTGACTGGGGCGAGGAAGCTCGGACGTCTCTCGAAGTTCGGGAAGCCGAAAACGAGTGGGATGTGGAGGGTGCTGCTGCCAAACGCGACTTTCAAGTCATGTTCACCGTTCCCAAATCTCGATTGCGGGTGGTCAACGCCGATATCGAACGCGCGAGTATGCGATCTGCTTCAGATGGAGCCATCAGTCGCAAGGAAAGTATGCTGAGCTTGAATGCGAGAAACCATGTAGTGGCGCAATTGAGTCGAGAGGGAAGTGTGAATACGGTCCGAAGTCGTAGCGGAGGAGACATTGAGAATAGCCAAATGGAGTTGCGATTGCGAGGCATCATGAGGGCTGAAGAGCGGAATACTAAAAAGGCCGTTTGAACCGCAAATGTCTGTCTGGCTGGAATGTTAGGTTGTTCTAGATGCCCCCGTGATGATGACTTACTTTTCTTCCATAGGTGGATTTTTCAAAATGGATGGGCGAGATCCCCTACAATCAGATTCGCAATGGGGCCGGATTGGATTGGATGGGAAAGGTGAATGGATGGATGATTGGTACAGATTGTGAAAAATTAGCGAAAGGTGCATGGCGTCTTATTGTTTTGTTACTGGTTCAGGTACTCTTTGAGAAGATGATTTCTATTAGATCAGCTTCTAGTTTTTTTTTTCGAGACGAGTGTGTTTATACATATATACCTAGGTACTTTATGCTCGAGATGTATAACGCTTTTTTTATTTCTAGTCGAGAATTCTTCCTAAGAGTAAGTTAAGATCTTTCTCTGATAGTATTCTGTTAACTATACTACTATCTATACACTTGAGACGTATATTGCTTTTTACTTCTAGTCGAGAATTCTTCTAGAGTAGAGAACTTCCTTTTTACTTCTAGTCGAGAATTCTTTCTAAGTTAAGGACTTTCTCTAATAGCTCTCTATTAACTATAGTACTATCTATACACTCGAGATATATAATATTTTTTACTTCTAGTCGAGAATTCTTCCTAAGTTAAGGACTTTCTCCGATAGCTTTCTATTAACTATACTACTATCTATACGCTCGAGACGTATATTGCTTTTTACTAGTAGTCGAGAATTCTTTCTAGATTAAAAGACTCGAGAACTTCTTCTAATAATTTTTTCTTCTTATCGAGGGCTCTTTCTAAGTCGAGGACTTTCTCTAATAGTACTCTATTAACTATACTACTATCTATACGCTTAAGACGTAAAACGCTATTTACTACTAGTCGAGAATTCTTCTAAAGTAGAGAATTCTTTCTAAGTCGAGAATTCTTTCTAAGTCGAGAGCTCTTTCTAAGTTAAGGACTTTCTCCGATAGCTCTCTATTAACTATACTACTATCTATACGCTCGAGATATAAAACGCTATTTACTACTAGTCGAGAATTTTTTCTAAGTAGAGGACTTGCTTTTTACTTCTATTCGAGAACTCTTTCTAAGTTAAGGACTTCTCCTATAGCTCTCTATTAACTATAGTACTATCTATATACTCGAGACGTATATTGCTTTTTACTTCTAGTCGAGAACTCTTTTTAAGTCGAGAACTTTTTCTAAGTTAGGTACTTCTCCGATAGCTCTCTATTAACTATAGTACTCTCTATACGCTCGAGACGTATATTGCTTTTTACTACTAGTCGAGAGCTCTTCCTCGATATTACTCCTCGAGCTCGGCTATTATCTCCTTCAAGTACGAGTATTTCCTAATATATTCCCGCTGCTGTTATAGATACCTTATAGGTGCCTACCTTGGCTACGAGTTGAGCTATAGTAGCAAGGCATAAGATATACTTCTACGAGAGATAGTATACTTGTGCTTGGGCCCTTGTATATCGTAATTGCTATATAATATTGTCGGAAAGGACTTGGCCAATTTCTCGGGGGAGCGCGTCTGACGAGGTCAGGAGCAGTGGTAGCCTGGAGGTTTGCTGAGTTGTACACACATGGAACTGGTCAAATGTTGAGCCTGCTGCTCTATGCCTTGGCTTTGAAGCTCGTTGATGTTGATAACTTGAGGTCTTCATGGCTCGAATTCAGCAGTACATGATGGAGCAATTTGGTTGAAGAACTTCGTCTCTGGGGGTATCTTTGCTGCTCCGTGTCATCGTCGCTCTCCTCATGTCTAGAAACGAAGAAGTGAAGCTCACCGCAGGAACCGTGCTACCAGAGTGTACACCATGCGTTCCCCGCTCTCTTCTCGTCATCACTACAGTTTCGGCTTGCCCGCCTCGCCCTTCAACATAGCATCGGCGATATTCCTCCTCTGAATCTTGCCCGTAGCCGTCTTCGGCATGGCCTTGACGAAGAAAACCTTCTTTGGCACCTTGAACTTGGCCACCTTCGACTTCATGTATTCAATCAGTTCTTCCTGTGTCAAACTCTCTCCTTCCTTGACCACCACTGCAACTCCCACGTCTTGCCCATACAACTCATCGGGTATGGCAAAAGATACCGCCTCCGCAATCTTGGTTTGTTGTGCCAGTGTGTTGTCCAATTCGATAGGCGAAATCTTCTCTCCCCCTTTGTTGATGAGCTCTTTGATTCGACCTGTGATGTAGACATAGTTCTCTGCGTCAAGAAACCCTTGATCACCGGTTCGGAAATATCCCGTCGACGTGAAGGCTTCTTGGTTGGCTTTTTCGTTGTTGAGGTAACCTGCTGTGACATTGCTTCCCTTGATTGAGATTTCGCCTTCCTTTCCCTGAGGAACTTTGTGGCCTTCCGCGTCGAGGATGGCAACCTCGACGCCTTGACCGATGCCGACTGAGCCTGGTTTTCGCTTCCCTTTTGATGGGAGAGGGTTGGAAGTCATTTGGTGGGAGGCTTCTGTCATGGCGTAGGCTTCCAGTACCGGGGCTTTGAAAGCTGCTTCGAGGTCATGAAAGACTTTGGGGCTGAGCGGACTACTGCAACTTCGAATGAAGCGAATGTTTGGAAGAGGACTGGGCCAGGCTGAGGGTGTTTTGAGTAAAATTTGGTGGATTGTGGGTACAGCGGTGTACCAATTGGCTTTGTGGGTCACAAAGTGAGTCCAGAACGTGCTGGCGGAGAAGGCACCTGGGACAATCACACTGCCCCCAGAAGCGAGAGGAGCAAGGAATGCTGCTAGCAGACCGTGGACATGAAAGAGTGGCATGACAAGCATTGTGCGGTCGGCTGGGCTGAGCTGGTAAGTATCTTTCACGTTCGACATAGTTCTCGTCAAGTTGCGGTGCGACAGCGGGACGGCCTGTCTCTCTATCAGTACAGGACTTTGACCATGTCGCGCGCGGAGACATACCTTTGGCCTGCCTGTCGTACCAGAAGTATGCAGGACCAGCGCAGTATCTTCCGGCTCTGCCTTTGCCACCGGCACATTTCCACGCCCTGCGAGTTTGCCCTCATCCTTGATATCGAGCACTATTTCACCAGTCTTTAGGTCTTGATAGCACTCCGCCACAGCGGCCTTGTATCTTCTGGCAGCCTTTACCGCTGGCCCGTCCGCCTGCCCTTGCGGCACCAAAACCAACGCTGATGACAGGTCATCAATGTAGAATTCGAACTCGCTCTGCTTGTATGCTGGGTTCAACGGCGCAGCAATTCCCCGCTGCCATGCTGAAGCCAAGAAGGAGACAATGAAGGCATAGTTGTTTGGTATGGCAATCGACACGGCGGCGCCTTTGGTGATTCCTAGCTTTGCGAGCTTGTGCTGGAAAGAGAGAACATCGGCATACAGCTGCTTGTAGCTGATCTCTTGAGCTGGAGGGCCGGGGACGATGACGGCTGTCGAGGTCGACGTGCCGGAGAAGGCGTTGGATAAGGTAGACATGGTATGCGAGAGCTGATGGTATTGAATGAGAGAACTTGTTCGAATGAATACCTACAGATACAGGTACAGTCGCAGGATACCTGTACGTATCTTGCACGCCTATCACTTCAATCCCGTGGAGATGTCCGGTCGTGATGCAATGCCCGGCTTGACGATCTTCGAGGGCTGGTGGCCGAAGCGATATCGGCGGGAACGGGAACGGCATGTCGACCTCACCCTACCTCCTAGGTAATTCTCGGCTATCCTGTCCTCTCCCTCGACTCCTTTCTCCATCTGCATTGACACAGCCCTACCTCCTACCATCATTGGCGTGACGACGGACGAGACAGAAGAGCGCGCATGGAATGGTACGCTATTGCTGGCGATGAAGAGCCGTTATCATGGGGATGGGTATCAGAATACATCTTGGAAGGGTTTTTCCGGGTAACAAATGATCGAGTCACTCTTGTGGGTGAGCGACTGCGACAATGTGGATGGGGGTGGAATAGAGCGTGCATGGGTCGGGCACGGAGAGGTAGCCGTCAAGAGCTGCTGTAGTACGTGGTAGGTTTGTGGGCGCCAATAGAGGAGGCAAGGGAGGGTATACATCTACACCATGGAGGCATCATTTGCGGTGATACATACTGGAGTCTGAGTAGGTCGCTTTCACGAGCCCCTGGTGGTGAAGCGCTCGCAAGTCGTGCCCTGGTGCAACTGACTCTTTGCGCTTTTCCCCACCATGAAATTTCTCTTCACATCAATCCTTTGTCCCCCACATCTCCGCTGCGTAACATCACCATGGCTGTTCTCGAAACAGTCCCCGGCTTCTCGGTCACTGTGCATGTTGACGGGAAGCCACTCCAGGAATATCGGGACTCCGACGATGACGGCGAGCCCGAAGTGACCACATGCTTCGTGGAAGCCACAACCGGCAAAGAATTCGAGGTCTTCTTCCGGCTCGAGAAGGGCATCGAAGCTGAGTCGAGTGCATTTGAAGTCAGGATCATGGTTGACGGTACAGAGACCGACAGCGCCCTTATGGACGCGAAGAGAGCTAGAGTTCACGGTGAACAGTTCCAGAGCACAGGCATGCAGATTAGTCGCACAGAGCTTGCCAAGTACAGATTTGCTCCTCTTGAAACTAGCCAGTCAGAGTTGCAGTGACCAGAGTATTGAATACCACGCTAACGTACATCAGTCAGTGATGGATGTCAAATGACGGACGACGCGAATGAGAAGCTCAACAAGGATTTGGGCACTATCATGGTCAAGGTGTGGCACGCGAAGAACTTGAGGCAGAGCTCTGAGATAAAAGACTATTCCCGTGATTCCGTGGAACAAACGGTGAACCGCTTCTCGGAAACAATAATCAAGGGCCAGGCTCTCTCACATAGAATGGCGTAAGTTGAAGGCTGTCCCCCTTTTCTCAGATGAGCTAACCAGCCTACAGGTACAGTAAGCCTGTCAAGAGCGTCGATGAATCAGATGTGTACAAGTTCGATGTTATTGGCGGTATACACGCGGAACCGGCCGTTACCCGGAAGTTGGAAGCGCTCAGTGGTAGCAGGCTTTGAGCCTTTTCTTGCGACTTTGGGCAGACTCATGGAGGCCGAAACACAGATACCAGCAGCACTTTGCTCCTCCATAAGAGATTGCTAGAGACTTCTCTTGCTCCGTAGGCAGCTCGCCTGACCGAATCAGGATAATCTTCAGCGCATCAACTCCTCTGTTCTACTCATCTCTTCGGTGCGTCTTCTGCCGCGCTCGACGTGATTGATCATATGCGTGATATCTCCCAAGATATCGATGATTGCCTTACTGTTTGCAATTATGCATTCAGAAATAATAGAATATAGGATAGACAATGAGGCCAAAGACGGCGACACCTACAGGTATGTAGTTCTTCCGCCACAGCTAGGAGGTAGGTATACAGGCGGAGGGAATGTAGTAGTAGCCCCCTTTTTTTTGTTCAATGATCCCACGGCAGCCAGCCAATCACGAGCAAGCGGAGGTAGCATCTTCACATTGCCAAGCAGGATGACGGGAGCCGAGAGGCCCGAGACTAATGGACGGGAGGACGAGCCGTCGATCCTTCCCATACTCCACGCTTCTCCGCTCTTTTCCCCCCGCCTCTTCTCTCGCCTCCACGCTATCGCCACGAGAATTCTCCGAGAGACTGGAGGTCTGTACCTTACCTCCTCCTATACAGGAGGTATCGCCGAGGGAAGTGCGGTTAGATGACCGCTGAGGCTGGATCGAGTCATTAGTCGCAATTGTTTCGACCACCCTGACTTGTGTCGCAATACCTCCTAGAGATTTGCGGAGACCCCGGTCAGGTGAACAAAAAATTCATACTTGAAAGAGTATCATCGCACAAGTTGATCACGAAGCATAGCATATCAGGGACCGACGCCATAGTTCTAATAGTTGCTCGCGGGGCGATTTGGATTTCTCAGCGGCCTGTCTACACACGATCAACACCCGTAACGCAACCAAGCTTCGCCCAAGGACTCCTTCTGCTTATACTTAAACTTCGATATGAGTTCCAACATCAGCAGGCGCAAGCGATAGGCCCGAGGCACTGGCTTCGCGCATCTCTACATCTCATGCGCCATTTCATGAATACGGTTAGATGAAGAAGCATCTGCCGAACAGTGCTCGGCCAACCTCCTATAGAGAATCCTAACATTGATCAGCAGTTACATTGAGGCGGCGACCATCTCGACGCGGCTTAGTGGGCTCTGGCAAATGCGGCTTGAACATGCTGGGCCACGCAGGTCGAGTTACATAGAAGATACAGTGTACTTGTGATGGAAGCAGGTCCCCGTCAACCGTGGAGGTAGCTGTTGTTGTAGGTGGAACTCTGTACGGTGTTGACTCAGGACCCTCGAACCTCGGACTGGACCCTCATGACCCTTATTATACTCCAAAAACATCACCTAATGTGAGTACCACCTAGCGTAGTAATAAAGCTATGTGGACCACATGGGAAGTATCCACCCGGTCATCCACATAACACTGGACAAGTAAGGTGTTTACTCGTACTGGATCAAGGCTCTTGCAACGGATGGCACAAACTGTGGTGCTTGTGCTGAAGAAATAACCACAACCTCGTGCCCGAGAGATATGGGACGAAACCTCGAGATTCTGCCATACCGCCAAACAACTTGCGAACTCGTATCACACTACTTAAGGCTTGAGTTCTAGCTACTTGGAAGTCATCTTGCTACCTCCACCAGTACTGGTTTCCACTAGAGACGCATTCATTGCATCTTGAGCGAGCGCACATATCACGCCGGTTGACCGAAATTCCCAAAAGAGATCAAAGTCGTGTCGATCTACAGCGTCGGCAATGGGACTTCTACAGCTGACAATTATTTTGTCTCGAGTGGCTCGCCACTCTCAGCAACTCTAGCAAAGAAGCTTAAGTCCACATCTTTCTGATGTGCGTTATACCGTTCTTGGCCTGATTGGTGATTTATGACCAATGAGAGGAAAGCATGGCATGATATCCTCCGCGCACTACTTTACACTAACTATTCCGAAGCGTGACTGACCCCAAAGAGGCGCATACTCAGACCCCGCAGATGCAGATCTCTACCACCGACGACGGATATGGTCGAAAGAGACATGCAGACATGCAGATCCCAGCCATCAGGCCGTTCAGTCAGAATGAATATAATTCGAGCATGCTCTCCTTGCTGAAGACCACCAGCTATCAGCCACCATTCCCTGCTCTTCGCACTCACACAACGACAACATGGTTGCGACAATCCTGTCAACCGCCCTGCTCCTGAGCGGAGCAGCGGCCTTCCCTCAAATGGCCGAGATGGTTGCCAACAACAAGCGACAGGTTGGGATCCCGACAGGCGCAGTCCAGTTCCCAGAATTCCCAGGAACACCGGTGCATGCGAGCTTTAACAGCTTCGACGCAAGCTCGCAACTCGTATCAACTTCGGGGGACCATGAGTTCCGGATGCCAGGTCCTGGCGATGTGAGAGGACCATGTGCAGGGTAAGGATGAACAAGAATTTGTGCAGGCAAGCAACGTACTGACAGTGCGAACAGTCTCAACGCAGCCGCCAACCACGGCTACATCCCTCGCGACGGTATCGCTACTGCAGAGGCCATCAACACTGGTCTGTGGGAGGCATTCTCGCTCGACAAGACAGCAACTCTCTTCCTCCAGACAGCAACGATGTTCTTCAACGGTGATCCCATCAGCGGTAGATGGTCCATTGGTCCACATGACCCCCGGACGGGATCACTCGGACCTCTCGATGGCTTGCTCGGCAACGAGACCGGTATCTGTGCATATGGACATTTGAGAACGGAAGCAGATGCTTCCATCACCCGCGGTGACTGGCTTGCACCAACCATGAACTCCAACTGCATCTCATACCCACAATTCATGCAGGAACTCTTCGATCTCGCAGACCAGATGGGCAACGGCCTGATCACAGCACGTGTAATGGCGCAGCACTCGTCCAACCGCAAGAAATACAGCATCGCCAACAATCCCAACTACTTCGCTCCCGTGTACCCTGGTGTTGCCTTCACCTTTGGTGCACACATGTTTGCCAATGTGCTGCTCTCCAACCACTCCGCACAGGAGCCTCGGGGTTTCTTGACCAAGGAGGTGTTTATGCAATTCTTTGGGTACACTCGAGATTCCAACGGAGCTCTCCAGTACACCTTTGGCTCTGAGCGCATCCCCGACAATTGGTACAAGCGATCCGAGCAAGACCCATGGACTCTCGCCGACATTCTTGCCTCCACCGCTCAGCAATGTGTTTCCTACCCCAGCAACTGCCAAGTGGGCGGCAACACCGGTACCGTCAACAGCTTCTCCGGTGTTGACCTCGGAGATATCTCTGGTGGTCTCATCAACTCTGCGACAGATCTCCAAGACCCACAGCGACTCGGCTGCTTCATCTCGCAGATGATTCAAGCCGACACGCCATCCTTCCTGGCGGGCGTCTTCAACGGCAACCTTCTCAGCCAAGCTATGGGTGCGGTGCAGACCAAGCTGCTCCCTGCTCTTGCTGGTCTCGGTGCGTGCCCCAATATGCCCAAGGGAAAGGCACAGGGAGAATGGGATCACCAGTTTCCTGGCGCCAACAGTGCTGTTGAGGGACCTCGTAACCTGTATGGTAACTAGATTTTTTACGACAAGTTATGCCATTTATGAAAGAATTTCAATTGATAATAACCATTTTCTCTCGTCCCATTCACATTCCCCCCCCCCCTCCCCTCGTGGCTATACATACCGTGAACATTTTTTTGTGTGTCATATATCTTTCACACATCAATGTCGTTGTCGTTGGAAGTTGAAACTCAGTCCGCACAGGGAACAAGGATAAGTACTACCTTTCGGTATACGAATACCTGGCGATTCTTGGCGCGGCAGTATTAACATCCCGCTCCAGTCCACTTCACTTCACCTCCTCATTCTCTTCAGCTCTTCCCATTTACCAGAAATACCTTACGGAGATATGCCATTGTCGAAACTGGGGCACAGAGATTTGATGCGAAGTGCTCCACACAGCGGCTCGCTTCCTCGCTCGGTCCGAGGGGTCGGTCCACTACCATGGCGTCACTTCGGCGCCCAGTCCGAAGACTTGCACCTCGAAAGGATTTTTACACCTGAATCCTTAATTTGATTTTAGGTATACCGTATACCTAGGGGCGTTTAGAATGATTTGAGACAGAAACTCGGGTAGCGAACGACAGAAGCGCTGGCAATAAATGGAAGTCATCGATATTAGATGGAGTTTGAAGCACGTATATACATGCTACGCGGCTTCCTCTTCCAAAGAGGTGAAATGTCGATCTCGTTTTTGGGTGGCCCGTGAACGCGTGCGGCGTGGTGTGGCGAGATGATTTTCGGACCCCCTTTCTGACCCGAGCGGGAAAGTAATCTGCAAGGGGACACAGTGACACACACGGTCGTTTTTCACAGAACCTCACCTCACCTGCATTACCTTACCTCCTACCTCCTACCTCCTACTTAGGAGAAGTTGTAGGTATTCACTTTCAACAACAACAACAACAACGGCAGCACCAACAACAGCAACAGCACATGTGGATTTGGTGCATCTGCGTGTTGAATTGAGTGCTTTCGCAATAATCATGACGGCGGAGATTCATCCGTATTTGACGGAGCCGGATTTGATTCTGCTTCGGAATTTGTTTGAAGACAATAACGACAGCGAGGACTCTGGGGCAGCAGGACCACAAGACAGCAAACACGACATACAACCCCATGGCCACGGCGACAGCGAGACGACGACGACGACCAGTACACCATCACAACCACAAGAGAGCCTAGATGAGCACGACCGAGCAGCTCTTCGACGTCTCAAAGCGCTCAACGACCCGAATGACCCCCAATTCCAACCCACCGTCTTCGTAACCTGGGATGACAAGGACATTCACCCTCTCCTAAACGAGTACATTGTGCGTCCATATGCGCGAATTGCATCTCGCATCGTCCGACACCCCACCGATGTCGTCTTTCTCACACATATCCTGCTCTACTTCACCGTCAACCTCCCCAGCGCCATCTGGCTCTTTTACCGATTTTCCTACCTCCACGGCATCGCACACGTGGCCTTCACATTCTGGTGCACGGGAGGTTTCACCTTGATGATGCATAATCACATTCACAATAATGGCGTATTATCCCGGAATTGGGCTTGGCTGGATTGGACGTTTCCGTACATTCTAGAGCCCTTGATGGGTCACACGTGGGATTCGTATTATTATCACCACGTCAAACATCACCATGTCGAGGGCAATGGACCCGAAGATCTCTCTTCTACCATCCGCTATCAACGCGACGACGTGTGGAATTTCCTGCACTATGTCGCTCGTTTCCTGTTTCTCATCTGGCTCGATTTACCGCTGTATTTCTTGCGCAAAAACAAACCTCTTCTGGCCTGGAAATCTTTCATTTCGGAATTCGCCAGTCTTGCGTTTTTCGCCTTTATGACGACGAAAATCCATTTCCAAGCTGGCATTTTTACCTTGATTATCCCTTTTTGTCTCCTCCGTCTCGGCCTCATGATCGGCAATTGGGGCCAACACGCCCTCGTCGACGACGTGGACCCGACGTCGGATTTCCGCTCAAGTATCACTCTCATCGACGTACCCAGTAATCGATTTTGTTTCAACGACGGCTATCACACTGCACATCATTTGCATCCTCGTCGGCATTGGCGGGAGCAACCCGTACATTTTTTGCAGTCGAAGCATCTCTATGCGGAAGGAAGGGCGTTGGTGTTTCATAATATTGATTATTTGATGTTGACGTGGGCGTTGTTGAGGAAGGATTATGCTCGTTTGGCAGACTGTTTGGTTCCGATTGGGGAGGTGCAGAGGAGCATGAATAAGAGGGAAATTGCGGATTTGTTGAGGAGTAAGACGATGGCGTTTTCCGAGGGGGAGATTGCGGAGAAATTTGGGAAAGGTAGGACGGCGACGAGGAGTGGAAAAGGAGGTGGTGGTGGTGCAAAAATTCTTCGTTCGGCTTCGTCGGCGGCGGCGACGTGGAAAAAAGCTGTGGTTGCGAGGGTTTCGAGTTGGGTTCCTGCTGCGTTGGGTGTCATGGCCATGGGGCCTGCGGGGGTCGAGGCGGAGGGTGTGAGATCGAAAGTGCAGTGAGTTTACTTTGGTGTGTGTGTGAGAGAGTGTGAGAGAGAGAGAGAGAGAGAGAGAGAGAGAGGAAGTGTGAGAGAGAGAGAGAAAGAAAAGACGAGAGATATAGATATAGCCAGCCAGCCAGCCAGCCAGTCTAAAACGAGACGTCCAATGTCTACAGTCTTCCTCTACGCCCTCCTCCTCGTCAAAATCACATCCAATCCCTCCTGCCTCACAGCCCAAGAATTCCACACCTCCCAATTCCTCTCGGGATCCTTCAACTTCATCTCATACCTCATCACCAGCGCCGGAACCAACTTGGACATTTCCAACATGGCAATATTCCTCCCCAAACATGTCCTCTTCCCCGCACCAAAAGCCAAAATGTGATGATCCATATACTTGACCTGCTCCTGCTCCGCATCGTCGCGGAGCCATCGATCGGGATTCCATTCCTCGGCATCCGCGCCAAAGATGCGGGTGTCGCGATGGAGAACCCAGGGGTTGATTCCGATGATCGTGCCGGGTGGGATGAAGGCTTCGCCGATTTGGAGACCTTGGGCGGGAGTGATGCGTTCGAGTGGTAGTGCGAGAGCGGGGTTGAGACGGAGGGCTTCTTTGATTACTGCGTTCAAGTATGGCAGGACTTGGACTTCGGACAAAGTTGGTAAAGGAGCAGTTAGTTTTCCGTTGTCTTTTGCTGCCTCGAGCTCGTGTTGGAGCTTCGTCAGAGTCGTGGGGTGCTTGAGAAGGTAGTAGAATATGGCTCGTGCAGTGGAGGCGATCGTGTCGGAGCCTGCGTTGATGTTGATGAAGAGGTAGGCGAGAAGTGCTTGATCCGTGACGATTTCCGGCTGTTCTTCGTGGAGTCGGAGGAAACGGGAGAGGAAGTCTGGTTTGCTGGGCAGCGTGCCATTCAAGACTTTCTCGTTCAACTCGGAATCCTTGAGGCTGGTGTGTTGTGTAGCGCCTTCGTCACCCTTGCCTTCCAGCCTTTCTTGCAGACGACGTTGGCCGAAAGCAATGATTGGGTTGACTTTGCCCTTGACAAACAGCTTTTGGTACAGAGGATTCTTGTATATCCACGTGTCCAGCCAGGGCATCTGACCCAGCACTGAACAGCGATCAAAGTTCGCTCCGATGGAAGCGGCAATGTTCTCGACATCCTCGCCACGTTCCATGAATCCAAGACGTTTCGACAACGTCAGTTCGCCAATCACATCAAACGCATACCTGCTACCACATCAGCGGAATCCGTCAGTGATATGATCATCTTGACCTACCACTGCAGCCATGTGCCAAGATCGCATGTCTTTCCCGTCTCTGCGAACTGTTCATCGAGTCTGTCCAGGAAAACTGCAGTCGTCGAGTCTATCAGTGGCTCAAACTCAACCAGCGTGCTCAGACTATATGCGTTTGCGACGGGTCGTTTCATGAGAGCATGTTGCTGCTCGTCGGTCGTGAAGACCAGAGAGGCCGTTCGCTTCCCGTGGACAATGTTCTGCCATACGGAGTAAAAGTCGGACTTGCTCGCCTTGACGGATATGCCATATATCGTGTTAATGACATCTGGCATGGAGATGCTGAGGCAATTCGGGCCAATCCGAACGATATCGCCGTGTTGCTTGTGCAGCCGGAGATAGGTGTCGTGAGAGTCTCGTCGCCAGACCACGATGAGGCGGTACAAGTCGGTGAATTTGGCCAGCCAGGGGCCAGGAATGCTGCCATGTTGTTGCCAAGTGAGGACAGCGTAGACAGCAGTGCAGGAGAGGACGATTAGGAGGATGGCAGAGGGCGACAGCAGGAGACAGTCGATGAGAGAGAAGAGGGAGTGGGCCAACATTGCTGCGACTGTCCACAACGGACTGTGCTGGGAGAAGTACTAAGCTGTAACCTGACCTACCTTACCTCCTACTTCTAACGCCATTCCGTCAAAATTTGACGAGTCGGCTTTATCAAAGTGTTCCGCTCTCGCGGAGCAGCAGAGAACTGGGTCAACGCATTTTCCCGTCGAGCAGTTGGCGGAGAGGGGGATGCAGCAACAAACGCGAAAGAGTAGGTGCGGCTGCGTTCCGCTCTCACAGCATAGACTCCGCGCTAGCAGGGGTCGTCATCGAACTCGCTTCGACTTTTTTGTCCTTCCACAACTGCGAGAGAGCGTCAGTATACCGTCCATCAGCAATCATGGCCGCCACCACCTTTCTGCCCGCCCTCAAATCGGCGCCGCACACCTTCCTCCAACCAACTCTCCCCCTCTATACCGATGCCGTCGCATACCTCAAAAACATCCTCGATCCACTCGCTGAGGACATCAGCACTGAACAGCAACAACGCCTCAAAGAATCACGCAAAAAACGGAAGAGAGGTCAAGCCGGCGACGAGGCAGTCCTACGCCTCAAGAAAATTCACACGGATGGCTTCGGTGTCGAACAAGTCTGGGAACAGGCGAGGAGAGTAATTGATGCCGCAACGGATGAGGTTGAGCAGGAATATGAGAAGCTACAGGCGCAACGACGACTGCAAGAGAAAGAAGCCGAATTCGAAGATGCGCAATCAGAGCAAGAGGACGATGACGAGGCTCTGGGCGAGGAGGGCGTAGACTTTGAAGTCGAGGGCGTCGACGATGGCGATCAGGAGTACCATTCGGATAGCGATGACGAGGAAGCAGCGGAGGATGAGCTCGACTTGGACGGCGATATGCATGATGACTTTGACGAGATGGCCGAAGATGAGGAGGGCGCCTCGGAAGAAGAAGAACCAGCTGCCGAGTTCGTGGCAGATAAGTTTGGTCTCAACGATGGTTTCTTCTCCATCGACGAGTTCAACAAGCAGTCCGAGTTTCTGGAACAGCAGGACGTGAGGGGTGAGGAGGATGTGGGCGAGGATGACGAGGAGATTGACTTCGACGCGGATCCAGGAGCGCAGGCCTCGGCAGGGGCGAGTGGCAGCGCAGAAGTGGATGACGAGGAGAGTGAGGACGAAGAAGATGGACCTACCTTTGGCGACCCTGACGCAGAGAGTGAGGACGAAGACGACGATGGCGAGGGTGTCGGAGATATGGACGCGATAGGAGGCATGGGCAACACCAACAGCGTCATGTACGCCGACTTCTTCGCCCCACCTGCACAGAAGAAGCGCAAGAACAAGAAAGGACGACCGAACCCGCACAATTTCCCGGAAGCATCCAACACTGATGGTGCAGCTCAAGATGATTCGGCAGAACCAGAAGAGATGCAACGCACAATGGATGCAGTACATCGGGACCTGTTTGAAGAATCTGACGAGGAGGAGGAAGAAGACCAGCCCGAGGAGCTGGATCCAGCTGACCCTCGTTCTCGCCGGTCAGCCCACGAACGCCGCAAGCTGCAGCTGCAAGAAGAAATCCGCAAACTGGAAGCCGCCAATGTAGCAAAAAGAGACTGGCAATTGTCTGGTGAAGCCCGTGCAGCCGATCGGCCGGTCAATGCTCTCCTCGAAGAAGACCTGGATTTCGAAAGAGCCGGCAAACCGGTACCAGTCATCACTGCCGAAGTCAGTGAAGACATTGAAAGTCTGATCAAACGCCGCATCCTCGCCTTTGACTTCCAGGACATACTCAAGCGTCGCCCTGATGATCTTGCGACAGGAAGTGGCAAACGTGGCAAGCTCGATTTCGAACTAGACAACACCAAGAGTAAAAAGAGTTTGGCAGAAGAGTACGAAGAGGAGTACTCGCGTCGTACCGACCCCAATTTCGTGGAGGTCAAGGACGAAAAATTCGCAAAAGAGCAAAAGGAGATTGAGACACTGTGGAAAGAAGTCTGTGGACAGCTCGACAGTCTGTCATCGTGGAACTTCCGACCCAAAGCTGCAGCTCCACAAATGGACATTCGCGTGGACGCGCCCGCCATCACGATGGAAGACGCTCGTCCCTCTGCAGGTGGCGAGATTGCGGGCGCCAGTCAATTGGCGCCTCAAGAGATTTACAAAGGCGGCGAGGGCAGCAAGACTGACAAGTCTGAAGTGGTAGGCAAGTCCGGCCTTCCTGCTGGAAGAGAGGAATTGGACAAAGACGAGAGGAAGAGGAGAAGAAGACGTGAGAAGGAGAGAATTCGAAAAGCGACAGGGAACCCTCAGAGCACCACGAATGGCAAGCCCACGGAGAGTAGAGCGAAGAAGGAGAAGAAGAGTATGCTAGGAGATCTCAAAAAGGGTGGAGTCAAGGTCATTTCGAATAAGGGAGTCGTGACTGATGTGGAAGGAAACGAGGCACGGAATACCAGTGGGGGGCAAGGCGCTGGTCGATTTAAATTGTGAGACGGAAATCATTCTGTAAAGCAGTCATACTCTTCGACCTGTTGATATCCGTAGTCTGATCACGACGAAACTCATGATCAACTCTGCTTTTCAATACATGCGCAAGCTCATCGAATCCATCAGAGGCTAGATGCCTAGGAACCACTCCACTCCACTCCACTCATGCTCCCGCACATGATCTTGATAATGAACACGACGTGGGCGTTTAAGATTTTGATATCGAAGACTGCAGCAGTACATCTAGGTGTCATCATGGGGGAGAGAGAGAGAGAGAGAGAGAAAGTCACAACTCAACCTTTCAGGGTAGTTAATCCCTCCAAATGCTGCATATCGTATAGTATGGTATCTCACAATAGAGAAAAAAAAAGAGGTAAGGTATCTATCCAATCGCCCAAGTTAATCGCCTAGATACCTTAAGTCACGAAAATCATATACCCCCCATCACGAACCACCACCACCATGATCAGCCTTGGAATACGACATGCCTCTCACCCCACTCGCCACGGGAACCTCATCATGAGCATCCCTAATCCCCTGAAATTCCGTCGGCGGCGGAAGCCCAGCAACACTTTCCACTCTCTGATCCGCCTCCATACCCGCCGCCTCAGCCTTTCGAATTCCCCTCGCGCCAGGAGTCAAATACAGCGCATCAGCCGTAACCAATTCCTCCCCACTCGGGGGTTCCCATTTCGCACTTTTGCGAGGCGGAACATGAGTAATATACATCGTATCGATTTCCTCCAAACTGCGCCCTTGGTGTTCTTCGAGAAAAAAGTAGACAAGAGGGATGGAAAGGGCGCAACACGAGGCGAAAATGTAACCGTATTGAAAATCAATGGCGCTGGTGATGAAGGGGGAAAAGAAAGAAATTAAGAAATTCCAGATCCAATTCGATGAGGAGGCGAGGCCCATACACATGGTACGGTAGCGGGTTGGATAGAGTTCTCCGACGACGACCCAGATGACGGGGCCCCAGGTCATGGCGTAGCCGGCGATGAAGAGGCAGGCGAATACTATCATGGCGGCTCCGGCTTTGGGCGTGTTGGTGGGTGTGGTTTGGTCGAGGGCGAAGTGTCCTACTGAGGAGAAGACCATGAAGCACATGAACATCCAGGCTGCGCCCCACATGAGAGCGCCTCGACGACCGGCTTTTTCGATTACGTAGAGTCCGGGGAAGGTGAAGGCGAAGTTGACGGCGCCGAGAATCATGCTGGTTACGTAGCTGTTGCTGAGGCCTGTGGCTTCGAAAATTGTGGTGCCGTAGTAGAAGAACTGTGGACGTCAGGTCGGTCAGTGGGGTGAATTCCAAAAAAAAGAGAAGAAAATGACAGGACGAAACTTACAAAGTTGGCTCCAGTCAATTGCTGCAAAGCTTGCAAAGACACTCCTAACAGCGTACGGTATGCCATTCGAGGGCCCGTGAAAATCTCATACCACTTGTGCTTGCCGCCTCCAGCGAATTCGGCATCGAATTTAGCTTGAATCTCACGCATCTCACGCTGAACTTCCCAGTGACGCGTTCCAACACCATACGAGCGAGCAATCGTGGTGCGAGCGCGTTCGATATTGTTATGGCGATAATCCCATCTCGGGCTCTCCGGAAGGAAGCAGATTCCAGTAATCATAAGCACTGGAGGGATGAAGCCCACGCCCATAGGGATACGCCAAGCGGACGCATCATCATTGGCTTCGGTGCCGTAGTTGATGCAGTATGCCACGAAGATGCCGAGCGTGATGAAGAGTTGGTAGCAACCCACCATGGCACCTCGGATGTGGCGCGGTGCCGTCTCGGATTGGTACATGGGGGTGAGAACGGATAGACCACCGACTCCGAGACCCGCTACCCATCTGCCCAATGCGATTTGGTACCATTTGTTGCTGGATGCCATTTGGATTACGACTCCCACGCAAAACATAAGATTCCAGCAGATGATGCATACTTTTCTTCCAAAGCGGTCGGCTATGGGTGCTGAGCAGAGCGCGCCAAACATTGTGCCAATGGATAAAAGACCAACAATCGTTCCTGACACGGCATCGGTGAAGCCATATGTTTCTGGTGAGTCGCCTACATTGTGGAATCGTCGTAGGAAATCAGGCATCTCCAGAAATCTAGACGTCGAGTCAGCCATTGTGCCACACCTCTTTTTTCGTTTTTGTTCCATCCCACGCTCACTCACCCACTGATCTGACCAGTATCATATCCGAAAATAAAGCCTCCAATGCTCACAATGGCAGCCAAGGCAAAGGTATATGGTCTGAACAACCGGACCTTTTCTCCTCCTTCTCCTCCACCTCCATGGGCAGCTACCCCATCTTTCTCCAGATCCCCACTACCATGGGTCTTTTCCACCGAATTCTTTTCGAACCTGTCTTCTGGAGAAGTAGTTCCCTCGTGTCGCGGTGTGGTCGCACCACTCTCCGTCTTCTGAGTTCTGCCACCCAACTTGAATCGATTCATGGCGGGCGTTTACAGCGTGTGGAAGAACAAGAAAAAAGACTGTAATGAAACTAGCCTATGCACACTCCACGGGTGGGGGAGGGGAGGGGAACTTTTTGGGGACGGATGCAACATATATGATGATGATGAGAGTTTTCCATCTCGGTGGATGGAAGGATCCGGCTGGAGTCGATCCCCCCAAACCTGGGACCCAAAAGTCCAAAAAAGGATGCAATTGCTTCGTCATGATTTGTCCATGTTGCTCTCTATGCGCACCGCGAAGAGCCGAGGGGGGGGGGCGTGCACGTGTACGCGGTGTGGTGGTACTGGTGGAGTCTGGTTATGACTGATGATGATGATGTATTCCGCCCTCTGATGAGTAAGGTGTACCCATCCATAGAGGTACCCTACCAACTACAGTACATTACCCATCAGGAACCTACGCAGACGACGTCAGTTGGAGCTCTTGGCTCTCGGCTCTACGGCGGTGAGGGAAGGGCTTGAAGAAGCTTGTGATTGGGGCTTGGTGATGATGGAACAGGACGTGAACGGGATTAAGCGAAACGATGGATTGTTTGAGTGAAGGATTCAGGGTATTTTTCTTAGGTAGTCTTCTAACCGAGAAAACGCCCGTCCATGGAGAGAGGTCGCGTGCGTGAGTGAATGACAAGTACCCACGTACAGGTATGTGGTCAAGGCTTTTTTTTTGTGTCTCGGCAAGCGGCAAGCGGCAGAAGCAAAAAAGAAGAAATATAATACAACGTCATCTCTATCAAAACCTGGTCATATCGATCGGTACGACACTGCCGACTACCTCCGCGCCGACTCTCTCTGTCTCTTACCACTCACTTACATACACACTCTCTCTCCCGTATACAGACCATTGCGGGAATATCCATTCATACCGCCTATATCATTCCAACCTACCTAGGCAGCGGTCCGTCGCGCCAAAGGTCAAAGTCGTCCGATGCATCGAACATTCCATTACAGGTACACCATACATGAATAAGGTACTATCACGGTCTATACTTGACCGACCTAACCTACCTTACATACCTTGACCGACCTATTACCTCTACGCAATGCACCAGCACTTTCATTTTCACACTCTGCATCTGCAACGTTGCATCGCTTCGCGTATTATCAAGTCCGTCCGTCCGTCTATCCGTCCCTCCGTCCCTTCCGCTATACTGAAGCCAACCTACCTCCTACCTCTACCTCCGTATCTTTAGGTACATGTATCTTCCGCTTCTTTATTTTACGTAGCCCGTAAAAAGTCCTAAAACTACTATACGAGATAGATACCGCCTCAGATACCGCCTCAGATACCGCCTCAGATACCGCCTCAGATACCGCCTACCCCCTACCCCCTACAAGAAATTCGGTCTAGCAAGTACATACATACATACCTACATACATACATACATACGTACATACCTAACCTCTTACCTCCTAAGGTAGGTAGTATCCATAAAAAAAAATTGTTCTCGGGACATGTACGCTTAAATGAGGTATATACGAATACGGAGCCTGCAACAATACTTGATACGAACGATGTCGACCTCGCGCGCTTTCTCCGTCTTCTCCGATGCCGAATGTCCCGATGCCGAATTTGCGAGAGCTAGGAGGTACCTCCTAGGTAAGGTAGGTAGAGTCTTTGGGAGTGTTATATGTGTATATGTACCTTACTTTGCCTTGCCTTACTTTGTCTAAGGGAGAAGTCATCTACTACATGTACCTACATGCATCTAGTTAGTTGGGACAGCACTTTGGAGACTTTTTCTTTCTACCAGAGCTGTGCTGGGCGGTTGCGCACTCCTGATTGAGGATAAAGGTAGCACAAGGTAAAAGCAGAAAAATGGAGATTCGAGCTATATCTATCTGTACTGTGGCCCATCTCCTCCTCCTCCTCATACAATCTGTACGAATGCGTGTTCGTCGCATCCTTGGTATCTTTGAAACTTCAACTCCTAAAACTCCCGCATCCGCTAACTCTGAAAGCAGATCTTGCAACACATCAGAACTTCAATTATTACTTCCTAGCAAACCTCACATCCAAAGCACGCCTCCGACACCTGCCAAGATCACAAAAGCCGTGAGCAACACTTCTCTCGATCCACGAGCGGAAATGCTGCTATTCGCGGTATTGGATTTAGCCACACAAGAACCACCATTCGCAGTGTGTGAAGCGCCAGCTGTGATTTTGACGTCATACTGGTAGTAGCCAGTGCCGGTGAGATTATAGGATATGGTCTTGCTGATGGCGTCGCCTGTATTGTAGTTGGCAGCGACCACCGTTACCACGCACAAAGCGGAAGACTCGGCCGAATTGATGGCACAAGACTCATGCATGGTTGCGCTGGTCTCGCTGTACACGGCTGGGGTTGCATTAGTACACAATTCATGGATAAGATAGCAGATGACGGAGGGTGCCAAACCGGGTGTGGTGGCTTGATAAAAGTTGGGCCCTTCTGTAATGGTTGCTTTCTGATGATATAGATCAGCAACTTGCACTCTGTGCTTCGACGCGAGGCCGCAAGATCTGTCTAGCTTCTCACCTCTCCATTTCCACCGCCCGGGGCAGAGGTCTGCGAGACCACATAGGTCGTCGAGCCATTGCAAGCATTGGCGACGGAGGCCGCCCATTGTGCGTTGGGGTCCATATTGTCGATGAACAGCTGCACCGAGTCTGCAGCTGATGCGGCGACGGCATAGCCGACCAGCACGAGCCTCGCCCACGATAGAATTCGAGCCATACCTCCGTCTGCTCTGGTGCGATGGTGAAGTGTGAGGTTTTGTTGCGAATGTTTCTTCTCGGAGGTCGGCGGATGATAATGGCAGGTACGCGCCACACCAACGGTCTTGTTTTAAGAAAACTGGGAAGGTTCAATCGCTAAAGTGCGATGTGCACCAGGCCGAAGCATGGTCGTTGAGAAAGCAGCGTGCCTTATGATAGTGGAGATCATCCATCAGTCCATAAGCAGGCAGAAAGATGGGATGGAGAGAAGTCCGGTATGGATCTCATGACAGCCACCTTGGCCTCACGGTATGCCATAGACAGTAACTTCTGCACGCCTTCACGAATGATGAGGCCGCGATGGATCCCATCTCTGCGTCTCTACACACAAGCGAGAACGCAGGAAAGGCGCCAAGTGGGTGCTCGACGGATATGAGATCCGCGAACCCGTTTGGAGAACCAACAACGGCGTCTCGTCTTGCTTGCTCCTGTTGGGTGGGAACGATTTCCCCCGCTTTCGTTCTTATCTGCTCGAGCCCGACCTCTGTTTTTTTATGTATACAGAATGTATTGATATGAGCTCGGCCTGTGTCACAAACCTGTCAAAGCTGATCGCGTGGAGAAGGAGACAATGTGAATCCCTGTCCACCGCTCTTCCCAAAATAGTTCTAGCGCCAACAAGGATATATGATTTTCATTTGCACATAGCAAAGCAAGAAATGGGGCATGGAAGCTTCCCAACCACGCCTCACCATTGCATCCTTCTATACGAAAGGGAGCCAGTTTCGTCCCAATACGGTGTATCCAATACTTTCTACTGACCAAATACGCTATAGCTATTGTTAGTAAAAAATTTCATTAGGACTTCTCTCCGAGTTTCTGGCCAAGTTTTAATATATACCTTGCGTGCCTAAGTTTCCAGACATTCAGGAAAAAGAAATATCGAGATGATGGGGCTCTCGCAGAGTATCTCTCTGCCTAGCCACGCCCGACAGGTCCACGAGCGAGCGAACTTGTTCGGTTTATAGATGTGAAGAGGCGTGGAGAGAGCTAGGCTCGTAAGGCTATAACCGACGACGCACATGAGCCCCGCGGCACGCACTTGAATCTGGGCTAGCTGGCTCGCTCTAGGACTCGAAGGATGTCTTTCCTTGTCTTATTGTTCTGTTTTGTTGGGAATTATGTGGAGTATGAGCTTCTTTGGGTAGTTGTAGAAAGGCTAGAAAATGGAGTCGTTCTGTATAGCCGGGTGTTGACCTTCTTGAAGGATCGTGACTTTGCCACGCATGCGGCAACTTTATTTGTGCGATAGTCGTGTCATATCGACGACCAACGTCTCAAACGCATCATACCGCTTCAAGTAGCGGGCACTTTTGCGATACATTTTGAGCGTCCAGTAGCGAGAGAGGGAAGACTTCTCGGGGGGCAAGTGCAGTAGTGTCGTCGGCTCGCGCTGTATTGTAGACGGAGGCTGCCACGCGGGATCGAAACATAATAGTCGGCGGTTGTTGTTGTCCGTCCTGTCGCGTTCTATTCCGACGATGGTTATGCTGTGACCTGGCCGTTGGAGGAAGATAGGCGAGGCATTCGTCTGGACGATGACACTACTAGTGCTACTACTAGTGCTGCTTGAAGAAGAAGATGAAGATGAAGAAGCTGGAAGTTTTCGTTGTTGGTCTGCTTGCCAAGAAGAAGAAGAAGAAAAATGTTGCTCCGCGAAATCCAGCAGTTGAAGCCAGGCGGTTTTTCCAGTAAAGGCATGTCCTGTACAGGGGATATCCAGACTGAGGAGTAGTGCTTCTGCCTTTTTATGGCTCAAATCCCATCAGCTCTTTTGTTTCTTGTCTTTTTGAAACTCGAGATCTTTTTCTTTTCTTTTCAGCAAGCTTGGGGAACTTACTCACCTCAGAAGTCCCAATATGCTTCCTCGTCCCTCTAATCCCCCCGGTCGCAATTCTGCCATGCGAATTAAATCCCATATCCCACGCACGCTCAATCATATCCTGCAATTCCAGCACACTGGGTCCCCTCTTCTCATCGGACCAGGGGGGAAGTTGGCGTGTTGTTGATTCCAGTAACGGGGAGAGAGAAGACAACAGCATTTGAATATTCCGATATCCGCAAAAGTGGCCTCCCTCGTGTTTGTGCTTGGTCACCTGTATCACAGAAGGCGTGCACAGATATGCGATGTGAAGGCTTTTTTCATCGTGCTCGAGCAGGTGTGCGAGTTTGGGGATCACGGCCTCGAATATGTTTTGGTGATTTCCTTGATTCACTAGTTGGGCGATTTTGGGGGGCATGCGCTCTTCAAAGGCATGGCGTCCCAGATGACGTTTCTGTCTCACATGTTAGCGATTTACTGTGTCGCCGTCTCTGGTAAAGAAGAATATAGGAGAAGGAGAGACTGACACCCAGCCGGTGAATGTCGCCATGGTCTGCCGACATGTTGCGGATGTGTGCAGGTTATACCTGTACGCCAGTAGTATATCGACCTCGCATCATGGATCCGGCTACCTTAGTCACAGGCAATAATGCCAGAGGAGACTGCAACTAGGTAATTCAAGTGAGGCGTATGAGCTTCAGCGTCAGCCTCGCTCGCACTGCCACACAAAGAAGAAGGAGCAGAGCCGTTTGTCATAATACGAGAGCCACAGCTGACGTGGCCTGGCTGAACTGACTGCGCTGGTTCGAGAGCAGTCATTGGTTGTAAGAGCAAACATGTTGCATCTCCAGCGCTAGCGAGAGTCAAAACGCCAAATACAGCTCGAATCAAGCACCACCAAGCTTTCTGCATGATGCTTGTTTCTCTCTCTCTCCTCCCTGCGAGGACATGAGAAAGCTGCACGTTGCTGATGAGGCATTATGATTACATGCGTTTGTGGCTGAGCTTGCACTTGCACTCGCACTTGCCTCTTCCTCATTTTTCTCCTCGTCTTGTCCCTCCGTCCTGATTGTGAGATTCCAGAGCTGAGCTTTCATTACCTACTTCTTCCAAACAATCAACAGTGAACCTCGAGCTCTGTCTGCTTCATCAGTTCTTCACCTCAACCAGCCCGACTGATCACCTTTTCCACAACAAAACCAACCCAAGCAAAAATGTCTGCTCAAGCCGACGTCGAAATGCAATACCAAGCACCGACGCAGATGGATCCAGCTGCGACGAGCGATACCAGCTCGACAGCCCAAGTGAGCTTCATTTCTCTGAAGTCGTCTGTCTGTCTACCATTCTGACATGCTTTGCAGAAGACTTGTGCGAAAGAGCAGCCGAAGCGTACATTTCTGGGCATGCGCGGAGGTGGGATCATCTGTAAGTCGATGTCGACTGGTTTTGGCTGCGCTGCTCGCTCGTGCTGACCACCGGACTTACAGTCGATTTGTGTGCTTGCTTCATCTGTTGCGAGTGTATGGAGGGTTGCTGTCATGCCGTTGACGATTGTTGCTGCTGCTAGAGAATCACCACAAAGATCTCGTAGGCAGAGGAGAGAATGTGGAATTCAAGCACAGCTTGAGTACTTCGGCAGACTCGTGAGGCACGTCGTGGGTGTGACTGGCTAGGTAAGGGCATATAGTTTGGCCAGGGTATGGCATCAATGTATACCACCAGCTTTTCCCCACTGACCTTATCACCTCGCGTCTCTTGTAGTGCTTCTTTTGATGCCCCAGATCTTATGCATAATGCATGTGGCATTTTAGTGTCCTCCGCTCACATCTTCTCCGCTAATGCAAGATATTGCGGCCCTAGAACGAGACCTTCTGGCGGAGTCGGCCTCACTTCTGTCTCGAAGATGCACTCCTTTGACTCCTAGAACTCCAAGAACAATTCCGATCGGACACCTGCTACCATGGCAATCGGCTATACCAATCGAGGAAGTGAATCCATACGTGCCGGTACCTTTCGGCAAATGAGGCCGAAGTTTGGGTTCGCCATCTTGTACACAATGCTGCTACCTTAGTACTTACGTATGTTATCGGCCATGGAATCATTCGCAGACTGCCTCAGGTCCAGGAGATCAGAGCTGAGCGGAGCGGAGGGGAGCGATTTGAACCAGGAACAGCAGCGTACCATTCTGCGACGTATTCGCAGCGGCTAGTGATGCGTGTTTCCCATGTTGACCTATGAAGAGCATGTCTTCCAAGGCGATATCAAAGCGAAATGAGCCGGTTTCCGGTCGGCGGTATATCTTGGAGGTTAGTGTAAAGAACGATTGTCGATGGCGTCGGGGATGGAACTGGAACTGGAGAATTCGGAACGGAGAGAAGATACCGACCGGTGGCACCCGCACCGCCACATCCCACACCAGCCTCTACATACACGAAAAATGTGCCGAGGTTGTTATCGGGAAACGGATTCCATGGCTTACCTATCCATCCAGGAGGGACATGTTGACACACATACCTCTTACATACACACACCCAGGAGATTTTTTCCTATTCCTCATCTTCACTTCATTGTCTGCTATATATTTCATTTAGAATTTATATAAAGATAGTACTCTTTCAAAGGAAAGCATGTCGCAGAAATATTCAGACATCATCGTCACGATTCAAGACGGCATAGGCACTATCAAGGTAGGTCACTTGTTCATATCGGACTGATGCGAGAGGGATATATATATTCAGAAGAACCGACCGCTAAGATATATGTATCACTTTCATACATACAGCTCAACAGACCCAAGCAACTCAATTCCTTTGGCGGAAGTCTTGTCGAAGATACGATTGCCGCTCTCCGCGAATTAGACAACCACCCCGACACCACCTTCACCGTCATCACCGGAGAAGGCCGATTCTTCGCTTCCGGAGCAGATGTCACAGGAATCGCCAACACACCTTCAACTTTCCAAAATGACGGCCAGAAGAAGATTTTCTGGATGCAGAGGTTTGCTGTGGGAATGGAGCTCGTCCGGGCGATGATTGATCACAAAAAAGTTCTAATCACGGCCATGAACGGCCCCGGTGTGGGCGCGGGTGCTGCGTGGTTTCAAGGCTCGAGCGATCTGTTGTATGCGGTTGAAGGGACGTGGTTACAAGTGACGTTTTCGCAAATGGGATTGGTTCCTGAGAATGGCAGTGCGGTGAATTGGGCGCACAGTATGGGTTCGCATCGGGCGAATGATTGGTTGTTGTTTGGAGGCAAAGCGACAGTGGAGGAATTGAAGGAGGCTGGGTTGGTGAATAAAATTTTCCCCAAGGAGAATTTTCATGCGGCTGTGCATGCGCATTTGAAGGAAATGTTGAGGGAGAGAAGTGGGAAATCGATGATGGAGATGAAGCGTTTGTCGAATAAAGCTACGCGTGATGCGAGGATTTTGGCCTTGTATGATTCGATGGATGCTTTGGCGGAACGGTTTGTGGAGGGTGAGCCGATGGTGAGGATGAAGGCGAAGATGGATGAGCTTGCTGGTGAGTACCTTATTTATTTAGGGTCATTTTGTCGTGCCATGCTAATTTTGTCTCAGCGAAGAGAGAGAAACGTTCGTCAAAGATGTAGAAGATGTGAGAAGACACATAGATACCTCTGTGACAGCTACAACGCCAGTTTGCATGCGATATCGGCTTTTGAATAATTCCAGGTTCATATACACCCCGCGTTACTTCCCAAGCAGTTTCCTTCACTTGCGTCGTTGAATTGCCTCAAGTTCGACAAGATCTCCTTAGCCTCTAATCTGATCTTAGGTGTCCATGGAATCTGCAGGATCAGTAGCATAATGTTTTGAACTTACCTACCTGTACCTATATATCCCAGCTAGCCGAGGTCGGAGTGAGCACACATCGCCCAACCCTACCTACCTAAGGTATAACAGCAACAACTCCCAACTTCCTCCCATCCAAACTCAAGAAACGAAAAGAAAAATATATTACAATTGAAAAAGAGCAATGGCACGAACAACTCCCACCCCCTCAGAAACCACCTCCCTCTTCCACACCATCGAACACGATTTCCCATCCTCCTCCCTCGGCCCCAACAAATGGTACATTCTCCTCCTCGCAGCCCTCACAGCAGGTGGCCATCCAGGCAAAGCCGCAGATCTTTACACATATCTCATCTCCAGCAGACCCGAGTTTGAGAAGTCTGAGCAAAGACAGAATTTGATGAAGCGGTTGAGAGAAACTTTGGTCAAATTGGTGCCGATTGTGGGAGTGGTGAAACCGCTCGAGGCGGTGTTTTGTATTGCGGAAATTGAACGGCCGGAGGATCGGGATGGGAGTTTTTCGAGGTGAGTTTGTTTGTTTTGTTTTTTTTTTTTTTTTTTTTTTTTTTCAAGATTCTCGATCAAGTTTGCTCGGGTTGGAGTGGCGAGCAATATACTACCTATTATCCGACTTTTCAAAAAAGGTCTTCCTTGAAAACAAAAGAACGCATGCATTTGCTGATGACATCCTCCACACAGAGAAAACTGGTCCTCCGGCCCCCTCAATTCCCAACGCGGCTCGGCCTGGCTCGCCCAAATTTACCAACACAACCACGCCGCCACCGAATCCGTCCTCTCGCACCACAAAGACTTTGAATGGATCTCGCGTGAAATCACCTACGGGCTTTTCTTATCCGATCACACGATTCTGGGGCCTGTGGAGACGGAAATTGTGGTGCTGGCGGGGATTGCGATGCAGAATTTGCCGCGCGAGACTGGGTGGCATTTGAGGGGGATGAGGAGGATTGGAGTGGCTATTGAGGATGTGGAGTTGGTGCAGAGGTGTGTCGAGAGGGTGGCCGAGTATTGTGGGTTGGTGTTGGATCGGATTCCGAGGGTGGCGGATGTTGAGCATGAGGTTGCTTTTTGATGGGGGCGGAGGGGAGGGGAAAGGAGGGGAGAAGAAAGCTGGCTGTGGTGTAATCTTGGGTATGATGATGGTATACCTATGTACCAAGCCGTTCTCAAATGCGCGTCCGATATAGAAGTTTTTGATGCCCAGACCAAGCACTGCTCGAGGAACTGTAATCTTTGTTGCTGCCGCCGATGGCTTGTGCGGCTTGGACTTTCCAGGTTAGTGAAATTCATCGGATTGGAGACACCAACAGCTACTCGAGTGGGCTTCGTCTAATTTGGAGCGCTACTTTGTGTCTTCAACGAGGGCGAGCTTTCAGAAATGACATTGACAAACCAAGCACCATTGTACCCAGATTTAGGTATGACTTCAAATAGGATGGAGTTGCCCACCCGAATTCGATAGGTCGAAGCTTAGTGTCCTCCGCCTTCTTTCTCAAAGTCGTCGTCGAAACCCCACATATAGACATTTTAACATGGCATTAGCAGGAAGCTGGATTGTCGACCAAGCCCCCAACGATCCTTGCACGGTAAAAGTGAAGCAAGGGAAAGCTTTGGCTGAAAGGCCGTCATTCACACATAGAGTTTCTCTACCCCTTCTTCTGGAGCCGTGAGGATGAGCGTGTACCAATTGTCGGTGGCTTTGGGGTCTTGGCTGTACTGGCCTTCTTCTTAACGGGCTCTTCGGCTTGAGGCGGTTCGGCATTCTCGTGCTCCTTCTTGAGCTTCTTAGTTGGTGGTGGAGATTCGTCCAAGTCAAGACCGCCGCGCTTGTCTGATATCTTCTCAAGAGCCTTGGCCTTGTCCTTGGCTGCACCGGCCGTCTGTTTAGATCTTTCTTCTTCTTCTGGCCTCGATGTCCCTCCGCCGCTGGCACGGTGCCCGAGCACGAATGCCACTTTTTCCATGTCGACAGCAGCCCAGTCATGACGGTTCCGGATTTCCTGTATTCTCGAGAAGAGCTCATGGTACTCCTTTGGCGTGTACTTGATCGGCCTGTCCCAGCCTTTACCCTTTCCTTCTTCCCAGAAAGTCCATCGGAAAAGTTCGTCAGAAAAGAAAGGCACAGTGGACGGAAAGGCGACACTCAGGAGTAGACTGGCAGTGGCTGGACCAATGCCTTTCAGCGTCGACAGTTGTTTCAGAGAGGCTTTCAGCTTCTCTAATGTGCCGTCAAAGGACGAGAACGCAGTGGCCGTGGTCTTCTGCACGGTGTCTGGTGGATTTGACTGTACAAGCTGTTTGAGCTTTGGACGAAAGGTGCCATGGCTTAGCTTCCAGTCGACCAGAGAAGCGAGTTCGCTTTTGCCTAAGTGAAGCTGTCCCTTCTCCTTTCTCGCTGTCACCGCCTGTGGTATTGTGGCATATCGTAGGTCTTCATAGTCGTATGCTCTGGATGGCACGACTTGCGGGTAGTACTTCAGAGCTTCTACAAAGGCTTCTCTCGTGATGACCTCTATACGGCACTCTGCATTCAGTGACATCGTGATTGATAGGTACAGGTACAGGTATACAGGTATACACCAGGGTGTACCTAAGCTCAAACGCGACGCGAACCACTCTACGCGAATCCCTGTCAGGAGATCGACACAGATCCACAGTCGACAGCAGTAAGTTCCACTAACAACGCGCTCCCGCCCCGCTCCCGCCCTGTCAAGCTCACATTGCCTGCCACGATGATCACTTCCCTCTTCTGCGCTTTGCGCACCACAACCTTCACCACCACAACCACCTCAGAATTTGAGTCACCTCAAGCACTGCAGAGGTTACAACCAAATGGTCTGAACACCCCCAGCGACAACACTCACTTGCACATTGACGCGGCTACATGTGATCCGACAACAGCTACACACATTGGACGTCCCACACCCTTGTCACACTGCGCGCCGCCTACAGGTAGCTCTAGTCGACTATGTTCAAATCTACGGCCGACTCGAAGGACGAGTCCAAGTCCAGGTCGAAGTCAGTCTCCGACCACCAGCAACGTCGTCGCCGACTCTCCTCGATGACTACGCCAAATCCTGCTAGCAAGGCCTCCGTAGTGACTGAGAGCGAGGCAGTTGTTGCTCGTCTTGTCGCGGAGCCCCAGCATACGGCTTCACGTGTTCTTGCAGCGTCACAGTCGCTGCCCAGCACACCCGTCAGATCTCGCCACCTCGGTGAACTCACCACCACAACCTCCTCCACGATCGAATCAAAGCTCGGCAACTCTCGTCCACCCTGCCTGGCCCAGTACGGTTCAGGTCGGACAGAATCTGGCACATCTTGGTCCAGCGAGAGTGGTGCGGTATCGCCCAAGGCACGAGCTCGTGAGAGCGATGACAATAGGCTCAGCATTAAGAGACGCAAAGTGAGCGAAGATGCTCAACAAGACGAGTTGCAGTATGATGAAGACGCCAGGTTTCCGAATAAGGTCAGTGGTCTCGCGTCAGGCTACGCGTGAGAACATGCCTACTAAACCCCTTAGGCCTTTCGCACTGCCGAAGACGAGATCTCTTCCAAGAATGCGCAGATTGTCGCTCTTCATCAGGAACTCGTGAACGTTAGAACTGGATACGAACGCGCAGAGTTGAAACTTCGTCAGGATCTGTTTTTTCGCCATACACTAGATCAGGAGCGTGCCGCGCGCGACTTTGAAAGGGAGCGCAAAAGCATGAAGAGAGTGGTCGATCACCTCAAGAGCTCCCATAAGGAAGATATGGAGAGGCTTGTGAAGGAATACGAGGATGCATTGCAGACCGAGTGGATTTCCTACCAAGATTTGGTTTCCCAAGCGAATGAGGACAAGCGGCAAGCCCGAGAACGGGAAATTACCGCGTTTACTCACGTTCGGAGAATGCAAGACATGGTCGAGCACACGACCATGATTTCGAACCTCTTGGAGGGCGACCTAGTGGAATTGCAGCGTCTCGATAACGAGGTAGGTTTCTGAAGATATGGTGATGACGACTCTTTGGCGCTGGCTTGCTATGGTAGCAGTATAAGTATTGGCGGTCTTGATGCTGACGAATTGTTAGGAGGCTGCTGAACGCCATCGGGACAATCGAGGGGAGCCGCCTTCGTACGAGTCTCTTCAAGACATGAGGGGCTATCGCACCCCGTATGAGGCAAACAAACATCAGGACGCGGGCGCCATGGCCATTGGCCACGTGAAGGCAGTGATTCTAAGCAACTTCATGAGCGATCTCGCAGGCGCCAACCGCACATCTCTCGCTTTGCGCGAACACGAAGACCCGTCGAAGGTGTCTGGCGCAGGTTCTCACCTGTTTCATACCGCTGTGCTAGCATTTGTCACTGCATGCATGCAGTTGAGCGCGTTGCTCGACCGAGCTGTCGAAGGCAGACTGGATCTCGGCAGTATGCATACCCAATATGGTGTCGACCAACTTCCCAGCTGGAAACTATCAACGCTACTGAGCATATCAGAGGCCTCTCGCGGAGCTAAGAGCACTGCAAAGCTTCCGAAGGTTGCGGAACTTGGTCTACCAAAGGTCACGGTCAGAAGCACGACCACAGACGACAAGGAAGCTGGTATACACCCAACTGATGGCACTCCAGCGTGGGATCCGGCTTCTGAGAACATGCCGACAGCGCACAATGCTGATTCAAGGGACCTGAGTTCCATCGTTGCAACTGCTGATCTTGTTGCGGAGATGATCTACGACCTTTGTACCCACACCTTTGCTGCTTTGGACGTCAGGGAGCACAGCTCCCAAATTTTGTACAACAGCAATTGCTCACGTTTGGGAGTTTGGCTACGACTAGCAGATGACACACTCCTGAAAGCGCTTACGCACAGACTCGAGGCAGAGGCAGTGTTTGATCTCAAGGAGATGCGCCACCATGGTCCGCTTACCAGAACGCTGGAATGCAGCAAGTGTAAATCCGAGCACTGTGGTGGCTACTGTACGCGGCTCCAGATAATCAGCTTCAACATAACGAAGCTGGAGGCGCTCCGCCGGAGCTTCGACAGGATCGCTAGTCCTGGTCGCGAAGGTATTTACTTCATCAGTACTTATCAGTGGCTTAAGGATGCCTTGGAATATGAACGGCAGATAGCTGCGAATGCTGCCATGCCTCCGACGAGGCAGGGAACGCCGCTGATGAGTGCTATGGACATGACTCGTGCCATGGCGACCCCTGCGATGGACGATGCGCCGACGGCGGCGGCGATGCCGGCTATCCGACTCAATGCTCCCGCAGAAGAAGTAGCCTGGCACTTGCAAGATGTCCACGATCGACACGATCCACGACCTCCAGCAACAAACGGCGTACCACTTCCACCAGTGCCACTGTCAGTAACGACCCCAGCCGAACAAGATCATTCTGCGCCTAGTAGCAGCACAGGTCGTGGAGTGCATGCGAGATTTGGGTCTCTCTCCAACGATCCGGCTTCAGTGCCGAGCACGAGCGAGTTCAGGCAGCAGTTCCCGTACATGCCACGACTGCTGGCTACACCGCAAGCTGAAACGCAAAGTACACCGACTTCGTCACAGGCCGTGGAAGCACAAGTTCCAGCAGAGAACATGGCAGTTCCAGGACAGGACATCGCTGTGGCATTCGAATCGGATGACAATGGCGCAGAACAGAGTGACGGGTCTTCATCGGCCTATGTCCCCCACTCACAGGGAGTGGCTTCCAGTTCTGGAGTACGAACCAGACCACAACTCAGGAGAAGCTCGAGGGCTACACCAGTGACGCCCGAGCCGTAGGGGGCCGTGGGCGAGAATTGGTTGTGTCGTCACTCTCATCTTCGATTGATGGGCCGGGTAGACTCAATACCATCTCAGGGCCGGGGTCTGTTGTGGACCTGCAAGGCCTATGATTGAGATGATAGCCCAAGGATTGCTGGTTCAAACTACATGAGATGTATACATTCATGATGTTCGGACAGCAATACCAATCTGAGTGGTACGACGAAGAAGACTTCCATTGAATGTGAGATCAAAAGGAGGGGGTTTGGCTGATGAAACATGGTTGAAGCGCAATGGCGCATAGTTAAGAAGCACAGAGAGATGCGGTTTCAGTACCTCCACGTGTAGCTAGCTCCAGCCGTAGTTTCTATCGACCTACCTGAGTCTTCGAACTTGCATGCTGCCTTGTCGGGTTCGTGGATCGCTCCGCGCAGCTATGTCTCGGACATCTTATGTCGATAACGATTGCTGATTCTGGGCAAGAAATCCAATTGCCAGATAACACAGTCTTCCTGCCTGTATGTCTGACATCTGTGGTGTTGTACTGAACACCAAAATGTATTGCTATGCTACGTCTATGGTCACCAGTGAATACAGACATGTCCTGTCCAATCCTGTCAGGTCAATTCCTATCGGAAGGCTTTGAATTAATATAGTCTCTAGCGTCATCGTATTACGCATATCTGTGCGTATTTCACTCAGTGTACGTGAGCGAGTGGAGCATTTCTCTCTCGTCTGTTCGAGGACATATATGCATAAGGTAAGGTACATACATGTATGGGACGAGGTTGAGCTTTATGACGTGAAGTCGATCGACGGGAACAACTTTCGGCCCGACGGGAAGTCAGATCGCGTTTCGTTCGTGACGGTGACGCGACAACATTTGCGTTCGACTCGTCCACCACCATCACCACCACCACCACTACCAAGCCCCGACGACAACAACGACGAAAATAAGGCGCAGTGCGTGTTTGAATCAAAAATGCTCGCATTCGCTCCCTCTTCTTCTTCTTCTTCTTCTTCCTCTTCGCCCAATTACGCTTACGTGCCATCGCCACTCTCCCCACGAAGCGCAAACATCTATGGAGTGCGTCGCCACCAGTTTCAGCAATCCGCATCCTCTTCTTCTTCCTTCTCCTACAACCATATGAGCACCAACGAACCACACGGCAAGTCCATTTCGCGAAATGGTTCAAATCCTCGCGACGACGAAGAGAATTTTCCACAACCGGTAGCAGCAGCAGCAGCTGTGACGATTACAAATACGACAAACAGCAGCAGCAGCAGCAGCAGCAGTAGAATCCCCTTCTCCCAACGACCCATCAAACGACCTCCTTTCCAACATCAACTTCGAGCACCTTCCGCTTTACACACTGGCAGACGAGACGCGTATCTCCGCAAAATTGCTCTTCGACGCGACGAGGCCAGATTTGAAACGCGAGGCGAGGATATGATGAGGTGGGATTTCATGCAGAGACAACGTGCTTGGGAGGCTGAGAGGGCGAGGGAGGCGGCTTTGGCCGCTTCGGATTATCTTGCTGAAGAAGAAGAAGAAGAGGAAGAAGAAGAGGAGTATGAGCATGAGCATGAGCATGATGATGGGGTGGTCGATGATGGTTATGATGAGTATGATCTTCCCGTGGCGAGCGGGCAGATGAATGGATTGCAGAGATCTTCAATGGCGAACTCTGCGACGAGGAGTGTTTCGCAGGAGGCGGAAGTGGAGGAGTTTTTGAGGGAAGAGGGGAAGGAGTTGGAAGCGTTGTTGGAGCATTTGCCGCCGACGGGAGAGGAGTATGGTGATGATGATGCTATGAATCAGGAGGAGGGGAATGAGTTTGACGAGACGAGTTTGTGGTCTGATGATGCAGATTATGATGCTTTGTTTGAGGAAGTTCTGAGCCAGCAGGAACAGGCTGGTGGGAATGCTGCTGTTGCTGCCGCCGCACAATCGTCTCAAGTCATATCGGACGCGCAACATGGGTTGGTAGGTGGCGACGACGAGATGGATATGTCGTGAGCCATGAGTGCTCCGCATGTGATTAATTGCACCTTTAGCGAGGCGTTGGTGGCTACCTACCTAGTCATGCGTTACGGAAGAATCGGTAGTAACAATTACATGTAGCTAAACACAGCACCGTTGGACCAAGACGGGTATCACGAATGTACAGAAGAATGGCTATTGTGTCGGACAGCCTCCTTCGAGATCTCCAAGTGCCTCTTGCGCTGCGGACATGTCTCCCACCAAGTCTGTAGGTGGAGATCCGGCCGCTTGCATCTATTTGTCACGAGGTCAGTACATGTTTGCGCTAAGAGAGGGGGAAAGAGAGGGGGAAGAAGAACAGTCCTCACCTTTTGCATCCTCTCGACAATGTATTCCCGATCATCCTCGTTATCATCACTGTAACCCTTCCGATCGAATCTCTCCACAATCTCCTTCACAAGTGCTTGTTGCTCCTTATACCTTGCAAGATCATCTTTCGATATCGTGTCCTTGTTCTTCTCCAAGTACGCCGGGTACTTGTCATGTAGCTCCTTCATGGGGTCATACAGAATCTCCTTATTCGTCAAATGTGCCATCATGTTCATGAGCATACTGTTGAACCCCTCCTCTCCACCCTCTCCGCCTTCTGTGAGTTCACGCATCATCTGTGCTAAAAGATCCTCTTCTGACATGTTTTGCGTCGAAGAAGATGTGGATTGCTTCGCTGTGCTATCCGAAGCTTGCATTCGTTCCATCGTCTTCCGAATGCTATCCTGGAAGTTGTCCTGCTTTCCCGCTTTCTTACTTCCACTACTTGACGCAGCAGCAGCAGCAGTAGCAGGCTGAGCTTTGCTTTGTTCTGGCGAGATTGCTTGCGCAGCCTTTTGTAGATGTGCTCCTGCTTCGCGATCTGTTCCCGCTGATCCTGCAGCGATGAGCTCTTGCATCATCTTTTCGAACTCGGCTTGCATTTCTGGGTTGGCGTCCAGCTCGCCTATCAAGCCGCTCATACCAGCTTGCAGCTGAGCAGCAAAGTCCTCTTCTGAGCCTGCATCATGGCTAATCACAGGCGGTCGTCCTGGTCCGGAGGTAGCTGGTGCAGAAGCGGTTGCTGTGGACGCTTGTGCTGGTGGTGCTGGTGCAGGCTTTGGGGGTTCCGACACCTTTGTATTCTGGAAGCTGTCTAATACATCGTCGAGGTCGTCGAGATCATCGTCATCTGGATCTGGTGCAGTAGCCGCCGCCTCTGCAGGCTGTTTCTCGGTCATCGCGACTCGGGACTCGAGGTCGGCGCAACGTTGACAGAGGGGTTTGATCGCGGCGGGTTATAGTGGGCTGCTAGAGCCTAGACTGCCTAGGTGACTGGCAATTGATAACTCAAAATTCAGTCCTGCTCTTAACCGGAGTATCCAGTCAAGTTGAAGGCTGCGTTATGAACAAAGCTGTTGGTTGGAACATTGATCCATCCCAGAATCGTGGAATCGTCGGAATGACACATGCCTGCATGCCTCGGTAAGGTTTGGAAAGCCCCACAGCCCAAGGGTTCTTTCCGCATTGGTCAGTGCTTTCGTGAGTGAAAGTGAAGTCGCGTTTGTCGTGACACTCAGAAGTGAAGTCTCAGTTGACAGGCCTGTGAATGCGCAAGGCTCTCACTACATTATAACAGGCTCGCCGCCGCCCCAGTCGCCCAGCTCTATTGCAGAAACACTCTCGCCCGCACGACACCGAGCGAGTACACAAACCCCAACAAAATCACGCCCACGAACAGCAGCAGTCTGCGACCATGTCGCTCACCACTGCCCGCTTGCAAGAAGAGCGGTAGGACTAGCAGCCTCTGCGTCGAGACGAGAATTCCCCTGCTGACGCATCATCATAGCAAGCAATGGCGCAAAGATCACCCATTCGGCTTCGTCGCTCGCCCTGTCAAGAACGGACTTGCCCTCGACTTGCAGGAGTGGGAATGTGCTATACCTGGCAAGGATAAGACTATTTGGGAGGGAGGGTTGTTCAAATTGAAAATGAAGTTTCCAGACGGTGTGTACACCATCAAGATGCACTCAACTATGCCTCTAAACTTTCTAGAGCGGGCTTCCTCGGGAAAGTTTGGAAATGCGTACTGACAGCGGAACAGAATACCCTACAAAGCCTCCGAAGTGTATATTCACGCCTGCGCTGTTCCACCCCAACGTCTACCCATCAGGCACGGTATGCCTGTCGATTTTGAATGAGGAAGAGGGCTGGAAGCCAGCGATCACCATCAGGGAGATTTTGCTGGGTATTCAGATGCTACTGGATGAGGTCAACCCCGACAGTCCTGCGCAGGCCGATGCCTTCCATCTCTTCAAGAAGGACCGAGCCCAGTACGAGAAGCGGATTCGCCAGATCGTAAAGGACAACCAGGCACCGTAAGATCTCTCCTTCGAGACTGGGCTGCGCGAACTGTGGGTTACGTGAAGCTTCGACTTGCGGCGGCTCTGACTACACTCGTCAGGTAATAGATGCCTGTGTCATCTTGGACGAGGCGGAAATTGGTATCTCTGACAGAGCCGTCACGAGCAAAATGCTCCGAGATCCCAGGCAGTGGCTACACTCTCCTGCTTTCCGGCGGTATAGGCTCTGAGCATGAGCACTTGGGATTAGCGTTGGCGTTTTCGGGGAGGAACGGCGAGACGAAAATTATGGTACCACGATTGACATAGAACTGGCTCAACTGCCCAAGAATCAGAATTCATCAACACTTTCCCATATCTAATCTCCCGTGTCCGCCGCCGGTTGACGTTGGCCAAGCCACTGAATTCTGCGTCAGCAACAGCCACCTACATACCTAGAGCACAGCAGACACGACGATGATAGCGATGATGATGATAAAGTATCTGCCTACAAAACACCTTCCTGACCTCAACCCCCACCCACGGATTCTCCACCAATAGGACTGGGACGCGCCATTATCTGCCGGTAGAAGGCTGAGAGTGAGACCACTCACTTCATGAAATTTATTGGTCAAGAAGAAACCGACCGTTCGTTTCAGGCGAAAAGAAGCGGTCAATAAATTAAAACAAAAAAAATCAAAGTCTACTACATAGGAAAAAGTACCTCCTAGGAAGAAGAAGGTACATAAGGTACATGTACCTATGTGCCTGACTGCCTGTACAGTGTTTACAGCAAAGCAGTGTCCTTGGCATTAGCATCATCTATGCATAATCACCTCATCTGATAAAACAAAAACAAAGAGTTAAGGTACATACATTATTAACCTAACCCCCACACATATACTGCAGCTCGGCGTAATACCTACACAAAAGGTAAAAGATGCTTTGACGCTTGGCTTTATCGCAGGTACCTACTGTTGTCACTCTCACTGTACCTACGACTTATGTATCTACTACACACAGCGACTTTTCGTGCATCGGAGTGTGACGAGAAAGCTCTCAAGGGTCTAGGTAATAATGTGCTGCATGCAATCTTCAGGTCAGAATTTTTGTTTCTAGGGATACTCGGCATGGTTTCTAACTCTGATGCGCGAAGACGCCTGTATCTTTGGTCAGACCGACCTCCTAAGGTATGTATTGTCTTGGCTTGGCTTGGGGCTTACTTGCCAAGAAAATTTCGATTTCTAGGGAATGGAAGTCAGGTACTAGGTAGTGACGCTCTACCTTACTGTGACGAGGGTTTGTTCTGGAAGGTCGGGTCAGTTACAAGGTATAGTATAGCTTGTTTGTCTGAGAGTCTTGGAGGTTAGGCTTGGGGTACCTGATGAAAGATATTTGGAAGATTGGTAGATTGATGATGCTAGGAGGGAAGGAAGAGGAAAACCGAAAGAAGGGAGAGGAGAAGTAGAATGGGATAAACAAGAAGCACAGGCTGTGATTGTGTAGTCCAGCGGTTGTTATAGTGTGTCTCTAGAACGCTACTGACTCAACGGTCTCCTTCATACTGCTCTGTCTTCAGAAAAGAATATCCAGCTGTTCTGACTCTACTCTCATCTACTCTATTCCACCCAAGTCATTGTTAAAACATCGCTACGAGAAGCAAAAAAACCCATGTCGCTAATCATCAATTCGTCGCCCAAGTCATAGTCGTATCATCATCATCGCCAACGCTACTGCTTGCATCCATTCATTTATTCGTCGATCGAACCACAGCGACAACCGGTACTACTCCTGCGAGTCTCGGGTGATCCACTCCCACTCCCTCCACAATCACCGCAGGTGAGTTTTAATCCACTCCCACTGCCACCACAGCTCTCGCAGGCGCCACGGGCAATCACACGTCCGACACCGTGGCATGTATCACCTGGGAAGATTCAGAGTCAGTTGAAGGGGACACTATCGATCGAGAGTTTGGTCAGGTCCCCTCAAGACAACTTACAGTTCATATTCCCACACCCATACTTCTCCGCTTGACAATCGGTACACGGTTGTGCTCTGTTGGTTGTACCCGTGGCTTTGCAATATCCACAAGGTTTGGCGACTTCGCCTTCTCCGGAACAGCGCTGGCAGGATTCTGACTTGGTCATTGTGGGTGGTGGGGAGTTGATGAGGGATTCTGGGAGGACATCTTTGGCTTGGAGGGAGTTACGACGAGTGTTGAGTTCTGTTTGATAGCTGTCGGATCGTGTATTATTCTGGGGTCGGGAGTTTTTGAGTGTGTTGGAGAAGACTTGGTCGTCGAGGACATCGCGGGTTGTGAGGCTGCTTTCGTGGACAGACATTTCCGCTGATTTGGCTGTGGGTGATGATGGCTTATTCGACTCCTAGACCGTACGGTGCACTTTGAGATGAGGAGGGCGCCTGTGCTTGCTTGTGTCTATTATATGTTCCGCGGTTCGGTTGCTTCGGTATTGGAGGGCTTGAGCTTCGGTCACAGGGTGGAGCCCGGTGGGGTACTATATATGGTATTCTGATGGAAATGAAGCCAAGTGTCGAATGCACTTGAGAAGTCACCGTGCATGTCTGTAACATTTAACCTCACAGCCAAGTGCTAGCCTAGCCATGCCATCATGGCTTCACGTAGTGCCAAGGCCGATCGACAGCAAGGGCCCAAAAGCAATGATACACCATATGTGGACCCCTCCATGCGCATCGTTTCTGTTTAGATTAGGAGACGGTGTCGAGCGAATGGGAAGCGGGATTGTTGAAGATACCAAAAGCACCTAGAAAAGGCCGCCAAAAGAAACGCAACCTTATCTTCTAAGGACGCTAAGCAGCTAGAAAGGTCCCGCGAAAGCAACGCCATATGTCAAGCACCACTTACGAGTCAAGATCGGGTTCAAGTAGGTGGTGCCTGACCTGAGCTGTTTGATCCTAGTTGCTGCGCGGCCGAGGTATACCGGCAACGTGATCAGGATTGAGGATACTACTGTAGCCAGTACTTGTCGTTTCGTCAGCATTGGCGCTGCAGGTACAATCTGGATGATACGCAGACAGCATCTTTCAGCGACAGATGGTCTGACACTCGTCCTACTGCCCAGCAATTGTGCACGGGATAACCTGGAATATGGGGAGCGTTTGGATTTCAGGGATTCGCTGTCGAGAAGCAGCCCACACCGCTGGAAGCCTGGAAGAACAACACAGCCAAGCCACGCCACTGGTTGTTTCGTCATGCCCTCGGATTCTTGACCGAGGAGAAGCAAGATCATTCTGGTACAATACCCTAGCCTTCGGTGGTGATGGTGATGATGGTGGTGACGGTTATCTCGTACCTGCCATTCGTGTGGCAGGAGATCACCGTCTCGGAGCATTTTTTTGGTAAACGCCCCGTGGCTGGCTGATCAGCATGGGATGATGGGAGAGATCGTATCGCAGCAGTGCGGCTTCGCGTGGATGACCGGGTCGTCTTCAACGATTCATGTCCCCATTAGATGAAAGCAGAAGAGGCGGAGAGGTGCATTCAGGATTGGAGGGGAGAGAGGAGGAGGATCAGTAGTCAGGGGAATGTTCGAAGGGGGAACGTCCGAGGGAGTACAGCGTCGTTAGTCGAGTGAAGGTGGGACGGGTCACCGTGCCGGTCACGGGCGTGTGCCTGGCTCGTCCCGTTCCGTTCTGTATGATGATCACATTTCTCCAGTCACGTGCTAGGGCGTCGATGGCCGAGCAGGGAGGAGACAGAGAGACACACGTACAGTAGCTGCCATAGGGCAGATTGCTGACTGCTACATGGAGCAATGAGAGCCGTGTCCTCGTCGCTACCGCTGCGATCAGCGGTCACCAGTTTGATTCGGCCGCCCGCTGCCTGGACATGTCGAGAATGTCTCCTCTCTGCCTCCCGATCCCGACCTCGAGCCAGCATCGTCACAAGCATACGAGAGCAGGTCGCACAGCCAGGTATCGCGAGCTTCTCCACGAGTCGGCGTGTAGCTGCCCAGGCCAGCGGGCGAGCATGGCGCGAGAGGATACAGGACCGCATATACGACCCCAAAGAGAGGCGCAGAGTGGCCATCGCAGCCACAGTCATTTTCCTTACAGGATCGGCGGCATTAGCATTCAGCGAACAAGCGCGACATGTCTACATTGGGGCGGAGAGATGCGGCAGAGTGGCCATATGCTTGGTCCTCTGCATACGGGATTACCGCAACATCTTGAAGCGTGAGGACTGGGACGATCCAGAGTTTCAGAAGGATATATCTGCTTGTCACAAAAGATGTGCGCTACGGACATTGAAGGCTATGGAGAAGAATGGCTCAATATTCATCAAGCTCGGGCAGCACTTGACTTCGTTGAATTACCTCCTGCCTCACGAATGGTGTGATACGTTCATCCCGCTGCAAGACAAGTGCCCAGTGTCAAGTTATGGCAGCATTGAAGATATGGTGTACCAGGACACTGGTCGAAAGCTCGAGGACTATTTCTCCGAGTTCGCCGCGGAGCCGGTGGGAGCAGCCTCACTGGCACAGGTCCACATTGCGAGATTAAAGGATACAGGAGAGAAGGTGGCAGTCAAGGTGCAACATCCCTCATTGGACGAGTGGGCGTCTCTGGACATGTGGCTGACGACAAATACATTTCGAACGCTGCGCTACTGGTTTCCCGAGTACGATCTGACCTGGCTCAGTGATGAGATGGAGGTCTCACTGCCTCAAGAGCTGGACTTTCGGCAAGAAGGAAAGAATGCCATGAGGACGAAAGAGTACTTCTCCAAGATCAAAAACACGCCATTGATAGTGCCCGAAGTACGGTGGGCAGAGCGTAGAGTGCTGGTCATGGAGTATATCACAGGACATCGACCGGACGATCTCGCGTATCTGGACGCCAATGGCATCAGTCGTGATGAGGTAGCGGCTGCGTTAGCGAAGATATTCAATGAGATGATCTTTGGCAAAGACGCGCCTCTGCATTGTGATCCTCACGGGGGTAACATGGCCATTCGTCTCAACCCCAACAAGAGGAAGCCGTACAACTTTGATATCATTCTATACGACCATGGATTGTACAGAGACATACCGGACCACTTAAGGAAAGCATATGCGCATATGTGGCTAGCAGTATTGGACACCGACATTCCCAACATGCGCAAATACGCGTATGAAATCGCGGGCATTGGCGACGACGACTTTCCGATTTTCGCCTCCGCCGTGACAGGTCGCGATTATGGCGTAGTCGAACGAGGCGTGGCAGTGGAGCAGCGCAACGACGAAGAAAAGCGCAGTCTGACCGAACAAATGGGTCAAGACTTGGTCGAAAAGATCGTCGGACTACTTGGGAAAGTCCCACGCGTCATCCTTCTCATCCTCAAAACAAACGATTTGACACGGAGTCTCGACGAAAATCTCCACACGACACAAGGTCCCATGCGATCCTTCATGATCCTCGCACGATACGCAGCGCGTTGTGTCTGGGAAGAACAATGCGAGAGTGTCCAAGGCAGTGTCCTGTGGCCCTCCAATTTGGTACGACTGAGCGGAGCTCTGTTCGAGTATACCAAAGTGGCGCTCAAATTGCGATTGTACGAGTATTACCTCTTTGTGCGAGGCACGCTCGGATTGCAGAATCCTGTCAGTCCTGTCGGCATGCAAAGAAGCTAAGATAAGGTATGGGTAGGTAGGTAGGTAATTTCCCCCGAGAGGAAAAAGAAAAGGGAATTTTGTAGATACAAAGGCTAGAGCTATCAGGTATGCATACGTACCTACATGCATGGATGGATGGGTGGATGGGTGGATGGATGGATGGATCAACTGTACATGCACAAGGTACTCCTTCATACACAGTGTATGGCTCTGAAGCGTTTTTTTTTTTTTTTTTTTTTTTTTTTTTCTTTTTTCTTTTTTCTGTTTGTTTGCCACAACAAGTTCACCTCTACGTTCCAGTTTCACCCGCCCTTATTGTTTATTGAATACCTACCTACCGTACCTTACGGTCAGGTACATGAAACTACCTACCTCCTGCATCAGATCAGGTCTTGGGAATACGGGCATGACTTAGGTACCTGTACCTTACTGTGGGGACCTCCCTGAGGGCAAGCGCAAGTTAAGTGGGGAGGAGAAATACGGGATACATGTAGTTGGGTACGATGTGCATAATAAACCGTCCTTCTCATTCCAGGGTAGGTTCTTATCGATGTCCGAAGAGCTCAAAATCTAGCTGATCCTTCTTTCGATCCAGACTACTCGTCCCGTCATCGTCGTCGTCATCATCATCGTTATCGTCAATCATCTCCTCGTCACTGCTCTCCTCATCCTCCTCCTCTTCTTCCACACTTTCCTCTCCGCTGCTATCTTCGTGGCCTTCTCTTCCATGTGCAGCGTTGTCGCTATCGTCCTCTACCACAGCATGTTCTCCGATCTCGAAGAGATCCACAGAGCCCACGTCCGATTGCGACCGCAACTTTGATCCTCTGCTCGGAACGGCAGAGTCACTGTGCACACTTCCCGACCGATGTGGCATTCTCGAATCCAGATGCGGGGGCAGGTCATCATTGGTCTCATCCCCTACCATGTCCAGCCCTCGTAGGTAAAATCTCATAGGTGAAAGACTTCGACTGACGGCGTCCATCATCTCATAGGGTCGGAATCGCGGTAGTTCCACATTAGGCATATTGGGCAGATTCTGCCGCATATGTTGTAAGGATGTTGGCATGTTAGGTAAGGCTGGCATCCGTGGCATCCGGGGTATATCGGGCAAGTTTGCGGACAACGTAGGTAGGTTCGGCATGGAAGGCGTTGAGAAGCGTCCACTGAAGCTCGGACGACGGACTTCTTCGTCTGTGACAAAGTATCGTCCAGGAGATTGTGCACCAGCGGCCAGTCGAGGCGAGCTTGATAAATGAGACGGCTGTTGAGATGGGGAATCAGGGGGTTCGAGAGCGCTAGATGCTTGGACTTCTGAGGTTGCTGTTTCGTCGACTATGCCAATGCCAGCGTCACGGAGAACGTCATTTCCGGTAAAGTCGTGGCGGCGGACTGATTGCGTCTGTTGTCGGAGAAGTCTTTCAGCCTCAGTCTCGTGGTGTGCAGTTGGCGTCATCTGGTTAGTGTTGTAGCTATCGCATCGTTGGCATTTCAGGCCAAGCCAGTGAAAGGGAGTCCAGGTTCTTGCTCCACAGTCATTACAGCCAATCCATACTTTCCGTGGTCGACGGGGAGGTGAGGCATGTTGTCTTTCGTTCGCCTCGTCAGTCTCCTCTGATGGCTCAGCCGCGCCTTCAATGTGAGGTAAAAGGCCTTGGATGTCCTCCTCCGGCATCGGCTGTATCGCTATTTCCTCATCCAGCTTTCGCCACTGAAGTTCCATATTCACAGCACTCTTGCTGCAAACCGGGCACTTGTATGTCACAGCCATGAGATCCTTGTAGCACTCGCCATGCATATAATGTCCACATGGCAAGCTGACCACTGGGACTTTCGCCTCAAACATTCGCATCAGACAAAGCGGACAATTCCCCTCTGTAGCTCTCTCGATGCAAGGATGCGCAGCAGATGTAGATATTGATATACATACATTGCAGCGCTTGCAATGCACAAAGTCTTTGCCCAGTCCCTCTCCAACTCGACAGATGCCACAATCGTCACAGTGATAGATGCGTTTATTGGTGTCGTTATCCCAAAGCTTGCACTTTGAGCAATAGTACCACGCGGCATAGTTGCCACAATTGACGCATTCCTGAGCAGCGGGTTGCGGCGTCTGACACAACATACACAGCATGTTCTGCGTCTTCTGTCGATTGAGAGCATGTAGAAATGGCAGATCTCTTGACTGATCATGGCAATGTCGACATGGATACCACCTCTGGCAGTCGAAGCATTGCACCTTTACATTCCGCTTATAGTGCATGCAACCCAAGTCAGGCTCGTCGTCGTCGTCTGCCATGGTCTCGTCATCCTCTCCCTCGGGACATCGTACTGCTTTCGGTAGCGGACTAAAGACAGGATCCAGATCACCAGGTCGCAGGTTATAAGGATTACTAGGGTCGATAGGCATGATAGCAGCTCCCAGCAGAGGCGAGTCCAGGCCTTCGCTGTCCTGACCATGCGCTGCAGGACTCTCTGGCGGCGTGAGCTGCCCCAGTTTTTTATGTTTGACATAGTCCTGCATCATGAGCAGATGCATCCGCTTGGCCTTCTCTTCCGTCGATACCGCGAGCTCCTTAATCTCTTGCAGCTTCTGGCGCAGCGATCGCATGCCATCGTCCTCGGGAAGAGCCCCATCCATATTCGCAGCGTTTGCCATGATATAACGCGCAAAGGCAACCGTCGCCTGCCTCTCTTCCGTGTTCTCGGCTGAGCGTAGTGTCTCTGCACTCGCTCTCGAAGGCGGAGTGGCGGCGGGAGTCGCGAGACTACTAGTATCGATGGAAGTGACGGCAACAGTTCTCAAGAGGCCTTCGAAGTCGTGTGTAGGGTTGATGCTCATGCGCTGGTCGTTCGAGAGGGATGTCCCAGCGGCATGGTGTCGGTCCACAGGGTCACTCGGCTCGTCCTCTGTCGTAGAGATGAGTTGTTCGCTGTCGAGACTCGCTCCATTTCTGTGTGCTGGGCCAGCTGTCGTCGGCGACTCGAACCTTGTGTCTTGGCGATCAGAAGACAGCCGTCGCCGCCGCCAACGCGTCATCCCGCGGTCTTGCTCAACGAGGGGGAGCATGGGCATCCCTGGTGCGATGAGCAGTCTCGAGACACGCAACCACGACCGCAACCACGACCTCGACCACGACCAGAATGGTGGCTGCTGGGCCTCATATGTAGCACGAGAAGCGGTCAAAGAGCACGACGAGTGCCCGTTCCAGAACAGATCTAGAACTGCGGAAAGCAAGACTCAGCTATGATAGGCACTGCAACGTCTCAAAATAAAACCTGGTTTGGCCACCACCTTGCCCGGACACAACATTCGCCTCACACACATACACAAATACACACACACATCTCGCCCACATTTACCTGTACATTACCCACTATATACCAAGTAATCCGAAATCGTCATGATTGCAACACTCTGCAGTATACAGTACCTTACCTTACCTCCTACCCGTGGACCTCCTACCTCCCATCTACAGTATTATTACAAAGAGACCGTTTCAAAACAACCAGTCTCCCATAATCCATTCCAGTCCAGCGCAGCCCAGTAACCAGTCCAGTAGAGGTTTGTAGTGGATGTGTAACTGTGGTTCCTGGTCGTCGGATCCATCCTTCCCCTCAGATCTACATACGCTATACGCTACGCCACAAACAACACCCACACTCGCCACACGAACCGATCTACCTCCTAGGAGGTGGAGGTATGCCCAGCTAGGATGTACGAGCATACTTACGAGGGCATGTGAACCTGAGCCCCGGTTAGGGCGATCATCCCACCAACCCGGCTTCTGTAACTGAAAAATCATCCCCAAATCATTGGTGCAGGTAACCATGTAGACGACGATGAATCGACGATGCTTTGATGTGTCGCAAGGAGACGTCTCTTGAGATGTGGCTTCAATATGTTGTACAGGTCGTGCTAGGAGGTACATTCCTCCCATTATACAATAAGGTAGGTACCATCACATCAGATATTACATAGTAACTAGGGAAAGATTCGTGATTGGACGCATTGTGTCTATACAAGCAGTCCTAACATAGATTCTGGCGCCTCGCGCGCGATTTCGTCTCCAGGACGACGGCAATGAGATGTTCTCATAGATACCCTGTATCCATCGCAATCATGGTATCAAACCAATCCAGAAATGACGCAAAATGGGTATCTTCATAAAACATGAACCTCTTTTTTTCCTATCCCACCATGTCCTGCTGGAGAACGATATTTCAAACAAACATTACGTATATTGTGTTCGTCGATCCTGTCAATTCCCACCCGCTCGTTTCCGCTGATCGGCCGACTCGTGCACCCCAGGTAGTGTCCTGATGGAGAAAGTAGCACTCTTGAGGTTATACCATCGACCAAGGTCACTGTATGCGCTGACAACGAGCTTGCTTCGATCCTCATGTATCTCCGGCGCCGGAACATGCCTTCTGTCGACATCTTTGGGCTCGACCATGGTGCTCCGGCGATGGAATTTGTTCGTCATGGCATCTGTCCCATCACGCATGCGCCTGAGTTGCAGTTCCAGCCAGCTTTGCAGTTCCGGTACCGCTTGTAGCCGATACGGTGCTTGGAATCGTTGCATATGGCTGACGAGCTTGGCCATGCGCATGTACAGATCGAAGTTGATGACCGAGACCGCTTCGCCCCTCTCGTTGGCACTGCCAGGTATCTCGCGTCGCTTCGAATTGCCCGCGACTACAAACGTCAGGTCTGTCAGGTAGATGCCCAGGAAAGGAAGACATGACGACGTCGGGGCGTCCAGCCTACGCCGGAGCTTCGTGTAGTTCTTGGATATGTCTATGACCTGATTGAGCTCTTCAAGTCTTGCTCTCGTCTTCTTGCTCACCAGTTCCCAAGTACGTTTGAGTCTTTGCACGACACACGAGTTGATCGAACACACGATAGACATGATCGAGTCGTAGTTGTTCAGTTCCAGTAGCGCAAGGCCGATCTTGGCCCAGTGCTTGATCACGTTGGCACGCTTCTTGGCATCGTCAGGGCCCAAGATGGAATCAGCCACAAAGTTCGCAAGATCAGTGTTGAGTAAACACATCTTGCGTATGTGCTTCGCCGTCGTAGTATTGCTGTTGCCCCAGTCCATGCTGAGTAGCTCTTCAGGTCGAATCTCGCAGTAAGTAGTCATCATCATGATCGTGATCTGTCTAGCCATTTCAATAGCATCGATGTCAAGTATGCTGCATTGAGCGCCACCTCCAGTCGCAAGTCGCAGGGCGTTGAGCTGCTTGTTCGTAATGTTGGGGGTGGGAATGTCTTTTTCGTTATCAATCCCGAATGACATGCTGGACTTGCCGACAGCTGACACCAAAGGTCCGTTCAGGGTCCCTTGTGCATAGCCTTCACTCACTCTGCGAGTAAGCTCAGTCAAGCGGTCTCCAGCTTGCGGCAAGACTGGCTTGAGTTTATGCAGTGCGAAGAACCGAATCTCGCCGAGGGCGTCCTTATCCGCTTCAGCATGCCAATACGTCTCGAGCCAGCCTTTGAAGAAGTTGTAAATCCGCAGACGTGCAGGTGTGCCGGTGGTCCGACTATCACCGACGTACTCGAAGCGGTGAATCAATGCCTGGGCAAGTTCACGTGGCTCGGCGAATTTCCTGAACGTAAGGAAGAAAGCCGCTACAAACTGCGGGTCGGGGGTCAAATCGTGCGCTGTGAGCTGCTCCACTAGAGCCTGCAGACTGCCGCCAGTAATCTGACCCTCTTTGTTCCGTGTCAACTCGAGTATGTATGACTTTTGCAGGAGTTGCGACTCGACATCCATGCTGTCCTCTGTCACCAATGACGGCATGCTGGAGATGCTGGCGAAGCTCCTCAACATCGCACCGTCGGGCGCGACTGAATCCTTGGCGTTCTCCGGCGTTGTCGCTCGCGTAGATGCTTGCGATACTGCGGTAGCGCCAGAATCACGCATACTGCTACAGAACGTCTCGGTCGAACCTGCGATTGACATTCCCACGCTGTCTTTGCGAGCCAGAGTTTGCGCTTCTGATTGCACAGACGGTTGGCCCTTTGACGTCTCTAACCCAGGCACACTAGAATACATACTCGACGCCTGCGAAGAGCGTTGCCGGTGCGTCGAAGGTATCGGTGGCAACGACTTTTGCGATTCTCCCGTGGGTGGCATCGGGAATGCAGTAGAGTCGAGAGTTTCAATGGAGGATGGGAGTGGAACGTCAGAGGTAACCATCGTGTAGTCATCGCGAGGCACAGGCGGTGGCGGTGGCAGCATCTTTGCATCCAAGGAAGACCGCATCTTCGAGCGTCTATGAGATCGCTGCGCCTCATTGAGGGTCATGTTGTCAATTCGTGCCGGAACATCGGCACTCGTCGTGCTGGCGGTTGAGTGCCCAGACGACTTCAGCTCGAAGTCGCCAATCTGCTCAATAAGTAGACGGGTCTTCACGACACAATCTCCAGCATTGCGAATCAAGCTCGTGCCAACATTGATCAGGTGCTGGTGCTGGTCGTGTAGCATCACAACATCCTCGTCGGGAGAGTCTGAGAACCTGAACACATCCCTGGTGGAGTTCGCTAAGTCTTCCAGTTTGGCTTCGAACTCCTCTTTGACTTGCTGTACAGGCGTTGATCTTGGTGGATCATGAGCAGAGACTTCCTCAACAATCGCAAGCATGTCTCGACATGCCTTCACCAGGCGCTCTGTTGTGGTGACGAGTTCCGCTGATGGCCGAGAGTGAAGATGAAGTCCAATAAAAGCGGCGATATAGCTGATGCAAACGTCGTGTACCTTAGCCAGCTGCTCAGAAGCAAGAGACCCTTCTCTTGATCGAACACGATCCTTTGTCACCAACGACAATCGATGCGCAACCATGCCGTCCGGAGGGGTGAAGACCGCAGATCTTCTCAGCGATATTTTATCACGACCTTCGGAACGATGGTGACGAGCTCCGACTTTGACATCCTGCTTGCCATCTTGCTGGGGCAAATGTACGGCAGAGTCAACGGCAGACACAGTGTTCTTGCCGCCCACACTTTGCGTGTCGATCGTAGGTGGCCCTCCTTGGAAGCCGGTCGTGGGTCGCTGCAAACTTTGTCGTCTGAGGTGCATAGAGCAACTTGTTTCCTGTGACCAGACGTCGTAGAAGCTGACAGCACGTGTGACAACCTTGAAGGCCTTGGAAATTAGGTCGTCCAGTAACACATGAACTACTTCCGCCGCAAACGATTCGCTGATAGTCTCCTGTAATCGCTTGGCAATGCCGACCAGGGATGACAGGTCTGCAAGAAGTCCTTTGCGCATCCTACGAATGCCAGCATGTTGTTTCACTGTAGGCGCCTCTCTGTGCAAGCAGTCTGCCCGTTCCAGCAGGTATCGTACCCCCGCGATCAACCCGCGGATATAATCTTGATGCACAAACGTTGACAAGCTCGCGTTTTCGCTTGCGCCCAGCAGATCCCAAAATTGTGTCATAGCATGCAGCAGGTTCCTCAGATATGGGTGATCGTATGCTTCGCAATAGTTTGTGGGCAGCCAGCCGCGATCCCCGGTATTGAGCACAGTTCCATCAGCCCAGCCGTTCGCATGTACCACATGGATAAGGATCAGATCGCCGGGCTTGATGCGAACGGTCGACAACGACGCATCTTCGTCCGGCATTGCACTCGTGGCAGGATCGAATACGTACAGAGCACGCAGGTAGTTTTGAAAGAGGGATTGGCTGACGGGAAACGGTTCATAGTCGGCGGGCGGACTGCCGGGTGTTGGAGGTGGTGTGGTATGAGACACGAAGCCCGCTGTCGTCGTCGTGGAAATATGGCGAGGTCGCGATGGTCGTTTTATTTGCGACCTAGCCGCGCGAGGAGAACGAGTTGCAGGTCGAGCTTCTTGCTTGGTTCCCGGCATGCCGTCAGATGTCGTCCGGTCCTCATATTGAGGTCGAAGTCGCGTGGCCATTGCTTCGCCCGTGTCTTCTGTGCCCATGCTGCCCGGCTACACAAGAGATGCGCAACAACCAGTATCTCGCACACTCACTATAGCGCGAATTGCAACTCCATAAAGGACGGGGCAGGGGCGGGTAATAGTCGAAAGGGCAGTAAACGTGTGTCACCTCAGAGCAGATGCACAGTCCTTGATGAGGTAGGCACTGGCCACAACGTCAGTGAGTTCGGTTCGCATGTTGTTGTTGTGGGTGGTGGCGAGGAATGCATGGCGAGCTGGGAAGCGCTAGATTGGCAGCAGGGCACCGGCCGCTTATTGCCAGACTGGCCGAGAGCAAGCCACTACGTTGTACTGACCTCGTGCAAGTTGGAGAGAGTGACCTACGACCAGGATCACCTCGTTGAATATGGTTCTTCCAGACAGCCCTAGACGGCACCGATAAGATGATTCGCGAAGTCGTAATCGGCTGTCGCGTGGGCAAAGGCTGGTTTCAGGATGCCTCTCGTGTTTCGTGCGCTCGAGGCAAACCGCTCGTGCCCGTGCAGCCTGCAATTAGCTATGTGGCGAGGCGGTCCACGTCGTCGCGTGGTCGAAGATGAGGTGTTCGTGGGCAATGAATGTCAAACGGCGCTGTTTCGTTTCTTGAAGGTTGCACTGGTCGGCCAGGCATGCGTATGGCAGCAGCCAAGCAAGCAAGGTGTGCGGTGTCTTTCTCCCGGCCGGTGAGAGGGTCAGGTGGTAGGTACAGTAGGTAGGAAGAGAGTGTCGCGGCCGGCAAGCAAGGCCTATTCAGTCGCCCCTCCTTGCGCTTCGCTCGCTTCTCGCCCGCTCTCTCTGCTCACTCAGGGACAGGCGTCGGAAGAAGGGACTGGGCCTGGTATGTGTTCAGTCGAGCAGCTGCTGGGAGGGATAGCAGGAGAATCGACAAAAGCAGATGTGACAGAAAGGGACACTGCGCAGGCTCATGCAGCATCGCGCCAGGCCGGCACCATGGCTTTGATGGCGTCGAAGTCGACTTTAGGTTCTGTTTCCCGGCAGCACTGATCGTCGAACTGTCCTGCAGCCTATGATGTGTGAGCCTTACGGTGCCCTCTCACGGGGGCTGCTACGCTACGATGGATAGGCGACGAGACGAACTCAACGCCGTGCTCTAGCGTGGCGAGGCACAGCGCGTAGCACCGGCGGCGTGGAATCAACAATACAGGCGACAGCACCGCGCTGCACACCTGTCTGGCCAGTGGTCACTGGGTGTGCTGGATCGTTGGCTGATTGATCACTGGCAACGCGTGGGTATGGATGATGGATGGATAATTGGATGAATGGATGGATTCGCACCGCAAGCGCTCCTGTCGCCCGTGTCTTGGACTGTCCTTCTCAACCACTGTAGGGGCACACGCACACTGAGCCACTGGCGAGGGCCAACGTCTATTGAGCCACGACGGGGCGGGGAGGTGAGATGGGTCGCGGTCTACATCATCACCGCACATCGCATTCGCCACAAATGGTACATACACCACAAGTACATGTACCTTTATCCAGCGAATGGGTCGACCCATCACAGCACAGCGCAGCGTGACGTGACGTGACCAAGAGGCGACGCTGACCGACTCGGTCGCCAGAGCTGCCACTGACAGTGGGGTGGAGTGGGGTGGGCCCAGTCGCTTCAGTGCCAAAGCAGAGCAAAATCGAGTGGAAAACGCTGTGACTCTGTCTCTGTGAATGAGCCTGTGAGTTCGGCGTGGTGACAGAGAATTTACGGGAGATCGAAAACGCTTTGCCCACCAGGGGATCCAAGTCGAGCAGCACAGGGCAAGCTAGAACTCTCGTCGCAAGGGCCCGCAACCACGGACAATAATTCTACTGGGAATCTGGGATCAGGTCCTGCCGGCAGTCAAGGTTCGCCCGACCGCATCTTCTTCCTCCCCTGCAGCAACGCAAACCAAATTCCCACTGCACGAGGGCGCTCGTCGGCTTGGTATGCGTGTCGAGCGTCTCTACACCTTCATGCCATTTTTGAGAGCACCAGAGCGTCAGGTAGATGTGCAGAGGTGCACGCATGGCACGCTGCGAAGAGACAACGGCCAGGAGTCATCAGCAGCTGCGATGTACCAGAGCCCAGCAGGCAAGAAGCGTCACAGCAATCAAGAGTTGGGTAGAACTTCAACGTATCTGTGCAAAGATCGCCCACTTTCGTGCTCCAGACGCCGGCGGACGGGATCATTTGGAGCAGACGATCAATCGGGGCGACGACCGTCTTCGCCGTTTCTGAATACCACGGACGGCATCGCACAGTATTACGTGTGGTATCCACGGCGACGAGCTTTACAGGCGTGCTTCTGCGTCTTCATGTGGTATTCTACTGTACCTACATAGCGGAGCTGGAAGGTCATCCAACCACCTGATTGATATCATGGTTGTGACATGTATTGTCATAATAGTGCTATTCTTATGCTGGTTCGCATTTCGACTCTTCGTCTGATCTAAAACGCTGTGGGTCACTCAATCCTCGAGCGCGCGCGTCAGAAGCGTGCAGAGTCAAATTACCTTACTCAGACCCCCAGAGATCTGTGGAAGCTCCCAGATCCGATCGCTTTTTTTTCCTCGTCGCTCTGTCATCAGCCGTCTCACACGAGCACGCCAACTAGACAAGTAGCACATCACAATATCAATGTTGATTGCGCCACGCTACAGAGAAGCTATAGACTCTTTGCAAAGCCGCAACGACGCAAGCCTACCTACTGTATGTGAAGGGCGTCTCGTCTAGTTCTGGATATGTACCTTCATAAGAACAACTACAGACCCACCGGAAACACCAGGTGTCTCCTGCCTCGGCTACCATATGTTCGTCGAATTGGATGACCAACTTCAAGCCCCTGATGGCCAGAATTGCCATCTTCGGCTCGCGGCAGACATGACACGTTCGTTACAGATGCTTCAATTGTGTGCTTTGCACACGCCCAGACGGCCTGAAGTCCTGAAGTCACTAGTGAGAGCCTCAAATCTTACAATCATGCTCTCCATGACTATGCATATGCATGTCACCTGCATGTTACCTATCGTCCTCTCCTCTCAAACGTGCGTTTGGAGTTTGGTACACGTCGCAGGACGCAAATAGATGTCGCATGCCGTCACTGACTGACACTCGCTCTAGTTATGACAATTCAGACAGGCAAGCCCAAACCTCTGCCTCGAAGCACACATTACGATGGCACTCCCTGACATGTTCGATGCTGCGACGGCGTTGCCAGATGAGCTAGGTAAGGTATACAGAGTTCGAGTTTGAGCCTCGATCGTGACGTGCCCGTGCTTGGAATTTGACATGCAATCTGAAGAAGCCGATTCACTACGTACGTTTTTATAACATCAGCAGCGCAGCAACTACATGATATTTTCACAGTCCTGTGAGCCGGTGACCCTACAAGAACCAGAGCAAGCAAGAACAGCAAGAGAAGCGCTATACTACACAAGAGTAGCTCGTTTGGCTGCGAAATCCTGCACGTGGGAAAGAGAAAAAAACATGAACTTAATAAGATCTGGACTTGTGTCCGCGTGGCAGCCTCCACTTTCAGACTTCTACTACACGATGGCGTCCCACAAACCCGCCTCGGCTCTGCAGGACAAGCATCTATCTTGTTGATAGAACATGACGAGGACGATCGTTGGTAATGTATATATCTACACGAGAGGTTAATTTTCCAATCAACCAGCACTCAAAAAAACAGTTTCGTGAAGACAAATAGAGTACTGCAACACCTTACAATACCTTAAACGCCTCTAAAATGTGTAAAAAAGATCTTTCCAACAAAAAGTATGTATCCGGGATGTTCTGGGGCGTGGTAGCATTTCAACGGATGAAACACGCCCGATTGCAACTTTCACGAGGCTTGGTGCGTATTTTGTCTTTTTCGCATTATAGTACCTCCTACCTAGAAAAAACGTGGCAGTCGGCCTCTCCGCCGGAGAACATCCCTCTCTTGTCAATATCAAAAAGCAGGTTCAGACTGCCAGTCTAGAGAGGAAAGTCTGTCGATGGCGTGACTTCTTCGGAGCAGAACTGCTGAGGACTAGTCTGAGGAGAATAGTTTTTTTTTTCTTTCTTTTTTACTTTGTGCCATCATCGGAGTGAAAGGCGTTGCAAGGTCCTTGCGGTCTCACAGCATCTATTTGGAATAGACGGAGGCTCTGAGCATACATGTACGGACAGGTTCAACATGTCAAGCAACTCCTAGTTAGAACTCCTTTCTCGTGTAACCTGCTCATCAACTCATCGGCTCAATTTCTAGACGGACGAATACGAAATCACATTCTGATGAAGTCATCAGGTAGCTAGGTTGGTAGTAGGTAGGCAAGTGTCCTACTGGAATCCAACAGATACTCCAGTCTGCTGCGTAGGTACCTACTCGAGAACAACTTCAGATTCCCTTCTCCAAATCCCCCGCAGCACCTCACATACCGAATTCATTTCTTTCCTTCCTTCGCAGATAAGCTAATCATCCATCGTCCACTACCTAGATAACCAACACAGTACATACAAGTACCTCGTCTCGCCAATATCGCGAACCCGAGCGTATCATTCAGCGAGGTAGACAATAGTTCAAAAAAAAATCCTTGTACAGACTATATTACTCCACAAAACCTTCCCCGGGCAACAAAGCAACTTTCACTTTCACTTTGCCATCAGTCATCATCATTAGCGATATACAAGCACTAGGGTTCCCAGGAAACGACCGATCGTCGTCGAGACGTCGACTGCAAGGTACAAGGCAGCTAAGAGGATACTTTACATATAATACCTAGTAGATCTTGAATATATTTGCCGAGAAAGAACAAACTACCTTGATATATGTAAATTGGAAAATCAAATTCTTGACCTATTAGATTTTTTTTTTCTCAAATTGATTTTATCCTTCTCGCTACCTAGGGTAGGGGTATCTGTAGCCTGTAGGTAGCCTGTAGCCTGTAGGCACAGTACCCAGTATACCATGCAGTATCATCATCCATGGCAAAAAAATTCAATAGTGCCGTACGTGGGTGCTTTTCGTATCCTACCGATAGGCTCGAACAACTTTTACTTTTTTCATTTTAGCCAGCCAGCCAGCCAGGTGCACAGTACAACATGAAAAAACCAAACCTTTTTTGCCGGGGATGTAACTGTACAGTATATACAAACATGGGTTGTCACAGTGCTACGAACGACGAAAAGCATATGTGATATTGTGGGTATAGTTTCACTATAGCCGTTCACGCGCGCGCGCGCGCGCCCGCCTGGGATATTGCCGAAGAGGGATTCTTTGGTTTTTAACCTTTTATGGAGTTGGGGGAAATCAGTAGATGTGAAATTGATGCCTCGCGAGGATTTTGGGTCTTCTTCTTTGATGTGGCTACGCTTAACGCGGTACTCGTTATATATATACCTTATCACAGGTACTTACCTTAGGCTTCCATATAGCGGGTAGAGTCGCGCGAATGCAGTCTGCCATTATTTTATACGGTACAGAAAGAGTGATGTCGCTACATCCCCGAAGGAGAGTAAGGTATAGAGCCAAATGGATCTGGGGTCGCTGGTTGTTGCAAGCTCAGGGATATAAAAGATTTGACAAGGACGAGGAGGTCGGAGAGATTTCAATGACACGCATACACACTCTTTCTCTCTTTCTCTCTTTCTCTCTGCTCTCTCTGCTCTCTCTGTCTCTCTCTCTCTCTCTCTCTCCCAAGCGGTGTGCGTAACTCTGTATCTGTACTTGAAGGGAGATATCACACTGCCTACTTGACCTTTCATCTGCTGATGCTGATGACGACGACGACGATGATGATCGATGATGATGAGGGTGATGATGATGATGATAGGCTGAGTGAGGTGGGTGTGTGGGTGTATGCAAGGGGCAACGTGATAACGCATAGGTACCCAAAGACTGACGATACGGATAAGGAGGGTAAAATGTATTCGGCTTTGCAGGTCGGTACCAACGCAATTTGCATAATTGTTACCTTTTACTTCATTCCGTCTGTCTGTCTAGGAGGTAGGCTTGTCTATCACAATTGCTCGGACTTTTCAAATACCCGATAGGTCGAGATGGGGAATGTACAATCAGGGGAAGTGTACAGGATATATCTGTCTGTCCGGATCAATAGGTACCTCTAAGGAGAACGGAAAAGTAAGGTACAAATACCTTAGGTAGAGCTCGTATATACATTACCTACCGAGCAGCTTACAGATAGAAAGGACATGTAGTTCCTCCTGTATTGGTACTACAGCAGTACTCTAACCTGTTGTTGATGTAGCACACAGCAGTCAGCTACCTGACAAACGATCAGGCACCTAAGGTCGCAAACGGCAACCTCTCTCAACCTACGGCTATATACCTAAGGTACTAGCACAGTTGATAGTCGCTTAATTGACACAATCATAGATCCCACTCTTCCACTTCAACACAAATCTTTCAACTCTTCCGCCCAAGTTTAGCTAGTAGAGGTAACATTGCATCCGTAACTCCTACCTCCTATTAGGTAGGTAGTTCAAAAAAAATTCCTTCTTCTTTCCTCGTCTTCGTCTTTACCTTTTTGTCTTCTACTTCCTATCTTCTACCTCTACTCTAGTGTCTTTTGCATGTATACCTGATCCTCAACTTTCGCAGAGAATCGACTCCCTGCTTACCTTACAGATGATCTGTACCTCCCAAGGTACATGTGTGCATACCTCCTACCTTACTTCCTCAACTAAGGAGAAAGAAGGCCAACGTACCTGTACCTGTACCTGTACCTGTACCTTACCTACTACGAGGTAATGTAAGATAAGGTAGTTTGCTACATTAAGTACCTGTAGTTCTATAGTATTTTTAGAGAGGTAGGTAGTTAAGGTAGACGCGCAACTCGACTCATTCAAACCCCCTAAATGTTTTAGAATAGGTGGGCTTGCTTCGTATACCTCCTATTCGACTTCTTCTCTGATTCATGGTCGAGGCCACTGCGAAACTGACTAGAAGACGAAGGAAGGGTGCTTTAGTTCCTTCTCTTCTTCATTTGGAGGGGGTTTTTTGTTAAAAAAAAGAAAGCAATGATTCATGTGCACCGGGCTAGACTTTTGTGACTTTTTTCCGCTCGCATTCATGATGTTGATGCTCTAGATACATAGCTGTCAGCAGCCTTAGCTTTCATTCACGTGCATCACATCTGCAATTCAAACGCCGTCGCTATCATCGAATTCTACACTCCCGATTGCCCGTAGTATGTGCTAGCTACGCTGGGGATTACTACAGTCCGCTCGAAACAGTCATGTGTATCTATCCAGTCCCGCTGACAGCCAACTTCATCAAGTGATCCATAAATGTCTGCAAGCTAACATCATCTGTGAAGATGGTCTGAGCAGTCTGACTAACCCCACCATAGCTTGATGAAGTATGCGTCGTTGATGGATTGAGCTTGGCGAGCAAGAAACGGGCCTGTGAACCACCGGCGTCGCAGACGATGAATCGTGGAAGTGGGAAGCGATCTGAAATAAGTTCCTGTAGAGATCTGGTCAGCACGTGTCCCAAATTCGAGCCCACGGAAGAACGTTATATACCTTTGCATCCTGCTTGGGCGCATCGAGAAGCTCACTGAAGTTCTCATAACCTTCCATGTCCTGGTACCCAGCTTTTCGCCATTCGGCCATCGTCTCACCGTGGAAGATGAGGATGTGGAAGAAGGTATCGAGAAGCAGAATTGTTGTCGGTTGGATCGAGGACGAGTCAAGTAACACCGGTACTGCTCCTTCTTGATCGAATGTGTACGAGTCCAAAGTAGGCTGGATCATGACCAGCGAGTTTGACACATCCTCGTGGTTCAGAACATGTCGATAGAATGCAGTCTCATCGGGCGAGTTGTTGAAGACCTGCAAGAACTGTGATCGACGCAGATGGAACATGAATTGTGGATACAGCGTGAAGTTCTTCTCGAGGCGGAAGGACGATGGATCGTCTTTGCGGTACTCTGCAAAGCGCGAACAGAGCCTGATAAGCATGCGATCCACCCATCGAAGGACATCTGGGCCGTCGTCAACTTCAGCCTTGAACACTGCAATCCTGCTCATCAAGACAGCTGCAGCTTCCTGGTCGAAAGACTGTGCAATGGCTGGGTCGCCGCTTGGCCCACTCATGTTCCGCCCAACGGTGGTCACGCGCAGATGATACTGCCCTCCGCTGTGCTGATAGTATGTCAGGAATTGAATGAGACCCTTTTGAGGTCCCTGCTGCATTGGCGCTGCGGGCCCACCTTGACTGGCGATCTCGAAGTATACACCGTACGATGCTGAGGGATCGATGCCGCACATCTTCCAGCTGCAGGTATTACCAATGCCGCACTCGGTCTCACCAACTGAGCTGGATTTCTTGTTCAGAGACACCGCGTGGCCGATCAGCCCCGTAACCTTTAGCTCTTTCGTCGTCAAGACCTCCATCGAAGCATTGAATCCCATTGCCAGAGTACCAGATTCATCCGCATCAAATATCTTCAGGAATGAAGACTTGAACATGGAGGCGGTGAATGAATCTGTCAAGATGATGTGACCTCCAGTGCTATTGGGCAGACCTTTCATCTCAAGCAGACCAACCTGATCCAGACAGCCAGCAAAGATATCAACCACATGTCCGTTGTGAGCCACGCGCTTGGCAAGTGTGTCGTAGAACTTCAAGGCTTTCTTGTAGTATTTGATATTGTCACGATCAATGTCGTGATGAGAACGAATCTGCTCCTTGAGCTCCGGTCCAACTACCATACCCGGCCCTTCCGTAGCTGGACCACCTGTGAACAGCATAATGCGCGCGCCAGAGTTTTGGAAACTGGTCTCCAAAAGTCCAGTCGCAACAGAGAGCGCCACGCCAGTGCATCTAATGGCACGCTTGTCATTTGCGACTGGCCAGGGGTCCTTCTGCAGGCTTTCCAGCACATTTGTGAGCTGGAATTCGCATTGCTGCACTGGGAGCAAGAATCGAGCCTGGGCACCACCGACTGGTGGAGCAACTGCAGGACGACCTGGCTGTGGCTGTGGCTGCATTCCTGGTCTGGCTCCAGCTGCCATGCTCAATCCCAGCATCTCTTGCACCTGCTTCGCGCCGTAGTCCTTGTTGCCACGGAAAACATAACTTTTCGCGCACTCTGTGTATCCCAGCTCGTGTACCTGCGCCATGGTTCCATATGTGATCAGGCCGACCAGCGCGTGCGGTGGAAGGTATGAGAGGCAAGTGATGATGCTGTCCCGAAGCGCCTTGAGCGAGTCTTCCTCCTGGCATGTGTCAATGACAAACACGAAGATGGGGGGCATAGGCGCAGGTCTCGCAAGCCTGTATTCGATAGTGGTGCTACCAGGGTGAAGTTCAGGTGGGATCTGATTCTCGCTGATGTCCTTGTAGTGTGGTGGGAGATTGTTGCGCTGCAGGCAGAATGGACAGATCCATATTCGTGCTCGCATGTCTACCTGGCAGAAAGGATTGAGTACTGCTCGACATGGTGGCTTGCATGTGACGGGCTCATATTGCAGCAGCGGCGTGCCATCGTCCTTCTCTTTCAGAGGGGTATATAGAGCGCCGATGGGGACAACCAGTCTGCTGGCTTCCATGCGCGAGGAAGGAAAGGTATTCCATGAAAGGCGGATACCATCGCGGTCCTCAATCTCCGACCACTGGTCCTTGAGCGCCTCGTAGTCCATGTTGTTGATGAAGTGGGCGGCGTAGAACTGGGAGAGGGCGGAGGGGCGGTCTCGCTGTTTACAATGCGCTCATGCACTGTTCGGGTGGGGGCGTTGAGCAAGGTGAAGTGACACGCAGATAGACACAGTAGCTCTAGGCAGTACCGTGAGCTTCGCTGGCTATGGATATTTTGTTGAGGACAGCTCGAAAGGATCTCTAGAGACAAGGCAAGAGGTGGCCTCCTTCATCTAAGCCCAACTTCCCAGCTGGTCGGTGTCGGTGCATCGTAGCTGCCACATATCAGCCTTGGCAAGCCCGGCCCATCCCGCTTCGTTCGTTTATATTTTCCATTTCCGCCGCCCACTTCTCGTCTTTTCACAAACATGCCAGCATCAAACACATTACTTATCGGCGATCAGCTCAACTTCACATTAGCTTGACCGTTTTCGCGCTGTGCATAGATCAATTGCAATGTCCATTACTGGGCGCCGGACCTTGAATTATAGCGTTATGCTCAAGCTGAGAGGTTCGGAATCAGTGCGGGCCACAATCTCTTTCAGTCATCCATCTTTTGCCATACCGGCGTGCAGATGGGATTGAAGGTACATGTAAGATGTAGCTCGTGGGCGGAGGGAGGGCTCGTCATGCCATTCCCCGATGGGAGCGTGGCTCACGAAGACTTCAGGGCACCTCATACTAAGGTACCTTAGCATCGATTACATACATGTAGAGAATACCACACGTAGGACGTATCAGATTATTAAGATGTGTGTACAGTCGGACGAGGCTTGACCCACGACAATATTGTCACATGATGGCACTACGGATGAGTGCCAACCACAATCACACTCTCTTTCGCATGACAGTTGTGCAGGTGAGAAATCAGGTACATGCTCATAGATGTGGTCCAAACAGGTATCTACAGCTCCCCCGTACGTGTAAAAAGCCCATGCACAATGTCTCTCCATCCATCTCTCGAGTGAAAAGCTTGTCAATGCAAGCCGAAGCTGCCATGGACGCGGGGTTTCAGGTGGATGCTTCGCTTCATTATTGATTACTAGACGAGCTCCTGCCAATCTGCACTAGAGTGCTAGCCGTAGTAGCCCTCTCCTCATACAGTCTCCTCAAATCATCGACGCTACTCTTTTTCAAATTCAGCTTGCTCGGCTCGAGCATAGCACTACTTTGTGACGGAGACGAGTCCGGGTTGCCTCTATTCTCCCAGCTACTCATTCTATTGAGTAGCCCGGCCGAAGGCGCTCGTGGCTTGGGGACCCCGGGTGCAGGACCACCGGTGCCATCAGGGCCAGAAACAGCAGGCACAATGGTATTCAAGGTCCGCGTTGGCAGAATTGGCTTGGCCAAGGATTGAATGCCAGGACCTTGCTGTTTAGCTGAAGCAGGCCAGGAGGGTTTACGAAAGGGACCTTCAACCACAGGCGTGGAGGTAGTTGATTGTGGCATCTTCACAGCCAGATCTGCGGGTGTTGTATGTTGAACTGGTGTCACCGTGCTGGAGTTAACCGAAACAGCTTCCGTGTCGGTTACGTTGTTCTGCACCAAGTTGTTAGCAGCTTGCCGGGCAGCCATTTCGGCCAGGACTGCATTCGTTCCTGCGGGCATGGATGGCATGGGTCTAGAAGGCATAGAGTCGGGAGTGATGGTGCTGGTGCTGGTGTTGGTACTCTGGGAGCAGTTCTGTAGTACCGAACCATCTCGCTGACTGTTCTCACCCTTGACTGAGGTCTGCCTGCTCACAGGTTTGCGCTTGGGCACGTCGGCGAGCGACCCTGGAAGTGTGCGTCCAATACCCTCAGCTGAAGCAGGACCGCTTGGTATCGCTTCAACGGGGGCTCCCGACACTGGTCGGCGCCGTGGTTTCTGTTGTTTCACTTCTTCCATCATATCAAAGCTTGAGTCTGATCTCCTAGGTGGTGCGAAGCCATCGGCCGGCACTTGAACGAAGCTACCAGGCGATTCCGGTCGTGACAGATGCCTTCCTTCGCGGTCAAAGATACTGGAATACCTTGGTGGCTCACCCATAGTTGTGACGTCAGTAGTGTGCTGCTGAGCGACAGCAGGCCCGGGCGAGGGCTCGCGATATGGAGCTGGCTTTCTCTTCGGTAGTCTTGGTAGCTCTACGTTAGGAATATGTGGTGCCAATGCTGCTTTGAACGACTGGGCCCTAGACCGTCGTCGAGGCGGCAGGGCTGGTGGCTGTCCATTAGAAGAGTCGGACCCATCCGAGTCATTCATAGATATCCTATGCCCGATTTGACTCTTTGGATCGTCCTCGCTATAGCTGGATGGGCGACACAGTTGCTCCAGCGGGTCTTCGTATTCTTTGGGATCATCAGGTGCTTGGAGGTCAGCATAGAAACTGCTCTCATCAAGTCCCAGTCCCGTCCGCAGCTGTGGCCACATCGTAATGGCAGCCTGTAGTATTCGTTTCACAATAGTAGAAACTTTCGCGTCTGCCATCTGATCGGTTCCACAAACGAGGCACATCGAGAAGCAGATAGCCAGGTTCTCTGCGGTCATTTTGTTGTCCGGTTCATGCAGAGCAACGACGGATAGAAGTGGTAGCAGGTGCCTGGTCAAGATCTCTCGAGCTGTTGCCGAAAGTGGCGACACAGGTGAGCTGTCGAGCATGATATCGACTAGATCTTCAGGTGTTACTTGCACATCTGGGTCATTGTATCTTTCCCGCAGCATCGCATAGCTCGACTCGTGAAAGATGGGCTCGCGCAATTCTCGGTACCATGTCTTGATCATCGAGGCTGCCAGGTGCACCCCATATGTGTCTTCCGAGCGAATCTCATCGATCGTTGACTTATCAAGACCAGGCTGGGAATACGAGGCGTCCATCTCCTTCCAGACGATCCATTGCTGACCACGATCGTAAGCTTCCTTGAGGATGCTGGTGAGCGTAGAGTGGGGTGGGATGCGGAAGATGCCCTCTGTCTTCACATTCGACGGCTCAAGCAGGAATGTGGTGGTCTCCCTCAGAACTCGTGGCAACCTCGTTTTGCCGGTTGTGATGTTCTTCGGAAGTGGATGTTTAACGCCAAAGGCTCGCCTGCCTGTGACAAATGGAGAAAATATGTCCGGCGAGTATTTTCGGTCCTGGAGATATGCAGAGGGTGGTATCAATAGCTTTTCGATGGGAATGTGCACTGCCAGTTGCGTCAGGCAGTTGACGTGCAGGATCTTCCGTCTGAACTTGGGCGAAACGACAGTCCCGAAGACGTTGAGGAGCACTCTGACCCATGTACGAGGATGTACAATATACAGCATCGCCAGCTTCTTCCGCAACGCTCTGCCCAAGACATGGTAGGCTTGCAGATACCAACCTGTTGCTGGACCTTGTTTCTTCTCTGCTGTCGCACTGTCCAATGGTCCTCCCGCAAAAAATACTATCTCGTATTCGGTTCCCGACAACAGCTCATCTTCGCCGGGGAGTCGCGCGAGTACATAGGAGAGCAGGCTGTCGTAGTCGACTTCGAACGCATCGGGAAAAGCCGCGCTATTGAGTACATAGACGGGGCGGCCTTCGCTCGAAGGTAGCGGAGAGCGGTATAGGATCGTGGCAGCGATGGCAGCGAGCTCGGGCACGTAGTCGTCCGAGTCTGTGGCAGGCGGCACTGTCGAGAGAGAATTGCTCCTATCACGGCCAGCTCGTCGTTGTGCATCTGCCTGCAGTGCTGTTCTCAGTGCTGAACGCATGGTGGAAAGGTGCCCAGGTGGTCTACTTCCAGCGAAGTAGAGCGAGGGATTCGACGGACGACTTTTCTTTCGTCATTTGTTTAGCATCCCTGTCAACATCTCATATTGTCTCGGTATACGACGCGGAGATTGTGGCGCGTGTCGACAATCAATCACACGGGTGGGCTCAGGAAATTCGCGTGGGGGAGGAGGAGAACAGGTAATGTAATGTACGGTCGTGGTCGATGAGGACTGGAAGTTGTGGCTATTAGCTAATTATATCAAAACGCCGTCACCACTCTCGCAACGTCAACCTCCCTCCTGGCATCTTCCATCCAAGTCTTTATATCCTGCCGCCTACGTACATGTAGTTACGTAGACAGCCAAAAAAGCTACGTGAAACACGATGTAAGGTAAGCATTATCACCCTGGCAGTGGTATGCATGCATGCACACCAGGTGCGGATGCAGGGCATGGGCCGAGCCGGCGGGAGCTTCCATCGAGATAGAATCGGTGAGCAAACTAGCCGATCTCGCTCGTCTGGGCTGTGGAAGTGCGAACAATCTGACTCACTACTTCAGCTATCTCTTGATACACCTTTGTTCCCGCCCTTTCTGACCTCTACCACGCCAACAACCACCCTCAAAAGCACGAGAAACCTTCCCATACCATGTGTGGCATCTTCGCGTGTCATCAGTACGTTATCTGCCGCCCCAATGGCTTGTCGATCCCGAGCATGGCCCCCCCAAAACGTGCCTGGAAATGAGGTGAGAAGTGCTAATCATAGTCTACCTTCAGCCACGATGATATCCAAAAGTTCCGGCCGACCGCCATTCGCATGGGCAAGCAGGTCAAGCACCGCGGACCCGATTGGAGCGGCAACCATACTGCCAACGAGACCATTCTCGTCCACGAGCGCCTGTCCATTGTTGGTGTAGACACCGGCTCGCAACCCCTCCTCAACGAAGATCAGAGCATTGCCCTCGCCGTCAATGGCGAGATCTATAACCATAAAATTCTGCGTCACCGGGGTCTTGCCAAGTCATATCCTTTCAAGACACATTCTGACTGCGAGGTCATTATTCCTCTGTATCAAGAGCATGGAATCGATGCGCCGAGACATTTGGATGGCATGTTCAGCTGGGTGTTACACGACAAGAAGCAAGATCGTTTGATCGCTGCAAGAGATCCTATCGGTATCACCACCTTCTACATGGGCCGCGACAGCAAGATGCCTGGCGCTGTGTACTTTGCCAGCGAGCTGAAATGCCTGCACCCTGTTTGCGACTCCATCGAGGCATTCCCGCCTGGACACGTCTACGACAGCAAAACGGACCAGCTCACGAGATACTTTGACCCAAAGTGGCTAGTCAACCCAACCGATATTCCTAGCACACCTCTCGACCTGAAACTGCTGCGCGAGACGTTTGAGAGATCTGTGAGAAAGAGACTGATGGCTGAGGTGCCATATGGTGTGTTGCTAAGTGGCGGACTGGACAGCTCGTTGGTAGCTTCGATCGCACAACGAGAAACACTTCGCTTGCAGAAAGAATACGCCAAGAAGAGGGCTCTGCTATCGCAGGGAACCAACAGTCCTACCTTGAACGGCGTTGCCAATGGACAGGTGCCGCTCGCAGAATCCAATGAAGAAGAGCTTGCTGGCATCGACGAGGACTACCACCTTAGCTCGATACCAGTTCTGTCTCAGTTGAACTCCTTCTCCATTGGTCTGCCAGGATCACCAGACACCATCGCTGCGCAGGAGGTCGCCAAGTATCTCGGCACTAGGCACCACTCTTTGACCTTCACCATCCAGGAAGGTCTTGACGCGCTGTTCGACGTCATCTACCATCTCGAGACCTACGATGTGACCACCATCCGCGCCAGCACGCCCATGTTCTTGCTCTCGCGCAAGATCAAGGCAATGGGTGTCAAGATGGTTTTGTCAGGAGAAGGTTCCGACGAGATCTTCGGCGGCTATCTCTACTTCCACAATGCACCCGACAAGGCTGCTTTCCACGAGGAAACGGTCCGAAGAGTCAAGAACCTGCACCTGGCTGACTGTCTGCGTGCCAACAAGTCCACGTCAGCCTGGGGTGTCGAAGCACGTGTCCCGTTCCTCGACAAGGAGTTCCTTGAGCTGTCCATGAACATTGATCCCGCCGAGAAGATGATCCACAAGCCTGAGCGTATTGAGAAATACATTCTACGGAAAGCATTTGATACTGAAGGCGAGCCAGGCGCCAAGCCATACTTGCCACCAAACATCCTGTGGCGTCAAAAGGAGCAGTTCTCCGACGGCGTTGGCTACGGCTGGATCGACGGTCTCAAAGATGAGGCCGCCAAGCTGATCACAGACGAGCAGATGAAAGAGGAAAACATTCGCAAGGACAAGCCATTCTGGGGTGACGACATTCCTGATACTAAGGAGGCTTACTGGTACCGCTGCATGTTCGACGAGCACTTCCCGCCTTACTGTGCCAGCACTGTGATGCGATGGACACCGACCTGGAGTAAACAGACTGACCCATCTGGTCGTGCCATTGGCGTCCATGAGCAAGCCTACAAAGATCAGAAGTAGAGCTGCTCACCTTTAGACCTGCATGCGTTGCGGATGCAATTCGTACAGCCTTCCGACGCTGGAAGCAGGTCCGAGGAAGCACATGAGATGTGTATGACTTCCGGCGCGGGACTACTTGCGCTACGACGTGATACCCCGGCGCGCACGATTAGATGTAATATAGACGCGTACGAATGAAGCTCATGCGCCTGATACTTGTGTGCTTACCGGAACCTGTCCGTTGAGATCAAGAAGTGAACTAGCTGACGAGCGCCGTCTCTAATAAGGGCACCGAGAGGACAGCAGACGCGACCACCCGAGCCATATTCGTCGCCAGATCCAATGAAATGATGCCCGGGTGTGGCGTTCGAAGCATTGGGCTTGATTTCAGATTGCATTGTGCCCATGGCTCTGTGGATAAGTGCCGCGACGGCCATCTGTGTCATGATAAAGGTAAGGTACATGGTAGGTACCTGCTCCTTTTGCGTCGCGCTTTCACTACCTACATGTATCTGCATACATGCCTCCTGCGCAGCCATGCAACCCGCGACTGCTCCCTCTTAACTTCGTGACCACAGCATAATGTGTTCCCGTCCCCCCTTCGCGTTCTCTTCTTCCTTTCAATACTTCTAAGCATCCTCAGTCATTAGCTTTACCAAGCGAAGACTTCCCAGTATTACCTTAGTTACGACAAGCTACATCACGTACAGCTCCATCATTCGCAAGCCCTCATTTGGCCTACGTCGATATGGCGTCCAAGATTGACGACTCTTTCAATGCACCAGAGGACTCGGGCGTCCCTCAGTGCCAGTGTCCGACTCCTCTACAAGCAGCGGGGGGAATTCCGACGACCACTCCACCCTATCCTCCTCCGCCCTTGCCCCCAAGAATAGGAAACTCCAAGGCTGCTGCTACATCTTCTTCTTTTCCAGAAGATGTACACTCTCAGGACCAAACGCGACCTACACTGGGCAAGAATGCGCCATCGGCAAGCCTTGGCAGACTCAAGAAAGCGAAAGCGCTTTTCAGAAACATCAAGAAGGACAAGTCTGATCGGCCACGCACTCCCGGCCGAAATCCGGGCGGTACGTCGTCCTCGTTCGAGGCATGGCGCTCCAAGGCACGAGGCTAGTGGCGTCGTTGGGGTAATGGCTTCGACGAAGCCAAAAAGTCTGCTCTTCGATTATTCCGCAAGGGACCACAGGGCGAGGAATCTCCTCGTGGCCGTCGCCAGGAGAGGCACAGCGAGGATTCTATGACCACTTCTCGGTTGCGGAGTGCGGTGAGGAAGCTTGGGAAAACGAAGGACCACACGCTGATAGAGTGCGTGAATTTGATGGATGAGATTCACGGGAGGCCCGTTGGATGCTCAGAAAGAGAACTGCGACGGATGGTGGGTGATGCATTTTTCGAGCACGAGGCTAAAAAGTCGGCTGACTGGGTGGCCAGTTGGAGACGCCTCTCAACGCGTGACTGAGGTCTGTTGATGGATCGTGGTGCATGATGTACCTAGCTTGCTTTGAAAGCAGGCGTTGGAAGGGTCAATTCGCTAGACCTGCAAAGGAGTATTTGCTACCTTACGATCGTGAATGCTCGAGGGGAAAAGTTTGTAGGTCAAGGAGGAGATGTCTGCATTGGATGAGAGATTTGTAAATGCAGTCTGTCTTCTCTGTAAATGATCTTTTGTCAACATGTTCTCTTCAGACTGGAGTCTGCTTTCTCTTGACGTTTCTCACTTTGCCACTCAGCCATCCACTGGATTTCCACTGGAGACTATGGAATGAAGCATCGCTTCTTTCAAAGACAGTTTGACGAGTCAGACGCCCGCAAAAAGGCACAATACAATGACTGCAAGATGTCCTTCCAACTACGACACAAGATGTCGTCTTGGAACTAGGTCTAAACCATGTCACTCATGTACCAAAGTACTGAGCAATCTGTCATTGGTATTTTCGTTTGTTCATTGATTAACTTTTCTCATTGTGTGACCGCGTAAGAGCAGAGCAGAGCAGAGCAGAGGGCTTCAGCTCAACTACAGTGTAGCAAGCTCTCTCTCTCTCTCTCTCCTTCCGTGACCGTCCAGCGCCTCGCTAATAACATGAATGCAATTCCAACCCCAAAGAAAAACCATCAAACCACTCGTTAAAGAAAAGAAAGAAAAAAAGAAAGAAAAAAAGAAAGAAGAAGAAAAAAGAAAAACATTTTTGCGGGAAAACGTGCGTGCGTGCCGTTCTCACGATTGACTTTCAGATCTCCTGACCTTGAGTTCCAATTCATCCTTTTCTCCCAATTTTCTCATATCCATCAACGTGTGCACTTTACTCATAATCACCTCAAAAGCCTCCACGACGCTCGGCGTGGGTAATGGTATGACCTCTGGAACGCCCGCGACAGAGAGGATTGTGGCGATTTTTTCTGATTGTACGGAACTTTTTGCTACTCGGGGCTTGGTGAGTCGATCGGAAGCGAAACTGATTCCGCCGGAAGTTTTGGATTCGGGAGGGAGAATTACGACGCCCATGCGAGTTTGATCGGCGGGGGAAAGGGAGACGGGGAGTTGGTGTCCGGGCGTGTGAGGGGCGTTTCCGCTGATGGATTCGCCTCTGGTCCCACGGCGATCGCGAGTAGAGCCTCCGACGTCTGAGAGGCCGGCTGTGCTGTCCCGTGGACCTCGAGCGGATTGGGGGGGTTGCATACCGCCTGATTGCACAAAGCCATCGTAGTTGGGGTTTCCTGGTCAGAGTTAGTATCATATCACATGCGGAAGGTAGGGTGTTGAGCAGAGGGCCACAGAACGTACCAGTAGCCTTAAGACGTGGATTCTTCTTCATACGATCTTGCTGAAGCAACTGCTGCCACAACTGAGTAAGCGCCTGTGAAGTGGAATACTGGTATCCGTTGGTGGCTGCATGTGGGTAATCCAACCGTCTTCTCAGTTCCTCCCTCTGAGCATCGAGCGTAGCCTGATTGAGCATGATGCGCTGCAATTCAGCGAGCAAGACCGTCTCCTCGTCCACCTCATTCGCCTTGCGATACAGATGACCCTTGGCGAGACTCTTCCGTGACTCCTCCTTGGCGGGATCAAACGTGTTGAGTGTGGTGTAAAGCTCGAATTCAGAGGTACCCATGGACTGAATGGGCGTTCTCAATTGCAGCAGTTGTGCGGATATTTTGTAGAAGCGTGCCTTCAACTCCTCCATGCTGCGCGTCTTATCCTCAAATTCATAGTGATCCCATATGACTGGCCACTTGCCGTTGCAGTCCTGATACAATTCGACCAAATAGTCCGTTTCTGCTTTGGTCCAGTCATCGTGTTGCAGGTGCTGTTCGTAGGTTGCTTCATCGTATTCTGGTATGTCGGCTTTGACGTTGTATTTGCTGTAGTCGGGAAGAGGATTAGTCGCGTCTACTCGCCGCCATCGCCGGTCTTGCTGCGTCCATTTCGCTGCTTTTCGTATTCGCTGCATCGTGTACGCGGACGTGATGGATGTTGTGAGTGAGTGTGTTCGCGAAATGAAGGTACCTATGGTGGAGGTATGGTAGCTTGCGCGTGGCTCGCTTATCGCCGCAACCCTAACCCTAACGACGAGGATAACAAGGTTCCATGACCTCACCGATGTCGTTCACTCTCTACATCACATACATGTATTCTACCACAGCTATTGGACAATTCTCGCTTCCGCTTCCTCTTCGCCTCGTCAATGTCGCGTCTCTGGCATGATTGTACGATCATGCGCTGTCCGGCGGACGTTGTCATCATGTCTTCGCCTTCCACCTCCCAATGACTATGGCTTCTCCTTCAACACGCGACCATTTCGAACATCGGCCAGCTTGAACGCTGAGCCACCGAATCACTACGAGACATTGAACATTCCGACCAATGCCAGTCCCAAGGACATCAAGAAGTGCGTTCCTTCGACTCCTCCACTCGAGTACACGACAGCATCCTAACCACCACACAGGTCCTTCTACACGCTCTCCAAAGCCAACCACCCCGATCTGCACCCCAACGATCCCTCCGCCTCCCAACGCTTCGTCCAAATCTCCGAAGCCTACGCGACCCTTGGCTCACCCGAGAAGAAACAGCGCTACGATCGAGACTTCCTCCGCACACAGCCAGCAAGCGGCACCGGACATGGAGGACCATCCTACGCTCACGGCTCCCACTCCTCCCACATGGCCTCAACAGGCCCCGGTGGTCGAGCTCCCAGCGGTTTGAGTAGACGCCGAACGCAATTCAAGGGCCCTCCACCCTCCTTTTACAAATCCGGCGGCTGGGGTGATCACGGCACGAAACGTCAAGAAGCCTCTGAGCGAGCCTCTCACACCCACGAAGCACAAGGACGCTCCGCATCAGGACCTCAGGGCCCGGGAATGGGACCCGGAGGCTTCGCGACGGGGTTCGATGACGATGTACCCCATTTCGACGCGCAAGGACATTACAAAACCCATGAGCAGATTCGCAGAGAGAGACACGAGAGGAATCGAGTTCGAGCGAGAATTCGACGGAAACAAGGAGCGAGTTTTGATGATGTGGGCGGCAGTAGTACTCTCTTCAACTTTTTTGTCATTGGAGGCGTGTTGGGTGGTATTGCGGCCATTACGGGCATGTTTGCGAATAGTGGTGGCAAACCTTCGACGACGACGACTAAGGCGGGCAAGAAGAGTGTGGCAGTCGAATGAGGTTGTTGAAGGGGATATAAAGATGGAAAATTCTGCAATACGATACCCTGGCATATCGATAAAAAGAATACCTTCCTCAGCAAGGTAACCTTCTTCAGACCCAAAGTTATAGGTAGAGGTATATAGATACCTTAGTACTGTATTCGACAGACAAGCAACGTACCCCGAACTTCTACCTTATTATCCATCCATCCATCCATCCCTCTATCCATCCCTCTATCCCATTTCTCGCCCAGGGGAGGGAAAAGAAAAACAAACAAATCTACATTTCTTTCTTAACAAGTTATATAGGTACATTCGCCGTAAGGATTTTGGAGAAACAAAAAAAAAAGAGCGAGCGAGAAGAGCGAGAAGAGCTATAAGTACCTAAGGTAGGTAAGGTAGGTAAGGTAGGTAAGGTGCCTACGGTATGAGTTTATAAGTTTATGAGTACCCAGTACATGTATATTCTCAAACGATATACCTACCTACCTCCTAAATTTTGCTCAGGAGGGACAGGGGGGACTGCACTAAGCAGACAGGTTTTTTGCACACGAAAAGACAGACAATAACATCGGAAAAAGTTCAAGACTGTGTTTCATGAAAAATGTCTGGTTTTGCAAAATCTATAAACAAGAAGCGTAAGGTAGGTACCAAAAAAAGTACCATCTCAACAAAAAAATGGTCGCGCGAGACACACTCTCTCATCCCACCTCCCATCTACCAGGTCATAAACAATGATCGGTTAGATAGATACAGTAAGGGAGTGTAAGTCTTCGCGTTACAAATCGTGCCGTGATGATCATTTATCTCAAAAATGGTTTTTGTTTTTTTGTTGCGTCAGGCCTGCTTATGCTATGCTGTGCTTGCTTTGCTTGCCTTATATTCAGGGTGGTGAAGAAGAAGGACTTTTTCTCTTTTTCTGAAAAAATGTGGGTGGTATAATCTCTCGCCTTTTGTCGTAAATGTCGTAAAAAGAAACTGTCTCACATTGGACTGCTCTCGTGTGTCTGTGTGTACACCTATGTGTTTGTGTGTGTGTGCGCAGGTTGTCCGTTTGCCCGAGGTCAACTCCGAAGCCAACGAGGACTGGGGTGGGTAAGAAATGCTGCCGAAAAGGGGGAAAATCATGCGCTGTTCAGCATGATGGACCTTTTTAATCATCAAAGCACCATGACATGCCACCGACACGACCGTCGCCGTGGTCGGTGACTTTGTTGAAGAAATCTTGCGACAGGTCCAAGTCGGACACTTTGCAGCCGGTGCAACGGTCTACGACTGTCGCTGGGTATTTCGAGCCGTCCTTGCCAGTGATGGTGATGGTTTTGCCACAGAGGGGGTTGGTGTTGGGGTTGCCAGTGCTGAAGGTATCAAACAGGCTTTCGGCGACAGCGACAACAGAATCGCTTGCTACGTTGGTCTTGCCACACGCACCGAGTCCAACTTCATACCAGGTCAAATCGCCGGTATGGGTCATGCCCACAGAAGCCATGCCGCCGAGACCGCCACTGGAGCTCCCGGTCGATTCGGAAGGTGCCGCTGGTGCTGGTGCTGGAGGGGAGGGAGTGGGCGCAACATAGACGGGTACTGGCGTAGTCGTGGTTGGTGCGACATATGGAGCTGGCGTGGTCGTCGTAGGTGCGACATATGGAGTGGGCGCAACGGGAGTGGAAGTGGTGGTGGGCACTGGAGCCACGTAGACAGAAGTGCTCGATGATGAGCTGCTGGTTTGAGGAGTGTACGCGGGAGGCGCAGGTGGACTGTAGGCCGCAGGAGTGGTCTCAGCTGGCTCTGGCTCTGGCGCAGGCGCGGCATACTGTGGTGGGTAGCTCGTTGGGGTGGCCGTTGTTGTAGTTGTCGGGGCAGTCTCTTCGGGATCGACCCAAACGGTCATGGTCACTGCAACGGTTTCGAGTACCACCTCCGTGTGGGGAACCCAGACAATGTCGCGAGCATGCCTGTGGTGGTGCCCGTGTGGCTCAACCATGGGCACAGCTGCAGCGGCAGCGAAGAGAGCGCCAGAGGCGACGAGAAGGCTGTTGGTATACATGATAATGCTGAATATGCACACGAATTTTGCTTCGTTTCTGTTCTTTTTCTTGGGGGGGGGGGGTAAAGGACTGGTGATCGGCTTGCGATATATCGACGACTGGGGTGATCTGTACTGGCTCTGAGGTATACTTCCGACACAAGGAGTGTGCTGATCTGTCAAAGATCCAAGGGAACGACTGGTGTAGGTGAAGGAGTGTGTGTATGGAGGACGAAAGAGGGACCTTCAGACCTGTGATGGCGCGTAAAGAGAGGGAGAGAGAGGGTAAGGAGAGCAGCGGCTACTTAACAGGCAGCATGGGCCATGGGGGGGATTTCTTGCGACTTGCGACAGCCTCTCAGCTCTCTCATCCTCAGAGGCTCAGCGCAGCGCCAAAGCCAAAAAGCCAAGGCCCGGGCCCGCGTCAACCAGGCCAGGCCAACAGGGGAAGTTGGCCATCCACTTTCACTAGTCGTCCCTGATGCATTAGTGCTCTCGAGCCAAGTGCCAATCGCATGCCTTGATTGCCTTCACTCGGACTCCACAATCACCATCATGGCCTCTCTCTGCATGTCTGACCCGTAACACTGGCTGATGTCTGTGTTGACCACATTCTCGTGCTTGTCCGAGAAGTCCACTGCAGAGCTGAAAATGAGAAAGAGAATTTTCGTTGCCTCCTTTGCCTCCACCCACTGTTCCTGAGTTTCACCATTCACTCCAGTCGGCAAGGCAAAATCCTTTCCCGCAGCACGGGGCGGCACTATCCATCGAGCGAGTCATGTGCAAGGCACAAAAACAGAACGGATTGTTTGGGTGTAGGTGATGCGAATCGGCCAGAGCCACGTTGACCTGCACTGCAGCCACCCACTTGCGCTATCGTTACTCGTGCGTGTTGTGGGGACGGTACGGTAGTTGGTGTTCTAGTCTTCAGTCTCTTCTCTTCACAACACGACTCGTTTTTGTTCCTCTCTTGGGAGCTACCCAGGCGCGCATCATATATTTGAAGAATGTGGTTCGCGAAAAGAGAAATACAATAAAAGACCGCCCAGAGATGTTCCAAGGTACCTACAATCTCGCCTCGCAATGACGCCGATTCAAAGGGTCCATCCATCAATAATAGGAGGTACCTGAACATCACACATGAATTCGTCACTCATTCACAAAGTCCAAAAGTCCAGACCACCCTGTGCGCATACACCTACCTCCTACACCTTGAAAAATTCTCAACAATGCCGTCATCTGCATCGGGGGAACCAAACCGAAATTGCCCGCCCGTGCAGTGGAGCATCACAAACGTATACTTGTAGGAGGTACCTAAAATCGGCTGTTATGTGTTTTTGGTGCCGCTCCCTGATGCTCCCCGATGCAGTAACAAAACAAACAAACAAACAACAACAACAACAACAACGTGAAGATCTAAGTTATGCATAACCTCATGTTGTAGGTAGTTTTCTATCAAGAATACATGGACTCACCTCTTGTTGTTAATAAAGTGAGATAAACGAGGAACTATCAGTCCCGTAGAGTATGCAAGTCAGAGAGGGCTTCCGCCTCAAACGAGTACCTAGGTAGTTCAGGTAATAGCTGCAGTGTCCTCTAGCCGTCAGCGTGGCAGACCGTAGGTACCTTTTTCACACAGAGAGTACCGCTTGCGGTAGTGCTTCTCAAAGCTCCACAGATACTTTTCTACTTCTGCACATCTGTAAAAGCCCGTCCGACTCGCGAACGACACTTGCGTGTTGTCAGGCCAATACCTTAGGTTACGGCACCCATCTATCCGCTTGCTGCTAACGATTCAAAATGCAAACATGATTGATGAGATGAATTGGGACTGGTAGGCTAATAATTGGAAGTCGAAAGCTCGAATTGCTCGAATTGCGGATGAAATATACCTACCTACCTACCTAGGTAGCAGAGGAAGATACCTACCTAGCCTATCTGCTTGTATTATAGTGCTCTTCCGGTATTGGTATTGGTATGCTCCAAATTATCTTGTATACCAGGTAGCTTTTAACAATGATCAAGGTACCTATCGCCGTCTGTCTCTGTCTGTCTGTTATAGATGTCTTACCCTCGAACGCGCAAAAGATATATATGTACAGGTAAGTAAGACTGTGTGTGTTGTGTGTATAGGTAGCACAGCATGAGTACCTGTTACGTCTTGGTTCTTACGGCGCTTACTTGCAGCGTTACCTTACCTTAGGCTGAGCTGAGTTGAACGAATATCGTAGATGCAATCAAAGAACTGTAGTGGCATCTTGTGCAGCTACTACATGTTACTGCCACGTTGACAGTCACTACATATCCTCAAGGCTCTTGAAAAGAGTGACTGACATGTTGGACCCAACTCCGCCTAATGTGGTTTGGAAGAAACACAGCAGATTACATGTACCTCAGTCTACCTGAACTCATGTATGAACCGTATTTTACGTAAGCGGCGTACAGGTAGGTACATGTAGCTCTCATAGCTACTGAGGAATGCCGTCAATGTTTACACGAACAACCAATCCATCCATATCTAACCCCCAGTAAGATAGCAAGCAGTACATGTAACAACACCTACTAATCTCATCAAAGAACTCTTCAAACGCAGGTAATAACGAACTGCAGCTCAGTTCCCAAGACTACCTACCTTACCTTACCTTTTACAGGTATTCTCCAGAATACAACAAGGCAGAAGAAGAAGAAGAACAAGATGTCTTTTCTCGCTATCGAAGGCCTCCATGCCTTTGTGACAGGAGCGCAAGGCGGGATTGGAAGCGCTATTGTGAAAGAACTCGTTGGTTAGTATTCAGCCCTCAGAATATTCAATCTCAACAAAAAAGGGAAAAAAAACATATTACTGACTATCTATATATCCAAACCATCCAGCCGCCGGCTGCAAAGTAACAGCTCACGACCTACGCCCTCCCCCTCCCCCTCCAAAAGAAGAAGCAGAAAAAGAACCCCAAACTCTCCCTCCCCCCATCTTCCACCTCCAAGGAGACATTTCCAGCGAAACCTCCATTTCCCAATCCATCGAGCAAGCAATTTCGCATTTCGGCCCCATCAACATCCTCTGCGTCAACGCCGGAATCACCAACGAACAATCCCACTCCTACATCTGGGACATGCCCCTCGAGACGTGGGAAGACGTATATCGCGTAAATGTGCGAGGCAGTTTTTTGACTGTGAAGTATTTTTTGCGGGCGGCGATTGCTGCGCAAGAAGAAGAAAACCAAGAAAAAGAAGGGGGAAAAGAAAGGGAATTGCAAAATTTGGCAATTGTCGTAACGGGATCCGAATGTGGAAAATTCGGTCAAGCAGGTCATGTGGAGTATGCATCTGGAAAAGCAGGGTTACAATATGGACTTGTTCCGACGGTCAAGAACGAGATTGTGAAAATAAATTCTCGAGGAAGGATCAATGCGGTAGCGCCTGGGTGGGTGAATACCGAATTGATAGGAGATCGATTGGATGATGCGAGGGAATTGTATTGGGAAGCGCAAGGGACAGCGGCGTTGAAGAAAATTGCTCAACCAGAGGATGTGGCGAGGACGGTGGTGTTTCTTGCTAGTCACAGGGCGAGTGGCCATATTAGTGGACAGTGTATCAGTGTGGATGGGGGTATGGAGGGACGTGTGCTTTGGAGAGAGGAAGAGGTGAAGGGCACCAAGGCCTGGGGGCACAAGGCCGATCCTCCTGTGCCTTGAGTGTTGTTTACCTGGTACGGACGTTGCAATGAGCGTTGTACAGGGTATGGCGGGAGATTTGATGAGACTCCCTGAAAGACCGTTGTGTGAGCATCATTACCTCCTAGGTCAGGTACAGGTAGGTATCATATCGTATCGGTATACCGCAAACAAGATCGGCTACTCTAGACGAGGATTAGTGCATATTGGAGCTTTCGGCCAGATGCGATTACGTGATATTTGAGCCGCTGGAAGCTCTTGTCCACGCCCACATGCACCTAATCTTCACAATATTACCCTTACCTAGGTACCTGACCTGACCTACCTTATGTACTTAACAGGTAAATGCCACTTGAGAGCTCACATCGCTCTCGCGCGGCGGAAGCCCTGCACTGTTTGTTCACAGTCAGTCCATCGTAGGTGTACCTAGCAAGGAAGAATGTCCACCTCAACAACAACAACAACAACTCATCCACCCAAACCCAAAATCCAAATCGCCTGGAGCATCGACTTCGACGCCGTCAGCGGCTGGCTCGGCACGGGACAACACGAGAAAACTACCACTGCCGACTACTCCGCAGGCTACTTCAGCGCCACGACAGGCGTGCCCCGACTGCTCCGACTGTTCGAGAAACTCGACATCTCTGACAAAGTCACCTGGTGCATCCCAGGCCACTCCATTGAGACCTTTCCCGAGCAGACTCAAGCCATTGTGGCCAGTGGAGCAGAAATCGCCTTGCATGGCTACGCGCACGAATCCGCGGCGCAAATGACGGCGGAGCAGGAAGAGGATGTCTTGAAGAAATGTATTGCGCTCGTGGAGAAGGTGACGGGGGGAAAGCGTCCGGTGGGCTATCGTGCTCCGCTGTATCAGATGCAAGAGCGCACGATTGCCTTGTTGCAGCGATATGATTTTGCGTGGGATTCTTCTCTGAGTCACTTTGACAGTGTTCCCTATTTTCTCCCTCGGGATCCACCACCCATGTGCACGATTGCTTTCCAGCCGGAAGCGAATGCGGTGGATTGGATGGTTCCGAGCCCGAATTTTACGGAGCTGCTGCCGAAGAGCGCCGTGGTAGAAATTCCTGTGAATTGGTATGCGGAGGATATGACGCCTTTGCAATTCTATCCCAATGTGGCGAATTCGGCGGGATATGTGGATGTGAGAGTGGTGGAGAATATGTGGAAGGATCGATTCGAGTGGCTCCGGAGTGAGATTGCGGACGGGAGAAATGATACGGTGGTGTTTAGTATTATAATTCATCCGGACACGAGTGGCATGGCGCATGTAATTGGGATGATTGAGAGGTTCTTGAAATGGCTGCAGAGCTTTGGTGACGAGGTCGAGTTCTTGACATATGGCCAGATTGCTGAGCAATGGCGAGCCAGTCAGAACTGAGGTTGCCCACTGATGGGAATTCCATATATTGCACTCATTCTGCGTGGAAGAGGCTGATCATCGAATCCGCTTGGAGACGGGCTGAGGCGGGCCCAGCCAGCATCCAGCGTCCACGCGTCTTCGTGAAGGCCGAAGAATGCTGTCGTACCTTGAGAGGAGAGAGGTAAGGAGGTATCTCTGCTTCTTGGATGCCTTCCATTGGTGTGTTCCACGATACGGAGGCGGAAGGCATCTGCTACTGCAGTCGGTACTCGTTGGCCCGGACGCTACCTCACTACCAAAATCAGCTCGTGATATTACTTCCCCTATAGTTAGTTACCTAAAATAAAAGACATCATGTGTCTCTTCTGTTGGTGCGGTCAGCATATGGCTATTGTGAGAGGCCGACAACAAGCTCTCTCATCCATAGGTCCTGTATACACGATACAGATACATAGAATTTCCCTGCCCAGGTGGGACGACTTTCGTGTCTGCTGCTCGGATACCTGGAAAGCTTGCATGAGTCAGGTAACAACGGGGGTTTACCAGTCAGTACAAAGTGATCCGGCTTGGCGTCTGCTATTCTCAGGTGCCACCTATTCTGATCTCTGCTGTTCTAGGAGGTACCTCCTAAAGGTAGTGGGCTTTTCTGCATCTTACATGTATATAGCATCTGCATTGGACTATTGAGGTTGCATGTCACAGTGCCATGTAACTCACGTCGTTTCACAGGACAAGCCTCGGCCGGGGATGCCCACCACATCATGAGTAATAGCAGCGGGCCCTCGTCGTCAGCTCTTCATGGCGCAGAGCACACTCGTGTCGGAACAATTCCTCATTGGGGAGTTTTTTTCTTGACGAGGCTGTTACAGTAGAATTTTATGCAAATCACTCACAGTGCACTCCAGCTCAGAGTCTCTTCTGATACAGAGGCAGGGAGGGTATGGCTCTCTACGGACGCCGGACGGAACGATCTGTCTCTGTCCGGTGAAGCAGAAGGCGAAGATATCTTCTCCTCCTCCTTCATCATATATTTCACAGTTCACACACACCCGGAAAAGAACGTGGGACATGCCAGTATAGTTTCTGCCAAATCGTGTGCCGCATGCGGCGCATGGCCTACGAATGGGAGCCCGCCCCAGCCTCGAAAAAAAGTTATACTCAACGGCTACGTCGATGGCGGTATAACTGAGAGATGACATGCCGTATATGGTATGGCGGAGAGCAGTTAGCGCTGCTAGGCGAGATTGTGATAGCGAGGATCAGCGCACGTCGGGGGCGACGGGGGGCAGAGGATGGTTCGTCGTCAACGATTCTTCTGGAGCCGTCGGGTCGCCCAGTAGAACATCTCTCAAAGTGAAACTTTCGTGAAAGTTCATGGTCGATTGCCCATGGTGATGAGATGAGATGTCGCGGGCGTGAGAAAGAGAGCCAGGTGAGACTGAACCTGATGGAAGAGAGCTACCAGGCACTACTTACCACCTGTCACAGATACCTAGAGGTATGTACTCTACTGCAAACAGTCAGGTATACTAGGAGGTACCTTATGTACAGTACCTAGCAGCTATCTTTACTCGTAGTCGTGCCGCGTTCGTATCTATTCCCCTGGACTAAGCGGCAAGAACGGATCGCCGTTTCGAGTGCGCCAAACGCCGCCAGACGGGAGCCAGCAACCAGAGTGGCAGAGCCAGAGCCAGCAAGCAGCAGCGTCTTGTAAAAGTAGAACAAGGTCAGGTAGAGTGGGTCATCCCATCCTATGCCATCCCGTCCTTCTCCTGTGCGCTGCAAACTGGGAGAACAGGACGGGCCCTGTCAGCAGCATCAATTCTTCGTATCTTCTTGTGCACTATTCACTTTCGCTATTCCACGCGCCTTTCTCTGCACCCACAAAGGCCGCTTTGCTTCTTCTCTCTTTGTTGTCGTTGTTGTCGTTGTTGTCTCTCTCTCTCTCTCCCCCTCCCCCACACACTCACTGCCCTCTTCACAGCGTTCTGGGCACGCCGGGCCACCGGGTTGATGCCAGCCAGCCTCGACATTCCACGCGAGCTGATTCTGCCGCCCTTTCAGCCACCCACAGCCAATTAGCAGCCCGGGCACGGCCCAGGGCATCCCTCGACAACTCGAACTCGTCGCTCGTCTCGCCTTTCTGCTTGCTCCTCGCACCATGTCTTCCAACACGACCACCAGTACGTCGCGGTAGTCTACCACCACCACCTACCACCACTACCATCATCACCTTTTACCTTTTGCCTGTCTACCATTCTTTACCCGCCCTCTTTCTAATCTTTCTTTGTGCGCAGGCGTGGACGCACCATCCTCGACCGTCTCCACGCCACTCGCTAGCTCTGCTGTGACCCCCGATTCTTCTTCTGCCGTCAGCACTGTGAGCAGCACGTCCATCATGGCCACCACTTCCTCCGCCGCCCCTACGACGACGACGACGAGTGCGCCGGCGACAACCACCTCCGCCGAATCTTCATCTATACTCTCATCCATTAGCTCTGCAGTCTCATCATCTATTCTCGACACGACCACTCCTGCACCACCACCCACCACCACAGCGAACGCACCGGCGCCAACCACGGAGCCAAACCAGCCCGTCTCGACCTCAACCATATCCGAGTCATCCATACCTGCAACTACACAAGTGATCACATCCATAGTAACCGCAACCGGAACCTCTCCCGGCGAGCCCAACACCCCGGTGACGGTGGTCATCACGCGGACCAATGAGGCCACGAACGTTCCCGTCGCGACCCAGGTCACCGCCACCAGCGCATCGCGAACATCATCTACCGGATTGCAGAACACTGCCGGCTCTTCATCATCGAACAACGGCGGAGGAGGCCTGAGCACGGCAGGCGTCACTGCCATTGCAGTCGTCGTCCCCGTCGTAGCCGTTGCGCTCCTCGTGCTTGCTGGCATCTTCCTATGGCGGAAACGCAAGGCGAAGAAAGCGGCCGAGGAGGCACGCCGTAAGGAGGTAGAGGACTACGGATTTAACCCCAACAATGATCCGACGCTGCCTACTGTCGCATCGGAAAATGGCGCGGAAATGACAGAGGATAGCAGCGGCTATCGGGGATGGGGCGCGGCCACGGGTGGATCAAGGAAGATGTCTACAACGTTGACGAGTGGCCACACGCAAGGTCAGCTCTCGGACGCGGGAAGCAACCCATACCGAGGTGCAGGATCTGGAGAAGGCAGCGACGGTCACAGCGGCGATGCCATGCTGCACCAACGGCCGGACACCATGGGCGGCGACCAGGTCGGTGACCTCGGGCAAGCACCCATTGCGGGTATGAACCAGTCCGGAATGAAGCGAGGGCCTTCCAACGCTTCTTCGACCTACTCTGCTGCCGGCCAATCCGACGTGAGCGATGTCTCGCCACCACCTGGCAGCATGCCTCAGTCTTACGACGCGTATAACCCAGCCTCTGGTTTTGGCTACAGCCAACACGGTCCATACGGCGATGGCACGTATGGAGGAGCCAGCAACCCCGACGGTATGCCAATCGTGCAAGACGTGAGTGCACGCCGGAACACACGGATACAACAGCCCGGCAATTACCAGCAAGGGGGAATTGCGCAAAATTTCTAAGCTATATTCGTTCCCATAACGCGATTCTGTTCATGTCCAAAAGCAAAGTGTGCGGTCGGCGTGGGGGCTTTCTTTTTCTTTTTTGGATTGTGCGAGGAGTGAAGCGGTCCGCGCTGCTTTGTTTCTCGATTTCTCCTCACAGAAGGGGAGCATTGGAGACGACTGTGCTGTCACGACTGCGACTCGCATATATATATATATTTGATCGCCGTCGGTGCTATGACACACGGGGGAAACATCATTGCGAAGGCGTTCGTTCGAGAAATTTCATTGATTTGTTTGTTGGCATAGTTGCCTGCCGACAGGCATGGCACGGCGAAGGCAGTAACACTACATTTTGTTTCATTTTGTGTGCAGGACGAGAGACGTCGAAGGAGGCGAAGACTGAGGCTTGACGATGGTCATTACGATGGCTCTCAAAGTTGGACATTCCATGTACCGTAGGCTAATACCAGGCAAGACCATGCCATTACATATTTCCCAGCATATTCACGACTGCATCGAGTTCCACAAAGCCACTTTCCCCCTCCAAGAACGATGGACATGGGAGCAGTGCAGAACAGCGTCTTGCAACAGGTAACTCTCCCTGGTCAGAGCCTTCGCTACATGTACATGTAGGTATGCAGCAATCAAGTTCCACATACCTCCTAGCGAGCCACGCATCCCACGCTGGTCGGCGCTGGAGCTTGCATGTCGTCTGCCTTGGATGTTGCAGGTGGGTAACCCCAACTCATCATTACTACCAGGTAGGTATTATATATGTAAGTGCAGTTTGCTGCCCCCTTTGCGTGAAAGGAGCAATCTTGACCTTGATACCTCGAGGGTGGTAGTAAGGCCGATTCGTGGTCCTCACGCTGTCTTATTTATTGTTACCTGGTATTGTTATTGTCTCGACAATGGCGATGAGCGCGTTTCTATATCACGAGGACGAAACACTGCGTGATCTCCGGGTGCGTGCCTCAGGTTCTGTAACTTTTCCTGCATGGCTTGTTCGCGTGGCCGTGCGGATTGGTTGCGAGCTCTCCCGAACTTTTACCCGCGTCTTGTCTGAGAAAGCTCCCTGGCTTCTACCTAAATAACACACGCTCTCTCTCACTTTCAGGAACATCTTGCACCCACTCATCACCGCACCACCACAATCGCATCTTGGATCCACCACTTCTTCCATCCATCGCCCCCTCGCACCGAAAACATGAGCAACTTGTTCCAATCTGCAGAGCACAAGGCCGAGCGCGCGCTCGCGCCGCTGATTCCCATCCCTGCATTCGGCGACCTCAGCAAAGCTGCCAACGATGTATGCAATACCAGACAGTGCCGCGCGCGCTACGGAGAGACGCGGTGGAGGTGGACAGACATCGAACTGTGCTAACGGACGGCACAGCTCATCAACAAAGACTTCTACCACACCAGCCAAGGTTCGTGGGTTCCGACCACAAGAGCTGCCGAAAGCAAAAGAAGGACTCGAATACTGACTGCACGCTCCAGCGACTCTTGATGTCAAGCTCAAGGCACCAAGCGGTACCAATGTCACCATCAAGGGCAAGCAGGGCTTCGACGGCGTGACCGCAGGATCCGTATGTCCCTGAATCCACCTGCACCACCATGCATGGAAGCGTCTTCGTGCTAACCCGAAGGACAGATCGAGGGCAAGCATGCAATCAAGCCTCATGGTACGCACATAACATCTCTTTCGTCTTCAGAACCCACCACAACAGACCCACACCCTACACCCACAGCAACGCGCAGAAAGAAAGTGAAAGAGAAGAAACAGTATTCGCAGCGGCCGCAGGGGTTCGTGCGCCTGATGTCCATTCAGATATTGGCGATACCCGCGCCTCTCCGCTCCCGAATCTATGTTTTCGCTATTGGACAGCCAAGTAGCTTTGGCACATATAGTGACTTCGGGCTGACGATTAAACGCAAAGGTGTCACCATCACCCAAGCATGGTCGACCGCGTCTCTGCTTGACAGCAAGGTCGAGCTCACTGATGCCGTTGCTCCTGGTGTCAAGATCGACCTTCAGAACCTCTGGAACCCCTCGAAGGAGGGCTCCGCCGCCCAGAAGGTCAACCTGGCCTTCAAGAACCCCAATGTCCACTCACGCGCATTCGTCAACTACGCGACCGCCAAGGGCAACATTGACGCCATTGTCGATGTCGTTGCCGGCTCTGACGGTTTCCTCGTCGGTGGTGAGGCGGGTTACGATGTCCAGAAGGCCGCTGTCACTCGCTACTCTCTCGGTCTCGGTTACCAGACTCCTAGCTACGTGGCCAGCATCGTCGGCACGCAGAACCTGACTCAGATTGCTGCCAGCTATTACCAGAAGGTCAACACGGCTGTCGAGGTTGGTGCCAAGGCCGGGTACGACGTGCAGGCACAGAAAGCTAGCGGTTTGGAGCTCGCCTCCAAGTACAAGCTGGACCCACTGTCATTTGCCAAGGTGAGTAATCCGCCCGGATGAGTGCGAGGGTGAAAGATGTGACTCTGACGTATTCGACAGGCCAAGATCAACGACCGCGGCATTGCAGCTCTCGCCTACAGCACCAAGCTCAACGCCGGCACCACCATCGGCCTTGGTCTTTCGCTCGACACCAAAGCGCTCAATGAAGCTGGTCACAAGGTGGGTGTTTCGCTCGCCTTTGAGGGTTAAATGCCCCCACCCCAAAAAAGGAGATACAGTGTGGAGGTCGCAAAGACGTGTTTGGCAGAGCGAGCGAATGGGATGTGCGGATTCCTGGGATGAAGCGAGTTTCTTCTTCGCTACGCCATTCTTCAGTATTCAGTTTCGCCCAGCTAGTTTGTGTTATTATACCCCCCGCTAAGCAAAGCAAGCCGTACTTGTGGAAGCCTTTCTGCATCCTCATGTCTCGTCATCAGCTGGTGGTATGCCTTGTAATAACAAAATCAAATGTGGTGGTGCTTGCAAGGATCTTTGTTTCTCCGCCTGGAGACTCCGCATTTTTTCCACATTCTAATCCTCGTCGTCCACATTTCCGGGTCGGTTTCCAACCTCCCGCGGGGGCAAAGCTGCAAGCTGTAACCTCCTCCTATGAACACTACCTTAATTAACTAATATACTCGAACCTGAACTCGGCCACGCTACGCTATACTACGAGTCTGGTTGTATCTATTTACTTCTTTCTTTTTTTATTTATTCTTCTTGGCTATTTATTATATGGATTGTCGAGAGTATACTGTTTAGATACTAGATAATACTTATGACAAGAAGAAGAAAGAAGAAGAAGAAAGAAGAGACGACGACAACGACGACGCGGCCCTATCGCTATCCTACCCTTATACTAATCTTTTGCGAAGAAGTTTTCAGGTACCCTACTATAGGAAGTAGGCGAAAAATGCCCCGAGAAAAGTCTTCTACTTGCAGGAAACAAAAAAAAAGTGGGCTTGGAAAAAAGAGGGGGATTATGGAGACTTACCTCCTAGGAGAGATGTTTGTTTCTCTGGGGGGATAAATGATGCTGCTGGAGCCGAGTGTGCAACTGTGCATCCGGTGGGAGGTCACTTGCCTCGGGTTAGGAGGTATAAGCTTGTTTATTGGTACTAAGTAGGAGGTTAACTAGGAGGTAAGGTATGTATGCATTACTGGTTACGTACGGTACGGTAGGTGTCGGTGTGTTGTTATACGGTACGGACGGCAATAGGCTATACCACCCATTCGGTCCATCCGTTAAAAAGAAGACTGCAGTCGCCTTGTTGCTTTCTTTTCTCTCTCTCTTTCTCTTTCTCACTCAGATATTGACACAGAGTTAGGTGTTGGTTATAATCAATCATACCTACCTCTAGGTACCTTACCTACAACATGAGGCTACTACCATGGACTTCTCTCGCATCATTAGCAAGCAGCGTAAACGCCGTCTCACCACTCGTCAGTCTCGACTACGCAACATATTCGGGCGAAGCACTCGACAACGGCATTACGAAATGGCTCGGACTCCGCTATGCAGCACCTCCCATTGGCGATTTACGATTCCAAGCACCTCAAGATCCTGCACCGCAAAACAACGGCACCATCTCCGCCACGGAGCCGGGCAAAACTTGTTTGTTTACAGGTCAGACGGGCAGTAATGCGCCCGATGACGAACATGATGAAGATTGTTTGTTTTTGAGTGTGCATGCACCGAGTAATGCGACTGTGGAGAGTAAATTGCCCGTGTTCTTTTGGGTGCAAGGTGGAGGGTTTAATCAGTTGAGTAATCTCAATTATGATGGTTCGGGGATTATTCAAGCGGCCGAGTATGATGCGATTGTGGTGCAGTTGAATTATCGGGTTGGATTGTATGGGTTTTTGGCGGGTGCTGAGGTGGAAAAGGGTGGGAGTATTAATAATGGATTGAAAGATCAGAGAAAGGCGTTGGAGTGGGTGCAAAAGTAAGGAGACTGTCCCGTTCGTGAGTGAATGGGAGGGGTTTGGAGGACAACGGATGATTTACTGACTTGATTATGTTTTTACTGTAGGTACATCACTTCCTTTGGCGGCGACCCTTCGCGTGTCACTCTGGGAGGCGCCAGTGCTGGGGGTCAAAGTGTATGTCTTCACGTTACTGCGTATGGAGGACGAGACGACGGCCTCTTCCAGGCCTCAGCAGCAGAATCGCAATCATTCCCGGACCTGAGAACAGTTGCCGAATCCCAATTCGCATACAACAACATTGTCATTCGCACGGGATGTATGGACAGCAACGACACCCTGACATGTCTCCGAAACCTCACCGCCACAGAACTCCAAGCCCAAAACTTCAACACTCCCTACCCCGGTGCCCAAAACGCACCTCTCTTCATGTACGGACCCACGCTCGACTACGACTTCGTCAGCGACTACACCCTCAACGCATATGCCCAAGGAAAATTCATCAAAGTCCCCGCAATCTACGGCGACGACACGGACGAAGGAACCCTCTTCGCCCCGAAATCCACCTCCTCATACAGCCAAACGAGCACATTTATCCAATCCCAATTCCCCTCTCTCACCCCTCTTCAACTCGGCACCATCAATTCTTTGTTTCCAGTCACAGACCAACCACCGTGCTGCTTCAACAACACCGGCCCGTTTTTCCGTCAAGCCGCAGACGCATATGGCTCTCTGCGATACATATGTCCCGGAATTCGCGTTTCATCAATTCTCTCTGCAAATTCCATCCCTTCCTACAATTATCGTTGGAACGTCATCGATCCTGCTGATGCCGCAGAGGGATTGGGAGTCACTCATACGATTGAAGTTCAAGCGATTTTTGGACCGGAGAATACTCAGGGTGGCGGACCCGAGAGTTATTTACCGGGAGGCGAGAATGCGGCGATTGTACCTGAGGTGCAAGGCTATTGGACGAGTTTTATTAGGACGACGGGGGATCCGAATGAGATGCGGAGGGAGGGTTCGCCGAGGTGGGAGGTTTATGGGAGTGTGGAATTGGATGGGTCCAGGTTGATGTTTCAGACGAATCGGACGGAGATGGAGGAGGTACCGGGGAGGCAGCAGAGGCAGTGTGCGTATTTGACGAGTATTGATGATTTGATAGAGTTGTAGAGGGGAGGGAAGGGGAGGTATGCACTATAAGAAAGAAAGAAAAGCAGATTCCGTTCTTCTGCTCCATGCTTTTTCTTTTCTTGTGAGTAACGGATTCGAAGCACAGCAAGTGCAATACTGGGGGATATGTGTCTGGGATTCACCTTTTTTTTTCCAAAAACAATCCAAGAACTTTTTCTCATCGCCATAATCATCACTCACCCTGGCGCATGGTACAGATTACTCTTCCTCGGATGCAACAACATCTCCGGCATATACACCTCTCCATCCACCATATGCATAAACCCCGGTAATTCCTTCTTCGGAACAACCACATATTCCGGATGATTTCCATCCTTCTTCTTCCTCTCCTCCTCCTCCCTCTCCCTCTCCCCATCTTCCCCCTCCTCCCCCTCCATCATCCACCACTCCCACATAGGATCACACAACGAAGACCACCAATCAAACGTCAACGGTCTCAAAAAGAACCCCAACGAACTCCCCCGATAAACTCCATCACCCCTCGCAATCCCATCCTCAAATCTCCCTTTTTCCCCAGGTAAACCCCCATTCAACACCCAACCCAATTCATGCGCTTCCCTCTCAGGAAACTGAAACCTCGGAATCGGAAGTCCCACAATTTTCAATCCGAGCCACAGAGCCCAACTCGGCAACGTAGCTTCACTCGCCACGCGTAAACCTTGTTCATGTTGCGATCGATGAATGGCTTCGAGGAGAGAATATGAAGCTCGTGCTTGTGCGGGAACGGACATGTATCGTGGGATGTGGGGCGTGAAACCTCCGAGATACCATTCGGCGAAAACCCAGTCGGAGTGTCTTTCGAAGAGCCGCACGTCGTTGAGTTGTGTGAGAAGGAGAAGGTCGGCGGGGCGGTGAAGGGCGTGAGTGAAATTATCTTGAAGGGGGGATGGGGGGAGAGGATCGTTTTTGTTGTCGTTGTTATTGGGCAGGAGAAGGGGTTCGACATTTTTAATCCTATCAGGACCCCAAATGGTAGCATTTCCATTCAGAGAAGAATTAATCGCAGAAGAAAATTCCGCATACGTTCCATGTTGACTCGACATGTACGCCCACGAAGCTCTTTCGCGCGCTTGTTTATACGGTTGTTCACGACCGAAAAGGTCAAAGGCCTGCAGCATATTTCCCACATTTCCCGTAAATCGCGCATCCATTTCCAACTGCCAATAATGATCGAATTCGGGATAAAAATGCGCAAATAATTGCAATGGTTGCATAATCTGCCACATGGATCGCGTCTCTTCCACTTTCGGATACCAACTCCGTTGCAAATTCTCATGCACCAAAACCGCCACATTCCAAAATTCTTTGGGGACGGATTTTTCGAGAATTTCTTGGTGCAGCGTCGCATTCGTGAAGACGTCTTGACATGCCTCGCCGCATTTGAGGTCGACGAGGAGAAATACTTGGTAATCGCCGTGTGTGGCCAGAGAGGCTTCGGTGATGATGGATCGGAGATTCCAGAGATCTTCGGGGTAGTATTCGTAGGTGCTCCATGTGCGGAGAATAATCGCTTGTCGGCCTGTCTCGTGCTGTGGGACCTCCGTTTCTTCCTCCTCCTGATGCTGCTTGGCATCGTTGTCGTCGAAAAGACGAAATCTGGGTCGTCGTTGCGACATCACCTTGGGCAGACGAAATCTCGCATCATTGGCCTTGGCGCATTCATCTACCAGCGCGCCCCAATCGACGCTGTTCCAGTCGACTGAAGGAGAAGTATGACGAGCCTCTGAGCTGGAATTTTTCTCGTACCCGTATGGCCCATATCGCTGCTCAAAAGTCATCCATCCCTTGGAAAGGCCCAAAGCATCATATGAACCAAAAGTGGGCTCGGGATAATCTCGTCCTAGATCTCGCTGTGTCGGTCGGGGAACATCCAGCACATTTGAAGAGTCGAGGAGTACGCCTCGTGCACCTGTGCAAGGCACTCTGGGGTGGGTGGTGGTGGTGTCCTTGGCATTGGACCAGTCACGCAGGACTTGCCTTTGCGGGAGCCGATGAGGTTCGATGCTGCTGCGTTGAGGCAAGGTGATCATTGAGCGCCAGAATAATACTAGGACGAGAAAACATAGCAGCGTCAACGCTGCTGTCAAGCGCAATGCGCGACTCGCGTGGAGGAGCATAGACACGGGCATGGGTGGAGGTTCGTGAAGTCGTTCTTTTGTTGTTGTTGGCATTCCATGTTAGGGGTTACGGTGCTTTGCTGACCAGTATGTTCCACATGACGATCTGGTTTGTGCAATGCTGAATATAGGGCATAGGTACGCGGCTGAGACTTAAGTTTGAGCCTGCACGAGTCAGAGTGTTTCATGCTGTCTGTCCATCAAGAGCCTATCGATGCCTTTCAGTGAGGCTGTATGTACCGTATGCCTCTTTCGGCCTGAGTGCTTGACACCTGCATCACACGAGGAAGCGCAGGGTTGAGGAGTTGTTGTCTAGTTCGGAGAACGTCGGGCTTGATCGGCTCGTCATCAGTACATAAACATAACAATCTGCTGATAGGGTGTACAGTAAACTACCATTCAAGTGGAAATGTAATGCTTGATGGCTTCCATCAGTACCACCGAGACGTCTGCTAGAGAATCGAAAACTTCGAAAGGGATGCAACAAGCTTTGGCCCGCTCCTTGCGGACCTTGAACGGTGCAGCTAGTAGTATGCGCTCGGCTCGGTCCATTGCGACAAGCCTTTATGCTGTGGCCAGCAGTAGGCGAGGGACGGCCACAGCATATTGCTGCTTGGGAAAGGGATGTCTCCAGAGGAATGTTAACATATATTTGGAACAACTTTCGGTGCCGTTACAGAAAGAAAGGGGGTATGACGTCGAGCTCAATGGGTCTCAAGGTCCGGCCCTATAAATTGTCTTCGTCCCAAGCGTCACGACCGCGCGGCCGAATGAGTTCAACCAGATTTCCTGTGCGGAAGCGTACTGTCATCGGCATACTAGTGCACTGTGACACATCAATACCGTGGTGACTGTACACGGGTATCTTACAATCCATTTGTATCATGCACCAGTGCATTACACCGTGGCTTTTATTCTCGCTTGCTCTTGTACAATGGCCTCTCCAATCTTCGCCAACTGATCCCTCGTCAATTCCTTCTCCTGCAGCTTCTTCTGCTTCGCCCTCAGTTGCGCTAATTCCTGCAACGGGGTCCTCATCGTCTTGCTCACTCCCGTTCTCGCTTGCTCCCTGGCCTCTTCCGCCTGTTTCCGCATAGTATACTCGTACTCATGTCTGGTTCGGAATTTCGAAAACTTGTTTCTCAGTTCATCAATCACAGTCATAGGCATAGGCGGCCTGAGCAGAAAGGGCCGGAACGTCCTCTGCTCCACTGAGATCCGGCGGGTATCATCGTCGAACTCTTGATCGTCGATCGGGGTTTCTACTGCCTGAGGTCTGGGAATGATCGTAGTTGTTCCCGGAATCACTCTGTATGTCTCTCCATTCGATACCTTTGTTTCCAACCGCTCAATAACAGCATCTCGTGGAATGCCCGTCGCAGGATCGGGCAGAGGAAAGACCAATTTGACATCTTTTCGACTGATCATCTGATCCACAGTAATGGTGTCTCCATCCTGCGAGTGGGACTGTTTCATCCACTCGGGGGTGAAAACGTCGATTTGATTCAGTCCCTTCACGCGGACGGCATCCATCTCCTCACTAATCTCATCAATCTCGCCAATCTTGCCCACATCTCTTCCTCGCGTGATGACGACTCGATCGCCCACGTACAGCTGCCATTCCGTCTTTTCCAGTCTGCTGTCAGGCTCTTTCTCGGGTGGCTGCAAGTTGTAGATGTCGATGGCGCCATATGTATTTTGTTTGTCGCCAGCATCACGGCGCGGTGCGAGGAGAGGACCTGCAGCCCAGTCGATGGCGCGGTTGGCGCGGTCTGCTCGGAAGAGCGCATTGTAATATCTGACGGTGCGAATTCGTGTTTGGTTGCGCTCCCACGCTTCGGCGCGGAGGCGGTATTCGGCCTCTTTGGTCTTCTTCTTCGCGATCGCACGTTCCGCCTTCCGGACGCGGTCTGCGAGGCGCTGCATGGTGAGCTGCGGGTGTGGTGGTAGTTTATCAATGGGAGGGAGTACATGAGGGATTCCATGTTCTCGGAGGTGAAGCGGACAGACGGGCTTGGCATGAATCTCCTTTCCTCACTACCTGTACCTAACCTACTCACTCTGCTCTTCTCTACTCCAACACCTCCACCCCTCTCAGCAAGGGACTTCTTGTCTGAACACGATATGCTCTCCAGCTGCTTCACCGATCGACCTTCTTGGCGTCCTTTCATGTCGCTTATGCTGCGAAGCGCTGATTGAGGACCTATCACCACAGCTCCGCGGCTATCTAGCTCTCCTCAATGGCCTGACCCGTCTTCGTCTACAATTGCACGGCGCAGCAAGCCCTACTGATATGGTCACCAGACACTGTCCAATATCTACTGCGAGCACAATCTGCCGTGCCGAAGGACACGTCCGGCGGTAGACTTGGCTTTCCTCTTCCCGATGTTCAAGATGCTCAGGACCCTAATGTCTTTGATCCCTTTGGCCTGGTAGTACAGCATAGTATGTATTCGAACATGTAGGTCTTCGCTCAGGCTCTCTCTTCAAAGCTACTGCTCTTTTTGCCTATAGTTGATGCACATTGTTGTAAGCTCCACATCTATCCTGTTCCACGTATTACCACGAATCACTGACGGACGAGCAAGCTTCCTTGTATAGGTACAAGCACTGTACGCGCCAGTTCGATGACAGAATCAATCTGCTAGTTCTGGACAGGTCGAGACAGCAGTTTACACCTGTATCTGTGTCTGGTTCGACAAGTACCAATGATTTGACTATGCGGATTTGGACTGGCCTGTTCCAGCAAGCGCCCATGCATGTCAAGATTTTTGCCGGATGTAGGCTTCCATCCTCCCCTAACTTGCGAATGCTGTTCTGGAGGCTTTCGTAACTACAACGACAGCAGGACCTGGGTGCAACACTATCTGGAGTGATATCAATCCCGTTTTAGCCGTTTCATTGAAAATTCGGGAGCTTGTGCCTGAGTGGTCAACATGCAGCGAAAACTTGGCAAATGTGTGGCGCGGAAGCGACACGGGCCAATCCTGTCGGAGAGCAGACTTTGGCTGGCAACGGTCTATGGACAGGCAACAGACTTGCCGGCAGGTGATGGCAGTGCCACCCGCGCTACTAAGAGTAGGCATATTGTAATAAGCGCTTTGTGGCCAACAGTGACCAGCAAGATTAACTATATATTGCGCACCCATCATAGGAGGTAGCCTGGAACCACGATCCTGAGACTCCGTCTTGCTCTGCTGACGTACAATACGAAACACTAGCGTCAGAGCTGGACTGGTCAAATAGTAACGATTCGCAGCTTGGAGTCGAAGCTGGTCTCGACACAATACATACCACCTACACACAGCTCCAAATACGAGAGGCGCGGTGCCATGGACGAATAGCGGGATATCAGCTTCATACCCGCGCGCGCAGCTCACGAGCCAGCATCTTCTTTAATAGCACTAGCCTTTCAGCTACGATCCTCCGTCGTCAGCCGAGCCCGCCGACGCGTCTACGCAGGCGCTCGCGCCAAAGTATGGCCGCTCGGTCACACGTGACTACAACACGATGGCGTCCTATACAACTGGTGCAAATCCAGCACTGGGGAATGCTGCAGCCGCACTCTCCATCTTGACAGCGGCATTATCGACGTTTAGCACGACGGACGTTTCGGGCTTACCAACCAGTCTCGCTTTGTCTTCTTTGTCCGCCCCCCACGTCAGCCGGACTTCACAGCCGCCTAACGCATCTGAAATACGACCTACCACTACAAAAGCCACAGCACTTCCATCTTCGTACAACGATCAGCACTCAGATACTTCCACTGGAACAATGTCAGCTCCTACAGCCGCTGCTGCACCTATGCCGTCCGCCTTCAATGGCGGCGTCATCCCATCACTCGCCACCATCGGCACAGTCATTGTCCTCACTGGAGATGGCTATACAATCACAGCTGCCGTACCCACCGCAAATACAGATGCCCTCGCCATCGGAGGCGGGCCTACCGTCACGGTCGGCGGAGAAGCTGCTACCATGAGCGACGCCACATACTCGCTCGCCTCGAGTGGAGCGCTACAGATTATTGCGAACGAGAGCACAGCAACAGTGGTGCAAAGCACGTATGGGAGTGGACAAACACTGCTATCCGTTACCATGAGCACGAGCCAGAGTATACCGACTGTAGTCACAATGACCGCTACGCAGAGCAGCGAGACGTCGAGCGGTAGCATCACAATGGACACGGCTTCTCCACCGACAATGGCTGCGACTCCCACGACGAGTACGAGTACGAGCACGCAAGGCTCTGCTGGACAAAGGAATCATGTTATGTGGAGTGTGGGAGTAATAGCGTTATTTGGTGCTGTTGCATGGGCGCTATAGCGAAGGAAGCTGTCTTTTTAAAAGAAATGAGAAGGAGAAAGATTTTTGTATAATTGTAAATTTTTGTATCAAAATGACAATGGGAAGGAAAAGATTTGTACAATTGTTGTAAATTTTTTTAAGATGAGAATGAAATGACGAATTCCAGTACGGGTGGGACGTCCAAGATCTACTGGGAGAAGCTGTCTGTAGCATTCGCTTGTAAGAACTTGTAAGAAAGAGCGCTACGTGATCAGCTACTCGATCTCGGTTTATTTCTATTCGTTGTAGGCATGTGGACTTCATCTCGGATGTGGAGAATCCCTCTTTGGTTTCGTTGTTCTGCATTAGGCAGTCTTCTCTCTGCCTAGTCCTGGTTGGCATATTGGCTTGTTGTCGAGCGCATCTGTGCTATCGGTATAGCAGTATATGACAGCTTAACAGCAGAAATGACTTGCCTGCAATACCTGATCGATCAATTCAAGAGACTCCAAATGTGTTTTCCAGGTCCGCTGGCCCGGCAAGTCGAGCCGAATAAGTCGAAAACCCCTCTTCGCCCTGCCCTCCTCTGCTTCTGCTTCCTACAACCTCACCTTCACACACATTTCACGGCCATATCATCTCCTCCAGCATAGCAACATAATCCACAGGAATCATCGAGACAGCCTCCCAATATAATCACAACAACAACAAACAACCAAAAAAACAAGAACCAAAAAAAATGCCCCTCTCCCTCTGGTTCATCCTCCAAAAAGGCAACTCCTTTGAAAAAACCGCCCAAGAACTAATTTCGCAAACCATCCCCAACATCTTCTTCACCCCAGACCAACTCCAACAAAACAACCACCACACCTTCCCTCCCCACGTCACCATCACCTCTGGAATCTCCTTCCCCTCCGACGGCAGCGGTCCCACTCCCCAAGAATGGCTCGACAGCCTCGATTGCAGCGCCTACCAATCCCAACACAACGAAATAAAATTAGAATTAGACACCGTCCAAGCCGAAGACGCCTTTTTTCGCAAATGCAACATCGCATTAAAAGAAGATTCGAATTTGATGGAATTTGCAACCATGTGTCGACGTCACGCCTCCACCACCACAACCACCTCCGAAGAAGAAGAAAAATATCGCCCCCACCTCAGCCTCCTCTACGCGGACCTTCCGACATCCACAATCACGAGTAAACTCCCTCTGATCGAAATGAAAGTCGGATTCGCAATAGGAGATTTGTTTGCGTGTTGTGGAGGTGCGTTGTGTATTGGAGGCAGGATGGTTTTGGTGGATACGGGGTCTAGGCCGATTGGGGAGTGGAAGGATGCGGTTGTGGCGGAGAGGGAGACGCCGTTTGTGCAGTGGAGGATTACGAGGAATTTGGTTTAGGGGGGGAAGAAGGAGAAGAAGGAGAAGAGAGAAGGGGGGTTTGGTTTTTTGGGGTTTTGTGTCGTCAAGTAGGTTGGAATTTGAGGCGGAAAGATACCACCTGGTAGATGTTATGCAAATATATGTATATGGATGGTAGGTATGCTCTCGTCTGTTCTGCACTATACACTATGTACTCATGTACTCGCGAACGAACCAGGTGATGAAGCTTTTTTCGACAGACTACATATTTGGAGCTAATGTTTAGCTTCATTCCAGTATTGAGAATACCCTAAAAAGGTCGAGGTACCGGTAGCGACGATACGACCAAAAATAAACCATGATTTCGTTCCCTAGCGAAGTGAGTGGTGAATAGTAGAACTTCTCTTAAGTACGGAACCCTAGAAATAAACTGAGCTATTCTCCAAAAGTACAAACCCGGATTTTGTCTACTACCTCATTTATCCTAGTGATCTTCCCGGCCTACTGCTTCCTGCTGCGTTCAACTTCGCCCACCTAACTTTTGCAGCGTGACCTGTATACAACGAAGGGGCAGCAAGATAGCAAAAAACAAAAAGAAAGCATTGCACGAATTGAACGCTGCAGGACTCGAACCTGCGCTCTTTCGAACCGCCGAGACTCCACCTCCAAAGAGGCGGTAACCTTAAGACGGCGCCTTAACCGCTCGGCCAAACGTCCTTAGAGATGCTTGTGGAAATGGAGACAATGTTGTTTATATATCCTGATTGTTCCAAGGGCACGGTAGAAAGGAGTTTTTCGTGTGCGGAGTCCGTGCGGCTTGATGGCCGATCTTCCGGGAAATTTTGAGAAGGCACTTCCTGGCTCTTGTAGATACATCTGCAATGGGAAGTGTATCTACCTATACCTTACCTATTTTCCGAAGGCTACCTACCTAGGTAGCAGCCATTAACTGCCATCTACCTGATCTTTCTTTCGTACCTATCTTAAATTAATCTCCTCCTCGAGCGATACCTCCCATGGGACAATCCATAACTCTCGCTATGCGGCCGTGCATTAAGCGTAACATGACTGTTCCAAGAAAAGTAAAAGTACACACAAACGAATACCTAGGTACAGGTAGGTATCGACACCCTTTTTTTTCCGGCTAGACTTTCCACGCTTGATGGTGGTAGGTACAGGTATACCTCCTAGCTGTGTCATACAGAGTGCAACACAACAGACGCAGTGCTTTAACATGTAGGTATGTTTCCGGGATGTGCAAGGCCATATATTTTGCAGCAATGTGGTTGTTGTGCTTTTCATTAGCTATATGAGGACGCAGTATATCTCCATGGATCTTGATACTCTGAGCACAACGTCTCGAGATTTTACAATGTGTCTGTCTATGGAGTACGCGTGGTCACAGGATTGACACCAGCAGTGTGCTCCTCCTTTCTGTCTCCCCTCGTTGCCCCGCTTCACACCTCATGGCGAGGAGATGAAGGACAGGGGTTGCTGTGCTCATTCAATAACAGGAAAGCTATAGCCACATGAAGAGGGAGGGAGAGAGAGTAGAGCAGAGCAGAGCATCAACGGTCTTGACTTGCTTCTCTCAATAACAAAATTCGCCATCGACTCAAAACAGCTCCGGACAGGCTACTAGTAATAGTAGGACAACAACAATATGACTTCTCTCGGACGACTCGCCAACAAAGTAGCTGTAGTGAGTATCCCATCCAGCACCACCCCAGCACAAAAGTCATCAAAAAAACTGAGAGAACTTGTGTCACAGATCACGGGTGCAGCTTCAGGAATTGGACGAGCCACCGCCCTAGCCTTTGCCAAAGAAGGCGCAAGAGTAGTCTGCGCCGACAAGCGCTCGAAAAGTCATTTCCACCGCTCTGCCGAAGAAGACAGCACCACAGTCGAGCGAATCCAAGCATCCAATGGCAAAGCCGTTTTCACCGCTGTAGATGTCACTCAACCGGACTCCGTGCAAGCTATGATTCAGACTGCAGTGCAAGCATTCGGTAGAGTGGATATCATGTTCAACAATGCGGGAATTGCACCTGATCCAAAAGATTACCTCCCTTGTTGGGAACTCGAGACGGATATTTGGCAAGAGATACAGAACGTCAATTCCACAGGAGTTTTCTTCGGCACGAAATATGCTATTCAACAAATGTTAAAGCAATCACCACACTCCAGTGGTGATCGTGGATGGATTATCAATACAGCTTCAATTCTCGGCTTTGTCGGAGCGGAGCACACGGCGGCATATTGTGCCTCCAAGGGCGCCGTGGTAAATTTCACGAGAGCGGCTGCGCTGGATTGTGCACCACATCGAATTCATGTGAATGGGTTGGCGCCGGGATATACCGAGTCTGCGATGACGGGACATTTGTGGCAGGATGCTGTCGTGAAGGGGAAATTACTGGAGAAACATCCTTTTCGCGGGCTGGGGAAGACGGAGGATTTGGCCAAGGTTGCTGTCTTTTTGGCGAGTGAAGATGTGCAATGGGTTACTGGGGTAAGTGTTGAGGTTTTTTTTTCTCTTTCTTTCTTTCTCTTTTCTCCCGGACTATACCAAATATATCAAAAAGATCATTGCTGATGTGGAGGCCAGCATACTCTGCCCGTGGAGGGTGGCTACCTATCGCGGTGATTAGTATTACGCCATGAGCTCTCTCTTTCTCTCTTTCTTCCTCTTCTCTTTTTCAAATTTCTCGGCTCCGACAGGCTTCAGTGGCCACTTTTCTTCAGACACCAGTTTCCAAGTCTTCCCCACGAGGCAATGTCGAATATTCTTCCCTAGGAGGCATTGGCGAATATTCCCTCTCCTCATCCGTCTCGCCAAAAATGGTCTCCTCTGTCTGATAAAAGTCCAGTCCCGCTCGAATTTCCCTAAATCACCCTTTGTGTCAACAAAGCTCCTCCTTTCACCCAGCTCACAAAAAAAACCGTAGAGACAAGTAAGTAAAACAAGATACTCACTGATCAGGAGCCAGCACCTCCAACCCCGGAATACAATCAATCACCGCAACAATCGCATACGAACCCCCAAACGCCCAACAAAACCCAACCACAGCCTCAACAATTTGCACCCACAACTGTCTCCAATTCCCATCAAAAACCACTCCTCCAACAATTTCCACTCCCCCATAAGCCGCCACTTCCTTCTGCGCAAACAACCCCGTCATAACCGTCGCCACCGCCCCTCCCACACAATGCGTCGCAAACGTATCCCCATTATCCACCCACCTCCAGCGTCTCGCCGTCTCTGTAAATTTAATTTTTAGAGCTAGCCGCATTATTACTGCGCCGATTATTCCGAACCAAAGAGATGTTGTCAGGGAGATGAAACCTGCTGAGGGTGTTATCATGATGAGTCCGGCGAGTGCTCCCATGAAGGCTGAGTCGAGTGACCAGCGGCGCGTTTCGTGGAAGGTGAGAAGCAGCCAGGTTAGGGCGCCCGAGGAGGCGCAGAGGTTCGTTACGCAGAGGGCGAGGATTGAGGAGAAGTTGAGGCTGAGGGTTGTTCCGGCGTCGAAGGCGAGCCAGGAGCCCTGGACGGGAGGTTAGTGAGTAGAGTATAGGGATGAAGATAAGTTTGGGGGGAGGGTTTGAGTGGGTTATTTTTTTTTCTTTTTCTTTTTCTTTTGTGTGTGTATTGACAGCCTTTTTTTTCTCTCTACACAGGACAGTACAGATACGTACCCAAATAATGATCATGGCGATCATTTGCGAATAAGAATTCCCCGGACGGTGCAAAGCAATATGAGAGGGGGTTCGCGTCTTGGATCGTTTCGATCGGAATTGGGGATAGGAGAGATAGATGCTCAAGGCACTTGCGGTGGCTCCGGAGCAGATATGGACCGGTGTGCCTGTTTTTATTGTGGTGAAAAATTAGTACTCGGTGGGTCGTTCTTTCTTCTGGTCATATTTCCCCTTCCTTGCCTCCCTCTCTTTATGTCACTCACTTACCTCCAGCAAAATCAAGCACACCAAGAGTCTCTCCGAGAAATCCTCCACCCCAGACCATGTGTGCCAATGGACAATAGACAAATGTACTCCAAAGCTGTTTTTTTACACATTTTTCACGTCAGTCATATTTCTTCTCTTCTCTCCTCTCCTCCCTTTCCCATCCACCCCATCCCTCCCCCCTCAAAAAAAAGCCAAAAAAAAAAAGAAAAAAACAACTCACAAAAACAAACGGCACCAGCGGCGCCAACCGCCCCCTCTCACAAACCCCTCCCACAGCAATCGCACAAACCGTCGCCTCAAAAACCAACTGAAATTCACTAAACAGTATCGCAGGAATCGTCCCCACGCGATCCGATAACACATCCACATGAAAAATATACGCGAAATTACCAAAAATCGCCCCCGAGCCTTCGCCGTATGCGAGCGTGTAGCCGATCAGGAACCATTGGATGGAACAGACGCTGATGACGAGGAGCGAGGGGAGGAAGGAGGTGAGGCCGTTGCGTTTCCAGGAGTAGCCGGAGTAGGCTATTCCGACCTTGTTTTTTTTGGGGGGTTAGATTTCTTTTTTTTTTGGATTGGGAGGGGGGGGGGGGGTTTCTTTTATGGGGGGGACGTTACGGCGGGAATGATGGGCCAGCAGAATACTGTGCAGATGAGAATGAATAGGGTGTCGGTTTTGTCGCAGGCGTTCCAGGCTGCGAGGACGGCGCCTGCTGGGGTTGCTGCCATTGTTTCAATCTTGTATTTTTTCTTTCGGAGAGAATCTTCTCGACGACTTGAGCGTTTGTTTGGCGATGGTTTATCCACTCACTCCGCTTGAATGGGAGTTGAATTGAAGGGTGTTCGAAACGCCCGCGAGAGGCGGCGCTATGAAGAGGAGGAGGAGGAGTGAAGGTCAGACTAGAGTCCTGAAGGTACCTAAGAAGAAAGATGAGAATCCTATCCAGTCCAGTCCAGTCTAGTCATCCACTCCAGTTGTAGTACAACAGCAACAGCAACAACAACAGTAGAAGTAAAAAAGTACAAAAAGTACAATGTATGTATGTACATCTTCGTTCCGATGTTGGTATCCATTTTGATTGGTAATAAAGTACAGTACCTATTACCCGTATCCGAAAAATCCCATCACAGATAGCACATACATACCGTTCCCCGGTTCTCAACCATGCACAACGTATATCTCCAGGGAAGAATACCTCTTAGAAAGAAACTTCACAAAACAGGTCAGATCGAAGATGTCTGACTGATTAGTGATGATAAGAAGAGAGTTGACAAGAGAGAGTAGAGAGTAGAGTGAGAAAGAGACAGAAGGAGACACCACCCCTCATCATCACAAGACCAGGTGCCAAAAAACCAACATGCATCGGAAAGAAAAGAGAGATGGTATGCCAGATCGAAGATTCCGATGTGAAGAAGAATACCTTAAGCTATGTACCTCACCTTACCTTACCTCTATCTTACCTAGAACCTCACTTATCATCATTATTATCACCCTCCTCTCTCTCTCTCTCTCCCTCAACACTCCCCTACTCTCCTAATCACCGTTTTCCCACCCTTCCAACCCACCCCCGCCGCCGTCTACTGTCCTCCCCCAACAAAACAAAACAAAACAAAACAAAACAAAACAAAACAAAACAAAACAAAACAAACGAACCCCCAACATAGGATGGGGTAAACAACAGCCTAACATTTAAACAGTAGTTTCTTATTGGGCGGGTCCTTATCTCTTGGGGATTTTATCCTCTACCCTGGAATCACAAACTACTGCCCCAGGGCCCTAGTCCTAGTCCTAGGACTGGGAGGTATACACCCTTGTTGGAACTTGGCAGGCCTTGTTGGCAGCCCTTGTTGGGGAATCGGAAAGGGAGGTTTTTGCCGCGGGGATTTTTTGTAGGAGGATGAGGATGAGGGTAATTGTTTCGTCTTCTTCTTTTTCCGTACGGAATCAAGGTAGTTACAATTTGTCTTTAATTCTCTACTTTTTATTTTCTTTTTTGGGGCTGATTGAGGTAATTTGTAGCGGGTAGCGGCGTAGCCCTACATCGTGCTTGGAAATTTGGAAGGATAGCTACAGCCTACATGTAGGTTTGGAATATACCAGATTTACTATACTATATCAACTACACTTAGGGAAGAACAGTATAGGTAAATGAATGATTGAGAATGTTGTTGTTTTGTAGATTTGAATACTACCTACTTCCCTCCTCCTCTTGTTAGTAGTAGAAGGAGGTAGTGATAGGGGAAGAGGCCAAAAAAGATCACGGTCGAATAAAATGTGATGCGTCCTAGTATCAACAATGTCAACAGTATCATCAACGATAATATACGACCGACCGACCGACCGGGCGGTAATAGATAGACCGAGTTCAAGTTCCCCTTCCACAACAAGAAAGAAACCAACAAATCGATTCGGAGTACGCGCCGAAAAGATACCTACCTTATTCAAAAACTACCTATATCTTTTCCATCTCCATCCACTTTTTTCCTTGTCTTGTCTTTTCATCATCGTATTCCCTATCTCGCCTTCAACCTTACTTACTTACTCGCTAGCTAGCTACATTCGATTCCCCTACGGACACTAATGGAAGTCCTACTAGGTCCGATGCGCCCGTCCGTCGCGGGCGGGCGGGTTTACGTTCCTGCCGAGATGAGACGAGACGAGACGAATGAAAAGAGGAAAAAGAAATATTATGCTTTGGAAAAGGAGGTATTATTATAAGAAGAGGAAGAGAAGAAGAGGAAGAGAGAAGAAGAGAAGAAACATACAGACTGCGTAGGACTCTCTCTCTCTATCTATCGATGATGAGTGTGAGACGGGAGCTTTCAAGATTGGGATTAGTTGCGGGGAGATATACGGAATTCTTTTTCCGAAGATAAAAGCCAGGTGAGAGGTCCGAAGAGGTGAGTGAAGACTGTGAAGTAAGAGAGAAAAAAATAATGGTCCGGGTTGCCAAAAAGGCCTTGAGGACTAAAAAGGACTGAAGGCTGGGTTGGCCGCTTTTTGACCACTAACCTCGCTCTCTACTGTAGGTACCTGAGGTTCCTTTTTCCGTTCGCTCTTCAAGTTTTTTCAAAATATTTTACACACACACACCAGAGCCTGTGGTATTGATGGAATTGATACAAGAAAGATTTTGAGATGTATTAATCTGTCTAGTCTAGGCTATGTATCCGGACAAGAATTGATGGCCACATTTTGGCAACGAAGCTACTTTCTTCCTAGAACTATTTTGACGACCCTGATTGACTGACTGCCCGACTGACAGTCTGACACTGAGACTACTGATTGCGGAAAAAAGAGGGAAAAATTCACCGGTACCCAATGAGCTTTGGAAAACCCGATAGCTTCCTGTGCCTAATGCCGTCGGCCAAGGAGGAGCTCTATTTTTTTGTGTGTGTCTCGAGAAGAAGAAGAAGTGTATAGTCAGTCACCTACTCATCATAGCAAAATACCACCGCCACCAACATGTCCCCTTCCACCACCTCTATGACCTCTACCACCACCCCGCCCGCCGAATCCGCCCTCTTCACCCTCTCCGACATCCCCAACAAAGGCAAAGGACTCATCGCCAACACGACCATTCCCCCCGGCACACTAATTCTCTCCGAAGCACCCCTCTTCACGACCTCCTCTCTCCAAAACCCTTCAACAATCGAATCCGACTTGGCCAAAATCATCCGCTCGCTCCCCAAAGATTCTCAAAGAGATTTTCTATCTCTGCATAATAATTTCAAAGGCTCTCCGAATCCTTTTAGTAACATCGTTCGTTCCAACGGTTATCCTTTAGGTCCCTCTTCTTCTTCTTCTTCTTCTTCTTCTTCTTCTTCTTCATCTAGTGAAGAAGCAGGCGCAATATTCCTAACAATCGCCCGAATCAACCACTCCTGTCTCCCCAACGCCCAACACTCCTGGAACGCACCTCTGCAACGTATGAGAATCCACTCCATCAAAACCCTTCAGCCAGGAGAAGAAATCACCTTATCGTACATTCTCCCCTGCGGCCCATCCTCCACCCGCAAAAAACTCCTCAAAGAGAATTTCTGCTTCAACTGTCTCTGTCCCCTCTGTACATCCCCAACCCCAACCCTCGCCAAATCCGACTCCAACCTCCTGCTCGCCGCGAAGCTAGACGCGCAAATCGGCAATCCACGCCACGTTTATCAAAACCCCACATCTGCCCTGCGAGACTGTTTCCGGCTCCTCCAAATCTACCTTAACGAAAACATCACAGATTTACGGGTGGCGCGATTATATTATGATGCATTTCAAATTTGTGCCATGCATAGCGATGGGGTGCGGGCGAGAGAATTTGCGCAGAGGGCGAGAAGGGCGAGAGTGGTGTGTGAGGGGGAAGAGAGTGTGGAGGTGCAGAATTTGAGGGCGTTGGAGGAGAAGCCGGAGGGGTTTGAGAATTGGGGGGTTACGGGGAGGTGGAAGGGGGGGAAGGGGGAGGGGAAGATGCCGGGGAGGGGAGATGGGGAGGGGGAGGAGGAGGGGGAGAAAAAGGAGTTTGGGAGGTGGTTGTGGAGGTTGGAATGAGGGAGGGAAGGGAAGAGAAGGGATACATACATGTTTGGGGCTATTTTTCACGACGAATTGGGAGGAGTTTGCTGCTCTGGGAGTGCATACATCTTCTCTCTCTCCGCCACATGGATAAGTGGCACCCATCTGGATGAAGCCAAGAGACAAAAGCTGCCAGGAATAGGACACGGACAGAATGAACAATACAGTATTGGGAATATCATTATAGGTATGCATGAGAACATCTTCGCTAGCTCTTCTGGGCGCTTTGCAATATTCATATCTGTACAGGCCATACTTCTGTCATCATCATAATCATCATTATCTCATGCATACTGACTCCTGTACTTCACAGCGAGAATCAAGTCCCCCAGATGAGACACACCTATCCATTCACAATGACACCTCCGTTGGCGTGGATGACCTGTCCAGACAATTGGAAAGAATCTGTCGACGCCAGGAATACGACACAAGTGGCAATCTCAGAAGGTTGGCCTGGTCGACCCATGGGGCTGGTAAACTGCTTGATCGCATCCGTCGACATGGTGGAGGGAATCAGAGGCGTCCAGACTGGGCCTGGAGCCACGGCATTCACTCGGATACCCTTGGCGACAAACTGGTTGGAGAGACCTCGCGTGAAGGAGACAATGGCGCCCTTGGTGGAAGTGTAATCCAGGAGATCGGGTCGGCCAATGTAGGCGTTGATGGAGGCGTTGTTGATGATGGTGTCGCCTTGAGTCATGTGGGCAAGGACGTATTTGGAGAGGTAGAAGAATGCTGCAAAACGGAAGATGGTGAGCGATGTGGGCCAGCAGAGGGAAGTAAGTACACAGGAGAAAGAGAAAGAAAAGGAGAAAGAACTCACGATGAATGTTGGTGGCAAACGTATTCTCCCACTGCTCTTCAGGCAAAGACAAAATGTTCTCTTGTACCATCTGATAGGCATGATTGTTGAACAAGATATTGATAGCTCCCAACTTCTCCAGGGCAGCTTCAATGACCTTCTTGCACGTCTCCTTGGCTTTCAAGTCTGCTTCATATGCATAGGCTTTGCGACCCTTGGCTTCCACAAGTCGGACCGTTTCGTCTGCATCCTTCTTCTCTGACGCCAGGTAGGTGAAGAAGACGTCTGCACCCTCCATGGCGAAGAGCACGGCGGTGGATTGACCGATACCACTGTCGCCGCCTGTAATGACTGCCTTCTTGTCCTTTAATTTGCCTGCGGCCTGGTACAGTTTTGCACCTCCTTTGCCATCGGGCACTTGGTCAATGGCGGGAGCTGGGCCGAGTTTGGACTGCGTGCCGGGTGCGTCTTGGTGTTGTACGTCGGGCTGGAAGCCAATCTCAAACACACCTTTGCTGGACGACATGATGGTGACTGGAGTCGAGATGTTGGTATTGTCAATTGAAAAGGGGATTGGGGACTGCACTTTGGAAAGAGTACCGTTGTTGTCTTCCTATATATGGCTGACGTGAACTCTCAGCTTTTTCAACATGTCGTCACCGTCCGATCATCATGATAACATCTCTGAGCCACTACCTGTACCGCTGTCAGACATGTACACCTCGCATACCTTACATGTGTCAGGTATGGATCTCTAACTTCTCGCCGAGATTGCAGTCAATTACATGTAGTCGTGAGCACTCCTGTTCAGTGGGCTGGTATATCTCGACGTGGTCGAGTGGTAATAGTCTATATGACATCTGCCTGGCACCTACATGTATCCTCAACTCAACCGTCCGTCGGCCTTCATCGCCTCGACAGTCAGCGTCGGGTCATAGAGATTACTGCCTCTCAATCGCAACACTTGGTTCATCCCCAGTTGCCGCCCAACCGGACCCACCATCCATGTCGCCCGTGTAGACCGCGTTATATCAAAAATTTCAAGCCTATTCGCCGCAGCTGTGTTATAAAACGCTCTTCTAATAGCAGGCGAAGTGCTCACATAACACGGCCCAACAGCACCAGGTTGCGCTACCGAAATGCGTTGTATCCTAACCATGCGCAGAACAGGACTGTCCCGCCAGAGCTGGACCAGATTCTCCGAATTCGCCCCAGGAAGCGAACTTGGGACAACAACAGAGTCCGCAAGTTGTTGGCAACTCTTTGAAAAAGGCGTTCGAGCGGCAACTGTTGGTAGACACCTCTTTTTAACGTAATCTGTCTGAGGGCGAGGCCTGGGATCATAGGAAGGGGCGCCATGAGCCTAGCAGTTGGTTCGCCGGAATTGCGGGGAGCGTTGATCACAATATCTTCGAGGTTGTTGCAACCATCGAGTAGCAGTCCGAGCGTGGCGTTATAGTGCAGGAAGTCTGTAACAGACAGTGGTGTGCGGGCCTCTTTGAAGTAGATAGCTCTGATGAGGCTTCGCATATCCACAGGCGTAGTATCCAAGAAGATGGAGCGCACTTTCACAACTTTACGGGACGGCACTATGTTGCCGCAAGTGGTCGCAGTCCGCAAAATTGCTCGTCCCCATGCATGGTCTCGACTGACCCATTGACCACGTCTTTGTCTGACCTTCTGACTTTGTAGTGGAAGAGCGTTCTGGGTTTCGGCCGATGGTGTGAGCATGTGGTGGTTGGAAAGCTTGACCTGATCGCTTCTCAAGGGTCTTTGGGCACACTGGGAAAGAATGTCGGGTTTCTCATCCTTTCGGCCTGCCTCTTCGCAGCAGCAGCCTGGGCCTTCTTCTGCACCCTCATCTGCCAAAAGTTCTTATGCAGCTCAAAGATCCTCGGCCCGTCCACCACAACCTTTTCCTGCGATGACTGCTTCTTCTTCTTCTTCTCCTCCAACTCCTTCAGCTTGGCCTCTTCCTCCTCTTTCAGCTTCTTCTCGTCCAAGTCTGCCAACTTCTTCTGCTCCTCCTTGACATTTTTCCCTTCCTTCTCCCACTCTTTGATCCTCTGTCGATCCATCTTCTTCTTCATCTTTTCTTGGAATTCCTTCTTGACAGCTTCGATTTCCTTTTCAATCTCGGCATCTTTCTGCTTCTTGGAGAGGTCTTCCGCGTCCTTGGAGATGGCGAATTTGGGGTCGGACAAGTGTCCCGGGCAGATGAAGAACCAGTCGCTGTTATCAGGGGCGGAGAGCACAGTAGCCGTGGGTTTGTAGCAGATCCAGCACGCTTTGGAGTCGGAGTCGCGAACGAGTCGTCGGTGGTACAAGTTGAGGGCCATTTTCGTGTGTTATGCTGGACTAGCTAGAGCCCACCAAGCCGGCCCGAGTAGACTGTCACATGCAGATCCGGACAAATGAAGCTGAGTAGTGTAAGGTAGTGAGTAGGTGGTAGTAGGTAGGAGGTAGTAGGAGGTAGAGCTTCGACAGAGTGGATGCAAGGACGTTCTGCCTGAGGCCAGAAGATGCTCGCGTAAAGTAAAGCTTGATAAGAGCTCCCTGCTTATCGAGAAAGCCATTGGAGATGGAGACGATGTCCAGCAGCTTCGAAAAAAAGTTCAGAAAGCTGCAACATTGACCCTCACACCCTCACCTTTACTCTCCCACATCACCACCACCACAACAAAAACAACAAAACACCTCATCAGAGCATCAGAGGATAGAAAATAGACGACAACATGTCCTCCGACGCCCCCGCCGCTGGCAAACTCTGGGGTGGTCGCTTCACTGGCGGCACCGACCCCATCATGACCCAATACAACGAATCCATCTACTTTGACCGCGCCTTCTACTCGCAAGACATCCGGGGTAGCATCGCCTTTGCCCGCGCCAACACGAAAGTGGGCCTCCTCACCCAGGAAGAGTTTGCTGCCATCGAGAAAGGCTTCGAGCAAGTCCTCCAGGAATGGGAGTCCAATACCTTCAAAATCGTCCCCGGCGTTGACGAAGACATCCACACCGCCAATGAACGTCGTTTGGGAGAAATCATAGGTACTGGGATCGCTGGCAAACTACACACAGGCCGGAGTCGGAACGATCAAGTGGCTACGGATATGAGACTGTGGCTGCGAGACCAACTCTCTCAGCTCGAGGAGTACCTTGTCGCCTTCTTGAAGGTCATCGCCGCGCGCGCGGAGAAGGAAATCGAGCATGTCATGCCGGGCTATACACATCTGCAACGTGCGCAACCGATTCGCTGGAGTCATTGGATGCTGTTGTATGGACATTACTTCGCTTCGGATCTACAACGTCTGAGGGAAGTGCGATCGAGGATAAACAAGAGTCCGCTCGGATGTGGAGCATTGGCGGGAAACCCATTCGCCATCGATCGAGAAGCTATTGCGGAAGAATTGGGATTTGAAGGTCTCATTATGAACTCCATGGCCGGCGTGGGTGATCGCGATTTCGTCATCGAGACCATGCAATGGGGTAGTATGTTGATGACACATTTTTCTCGCTGGGCCGAGGATCTGATCATCTACTCCACGGGAGAATTCGCGTTTGTCAAGTTGGCAGATACATACTCCACCGGATCCAGTTTGATGCCACAAAAGAAGAACCCCGATTCCCTCGAACTGATCCGAGGAAAGAGTGGAAGGGCTTTCGGACAGATGGCAGGTCTGATGATGAGCGTGAAAGGAATTCCTTCGACGTACAACAAGGACCTACAGGAGTCTGTGGAGCCGATGCTAGACCATATCAAAACTGTGGGAGACAGCATCCAAATCGCCACTGGCGTTCTATCCACTCTGAACATCTTTCCCGAGAACATGCTCAAATCCCTGAGCCCGGACATGCTGGCCACAGATCTCGCCGACTACCTCGTACGAAAGGGCGTTCCCTTCCGAGAGACACACCACATCTCCGGCCGTGTCGTACAGTTGGCCGAGAATGAAAAGACACCCATGGACAAGCTCTCTTTCGAGCAATTGCAGGGTGTTGATGGAAGATTTGAAAAAGATGTCTTGGACGTCTTCAACTACCAGGCAAGCGTAGAGGCTCGCGCAGCCAAAGGTGGTACCAGCAGGAGTGCAGTGCTAGAGCAAATTGAAGCTATCAAGAAGATTTTGACATGAGAAAAAGAAAGAAGTCTTGAAAATATTTGCAACAATAAGGTACTTTATTAAAAATGTGTGTTGTTTCCTTTACGAGGCTTTTTGTTACCTATACATGTACCTGATTCAAAGAACCACTTTATCTCCAATTCTACCTCCAATCTCCAACCTCAAGAATATTCCACTCCTTCCTGCTGCATCCTCAACAAGAATCTTGAAAGTTGAATTCTCGATAATATCGGTTATGCAAAAAACCAAATTCTTTTATTTCAGGTATATACCTTAGGTACTTAACTTACGGCTTAGCTTAGCCTAGTCCTAGCCTACCTCTATTACCTCTTAGCTGCTTCCCTATTGTTCGTTTATGTCATTAGTATATATGTCAGTATATAGGTAAGAGCGCGTTCGCTTGTTCCTTATAGCTTCTGGCCAGAAGCTGACGCTACGTAAACTCTCTCTCTTAAATGTAGGTCGTTATAACTAAAGCTATAAGACGGGGGTGTTCGCTTGTGCTCTTATAACGATTTTTCCTTATATGCAAGGTAAAACACTAGGCTCTATATAGTATAGGTTATACTATATTAGGACTAGATACCGGAAGACGGGAGGTACCCGTACCTACCCGTACCTACCTGTAATAAAAATGGGTCCTTATACTCAGAAGCGAGAAAATAAGGTTGATCTAGCGAGAAGGCGATTTAACGCATTTTAGCGTACTTTTTCACGTTAAGAACGCGTACCTTACCCCTTTTATATAAGATCAACGTAGTATCTACATTATAGCTAGAAGCTGGGCTTCTCGCTAGAAGCTATAAGGTGAACAAGCGAACGCGACCGTCTTATAGCCTTAGATAACCTTATAGCTTCTGGCCAGAAGCTATAAGGTGCACAAGCGAACGCGCTCTAAGTTGCCTACCTACCTACCTTAGGTACAACATCAATAGCTTTTCACTCTTAGTAGGTAATACGCTCGGTACCTTTTTACCTTTTTACCTTTCCGTCCACCTCAAGGCTCAGCCGCTCAGAGCGGGCGAGCGTAAGAGAGTATAGGAGTCAAAAAGGAGAAACAGAGCCCATCTGAGCAAGTCTCCCGACAATAACCACGTAAGAGACTTCCAGTTGTATTGATGATGACAGTTCATGTACAGATCCTGCAGGTAGCTGGAAGTCCAAGGCTGTACAGTACATGTAGGTAAGGGTATCGTAGTAAGTACATGTACATGTACATGTAGTTACATGTAGGATGTAGTTCATGAACTCTTTTGCTTGCTTGCCTTTTTTTTTGCTAAGGCGACTGAATGACTAGGAGCCTAGAGGTCTAACCCCGCTGTCTCGATGGGATGGGATAGAATGGATGAATGCCCGTGTCTCTCTCTCGCTCTAGGAGGTGGGAATTTCGGGGCAAGGAAGTGTATAGGAGAGAGCGGCGTAAGGTATACATCCAGCTTTTTTCTCAAGAGTACCTACTAATATCATAATTGTCAACAATCAACAATCAAGTAGGTAGGTTTATCTCCCCTACATAGTTCCCACCTTGATGAGGTAAGGAACTTTGCGCACCGTAAACAAGGCACCTGCGTACGAGGAGGCAAAAGCGGGAAGCGGGAACACAAAAGTTCATTTATTAGAAAAAGGAAACCCGGGCAAATGGGGCATGGAGAATCATTGGAGATGACCTTTTGTTTTGAACTACAGAAACTTTATATAGGGTACATTACCATACATACATATATACTGGTCGAATGTACCTCCTAGGAGGTAATTGAATCTGCAGATCTTGCCGAATCTATCCGGTAAAAGAAAAAAAAGTGAAAATTGGATGGAGACGGAATTTCTTTATTGCCGTTTGTAGAACGGACGGACGGATGGATGGATGGACGGAGGGGACTCCTAGGGATGTGAGGAGTGATGATGAGTGATGAGTGATACTGGAAGTGATGATGTCCAGGTAGGAGGTAATTCCGTAAGCCTTGCGATGAGAGGCTTCCATTGGGTTCAAGATGATTGGAAGTAAGGAGTGACCGGCATGTGGGCTTCCCATGCTCCCATCTCCTTGGAAGCTTTGTAATGGTTTACGAAGTGTCAGACAGAACTGCACAGCTGTCGCGTGTTGTCCCGTGGCTCGTGTCGTATAACGCGTTGCCATTGAGTGAGTGAGTGAGTGAGAGAGGGAGAGAGAGAGAGAGAGCGTTACAGAAAACGGTAGAATACGGGCAGCGGGTTTGACTCGGGCTTGCGTGTCATCTCACCGTGGGATGTGGGACAGACAGGTTCACACGAAAGGTGGACGTTGTAGTTGTGTAGGGTAGGTAGGTACCGGTTTCTCGTATCTGGGGTGATCGCTGTGAAGTCAGTCAGGCTGTGGCAAGGGGATGCTTTCACCGAATCAACGCGAATATCAGGTACAACGTGCTGTAATTCTGTGGAAGCCTGTAATAAAATCATGATTTTTGATTTTTGGTGATGATGCTGTCACCGGCTCGTCTCCGCAGAACCCGGGCAGGAAGGTAAAAAGATGGAAATACTAAACTGCGCTTGGACGCTTTCCCTCCACATGTTTGCCACTTCGCCCCGAGTGCCGACAGGACACGCCTTGTTGTTGTTGTTGTCGTTGTTGTTGACTTGTTGTCAACTTCCAGGTAGTCGTGATGTCGGTCCCATCGCCCGGGTCCCTGTTTGTTGTGGTGTGTCTCGCATTAATCCCATCCATCCCATCTCACTCCTCTCATCTCATCATCACACGACCGCTCGGCCGTGGAATCACCAGCGCTCTGCCGAAGACACGAGGACCCGCTGTCGAGTCGGTCGGCATCAATGCTCCGCAATGCTTGAGGGGCGACAAGAAAAGACTTGTCTGTTTTTAGCTCGTGGGCGGCGGCGAGGGAACTGACGGCTCTCTCCTAAACTGGAACCAACTCACAGAAACTACAAGTGACTTGACTTGGGAATAGACATTCGCTACGTCACTATAGCAGGCGTAGTAGCATAGGTAAGGTCAGGACAGTTAAAGATACATACCTTTAGATAGAAAGAAGTAGTAGTGGTAGCCCCAAAGATGCTGCTATTCTGGTCCGTGTAGTGAGAGTTGCCCCGAGCCCGGCAGCAGAAACAGCAGCAAGCAGGGAGGCTTGACCGAAGAAGGCTAAACCACAGATATTTTCTATTCCGTTCATTTTAGCTTTGGCTGCAAATAGTTGACCGGCATGTAACGGTACCTGGCGATCAAGCATGGTTCGGCTGTTTGGCGCCATCGTATCGCAAGTATCGAATTAAACTCGCCTCGTATTGCCAGGGGAAGGGAACATGGAAGACGCTGGCCACCTGGGAATACGGATACCATCAATGCATCATCACCACGCACTTCATAATAAACCCACATTCCACCCCCCATTGTTTGAAGCCACTTCCTACCTCACACCCACCAACAGTCTTTCGTTCAACACCAGTAAGAACCACTCCCTCAACACATCGACGACTTCTTCCCTACATATTCCAAGTCTACATTTCAAGATGCGTTACACTTCCGTTGTGGTCGCCGCGGCCATCGGTCTGGTCTCCGCCCAGCAAGACTGCCAGGGCATTTACAAGGCATGTATCGCCGCCGGCACTCCTGAGGTCGTGTGCCAGTGCAGCTCTTACAGCTGCTCTGGTGAGGACTCTGCTCGTCTCCGTGACTACTGTGCCACTGCAACCGCCGGCCTGGCCCCCGTCACGGGCACCATTCCCCAGCCTTCCGGCGCTCCTCAAGTCAATGCTCCCGCCGGCTCTGTGGCTCTCGGAGGAAACTGCGGTGCCGATGAGCAGTGCAGCGGTGGCGCCCAGTGCTTCGGCACCACTGCAGGCACCATCCGCACATGCGGCAGCTTCAACGCCAAGTGCTCTTCAGACAGCCAGTGCGGTATGTTCACTCCATCGTGATTTCCTGAACTTGGTTAGAACATCTTGCTGACTTCTCTTTCCAGCAACCAACACATGCCAGGACGGAATCTGCAGCGGTTTCAAGCCTTCGAGCGTGTCCTCTCCTATGGCCCAGCCTACCTACGCTTGCAACCCAGCTCACCAATACCCCGAGGGACAAATCTGCGCCACTGTCAGCGGAACTCTCGCTCTCATCACCACCACCGGCACTGGTGCTATGCCCCAGCCTACCTACGCTTGCAACCCAGCCCACAAGTACCCCGAAGGACAAATCTGCGCCACCGTCAGCGGAACTCTCGCTCTCATCACCACCACCGGCACTGGTGCTATGCCCCAGCCTACCTACGCTTGCAACCCAGCCCACCAGTACCCCGAGGGACAAATCTGCGCCACCGTCAGCGGAACTCTCGCTCTCATCACCACCACCGGCACTGGTGCCATGCCCCAGCCTACCTACGCTTGCAACCCAGCTCACCAGTACGCACCTGGACAGGAGTGCGCCACCGTCAGCGGAACTCTTGCTCTCGTTACCACCACCGGCAAGGCACCATACGTCTACCCCACCATGTCCGGTGTCACCCCCGTCGGCCCTGCCCCAACTGGCGCCATGCCTATGCCTCCTGGGCCACCAATGGGCGGAAACAACACCACCCCCGGTGGTCCCACCCCATACACTGGCGGTGCCTCCTCCATCGGCGCCACTCTCAGCGGTCTCGCAGCTGTCGTTGCTGGTGTCGCCGCCTGGGCCTTGTAAACTCACCAACTACAATCTGACATTCCTGTTGTCGTTGGTGGTGGTCGTGGTTCCGGTGTCGAGGAGAGATGAGAAGAAGACCCAGTGGTGGTGTTGGTGGCGGTGGTGGTAGTTGTTTGTGTGTAGAAATATTAGCACAGTGTGACCCAATGCATTGTTGGCTTGTGAGCCGAGTCCGAGCCCGAGCCCAAAAAAACGACAAAAAAGCATACACGCAGCATGATGTGATTTAGCGCTTCATAGCATATGATGAGAGAGAGAGAGAGAGAGAGCGAGAGAGAGATTCCCCCGCCGTGTGGGTAGTAGATACACACACATACCGCAGATAATGATTAATCCAGAAAGAAGAAAAGTATATCTTTTACTCTTGCTCTCTTACTCTTCTGTTAATAGAGAGTTGGGAAGAAAAACGCAACTCGAAAGCTCGTCCTATATTATCAGCATTACTTGCTTACAATATATTGACTTGTTGGGACTATAGGTACCTAGTAGATGATGATGATGATGATACGCAGTCCACACACAATTAAATTATATATGTATCTCTCTCTCTCTCTCTCTCACACACACACACACACACACACACACTCTCTCTCTCTCTCTCACTCACTCATCAAAGGTGGGCAGCCGCCATTGTGCCGTGCGCTCTGAGATTGGACAATCATCATCCGCTCGCTCAATTAAAACCGGGACACATGTTGTTGTGGTCGTTGCTTGTCATTCAAGCATCGGACTGATTCTCTCATCGCACCTATCGACTTCCTCTGGATCTGCTGCATCTTGACGGCAGCAAGTGGGGGATCACGAACGATGAAGTGCATCAGCTTCGACCTCCTTACGACGGAGGAGACTAGCCATCGTTTGCTTCTCGTACCCGTGATGAATATGTGCACTCTGGTGTGTCAAGGACGACTCGTGAAACCCGCTATCAATGCGTTGTTGCGTGTCTTCGTCTTTGTCGAACGCAGCGTGGTACTCGATCTCGACCGCCATGTCTCCCTATGATGCTGCGGCTTCGGATGGTGTACCCACTTCTTCGTTGGCGTCCACAAAAGCACCCTCGCCGTCAGACACTGCGTCTTTTTCTTCTTTGGGCGCCTCGAGACCAGCGCTGGTTTCTTCACTTTCGGCTGCCGCTTCACCTTCACCACTTGCTGCGGCCTCTCCTGCCGCAGCTTCTCCTGCTGCAGCTTCTCCTGCAGCGGCTTCTTCAGCAGCCGCGGCTTCGGCAGCTTGTTTCTCCGCCATGAGTTGTCGTCTTTGCTCCATCATGCGGCTCGCCTCTTGTCGAGCCTGTTCCTCTCTGACCTTGCGTAGCCGTTCCACTTCTTCGTGTCCACCGGTCTTCTTCAGCTTGCCTTCCTCGACAAAGTGGCCCAGTTCACGTTGAAACTCGCCACCTTTGCGGTTCTCAAGCTCCTTGTGACGCGCTCGTTCTGCACGCTCGATGGCCTCGAGGCGAGATTCGTGATTGGGCTGCAATGCACGAACCTCGCCGAGCACACTGTCTTTGGCCTCATGTGGATCCGCCAGCGGCTTGAGCGCAAGTGTGCGCGATGTAGACCGGGCACTAGTGGTCGCGGATGCACCATCATGGCCTTGGAGATTCTGCTGCTTTGTAGCTTCTTCGACAAGTGCGAAAGTCTGCGAAGCCTTCTCAAGATCATCCTCCAGATCGGCGGCAAGCTCTTCTTGCATCGTCAACAAGTCGCGGTCGTCGCAAACCACTTGCAGCTCCTTCTCCCAGATCTTGGTCCACAGGGGCTTCTCTCGTTTCAGAAACTCTTGCAGCTTCTTGAGATCAGAGGTTGCAGTACTGATATCTTTGCTCACTTCTTCGAGTTGTCGAGGCAATGGTCGGACGCCACGACTGACTACGTCTTTGCGGAGGTCCTCAACAAGATCTTGTAAGTCGTCCACTTTGTTGACGATCCTTTCACTGTCATTTGACAGTGTCTTCTTGCCGTTGTTGACGTATGAGCGACCGGTGTTGTTGTCCATGTCCGGTATGGCAGCTTCGGCGGCAGCTTTCTTGACCGTTGAGGCTTTGGTGCGGATCGCAGTCATAGAAGCCTGCATATCCTGCACGAAAGAGTTGTACGTCTGCCTGACCACGGCAATATCTCGTCGAAGACCCTGCACTTCCTTGAGCTGGCCTGTCATGTCTTTGCTGCTAGCGGTTGTTCCACCTGTGATTGGCACTGCTGGCACCGGAGGCGGTGCCGCTGCGATGCTTGCAAGCTCCTTGGCTGTGTCTTGCTGTCTATCGGATACTCGCTGAAGAGAGGAAGACTGTTCGTCGACACTCGTCTTGATGCTCTCAACCACACGTCGGAGGCTACCTAGGCCATCGTCAAAGTGGCGCTTGACTTCATCGAGCGCTTCAATGTTGAGTACCAGCACAGACCGCTCCTTGACATCATTGAGATCCTCGAGTTCGTGTCGGACACCAGACACAGGATCTTGAATGTAGATTTCTGGCAGGTCCACGCCGTTATTATGCGTATTCCATGCAAACTTCTCGATGAACGCCAGTTGAAGACGAGCGAGACTCAAGTCGCCTCCATCAGGCAGAGTGAACTTCTTGATTTTGCTCTTGTACTGAAGGAACAGCACCAGTGGAGTCCCAGACTGTGGCGACCCTTCCGGGATATATTGGGAGACCGGAGGCGTGTATTCTCGTCCCTGTCGTATAGACTCACGCTGGGGCCGCTTTATGGTCGGAGTCCTTGTGGGGGCGACAAAGTCACTACTAGGAACAAATGGCTCATCAATAGGGCCATTGAGCGTAGCGCTTGGGGCCTCAACCAGGGAGGAGAAGGGGGTGGTTCCCAGCTTATCTTCGGGAGTCTTGACTATCTCATCATTATACTCGTATGCGAACGGCTTGCTCGGCGGCGGCAAGTCATCCTGCGGCTGAGAAGAGCTCTCCTCAGATATACGCCTCACATCATGCTCTCTGTTTGGGGACGAAGATTCCAACTGGGACTTGAGCGTTTTCGACTTTACTCGGTTGTGCATATAACTTCCTCGAGATCTCACAGCGTTCAAGGACTCGCGCACATCCCGACCCCTATTCGGAATGGGCGAATTCTGAGCCGCTGGAATCGCAGGTATGCCAGTTAACGAGGTGCCCAAGTGCTTCTGTATTTGGTATGCTGAGAAACGCCTTGACGCTCGTCGTTCCAGCTCTCCTCCACGTTGCAGGGCAGACAACGCATCGTTCACCTTGGGAGGGGGCTTTGGCGGTTCAGGCGATGGTGGTCTGTCGGGTACGCCATTTGTCGGCATCGTCTCGCTTTCCGGATATGGCGCGATTACCGGCATGTTCTGCATCGTATCACTGGATATGGAAGAGCCAGAAGTAGCAGAGCGAGCGTCCTGCTCATGAGGCCGTTGTCTGACGCTATTCTGCGGACTCAGAGTACTTCGTGTGGGCGACGACTTGCCTCCTGTTGCACTCGTCGTCCGAGGCGGGAGATCTGGCCCAGTTAGATCCCCACTGCCTTGCCTTTGCGCAAAAGACCTGCTGCTGGAGTGCCTTGAAGGCACATCCTCGAGTTGCTCTGTCAGAGTGGTACCCGAACTGACATTGCTGGCGGTAGAGGCCTGTCTGGGTGCTCTTGTACTCGATTCTCCACCGTCCCTCGTACCTCGTTGCCGCAGCCTTTGTTGCTTCTTCTTCAGCCCATGCAGTAAATTGATGATGATGTCTCGTATGCGCGGCAGATATCTCTCCAAGCTCTGCTGGCTGGCATCTTGGCTTAGCGTCTCCTCCAAGATGGTTCGCAAGAGGTCAGGGACGGGTCCCAGGTCTGAGGTATCCACTCCGATAGCATTGAATGCTCTGCAAGCGATGTTGAACTCGTAGCCCAACCGCACATACACGTCCGACACTTCTCCCTCTGTAGCGCGGCCAGTGGACCACATAGTCAGAGTTTCCAGCAGCTGTTTCGTCGCAACCAGGAGATGCGTCACGGACTTTTCGATGGTAGAGAGCTGCTGTTGCGGCTTCGCACTGTTAGCATGGATATCTCCAATGTTCCACGCCGCGCATCGCATGTATCATAGTACCCACGTTCTGTCTGGATCGACTGCTGCCGGCGGATCGCGTTGACCCTCCACTGCCTCTCTGGCCATTTGCAGCATCTTCGGGGCCCGCAGGCATCGCTGCTGTGGGCTGTCCACCGCTCATCTCGTTGCTGAACTGGGCCTATGACGTCCGCTGGAGACTTCGTCGTCGGGGCCAGGGCCAGTATCGAGGGTCGGGCGCGTGCTGTGTCGTGCCGCGTATGCCGTCGTCAGAGATGAAGTGAGCGCTACAGCTGCAGCAGAGTAATGATCCTATGTGTTCTGCACAGCTGCATGTGTAAGGTCGGTAGGGGTGTGGTAGTTCGTGTCATCGGCCGAGCGCGATGTACATGGCTGTGTCAAAGAGGTGTATCACTCCGATTGTTTCACGTCCGCAGTTTCTATGTACGGCTTCCCGGGATCCGGGCAGACGAGAACAGAAGCAGGCAGCGGAGGCGGAGACGCAGGCGGAGACGGCGAAGGAATCGAGTGTGAGCAGGCGACAGCGACAGCGACCACGACGAGTCGACGACCACCACGTCGCGCTGTCTTGTGTGTGTGTGTGTGCGTGTGTGTGTGTGTGTACTGGCAGTGGATGTACCTGTCCTGGTACCTCTCTCCCGTCTACAGCTGAGCGGACGGGGCATTCATTCATTAATTTAGAAACTAGCCTCCGCCTGTGCCCAGCCCAGCCAGCCCAGCCCGTCGACCCTCTTTTCTACCTACCTGACCTGACTGTGTGACTGCCTTAAAGCTACCTTACTTAGGTAATACCACTGGAACGGAGATACTGCCTCCGTCATAAACCACCCGGACCTTCTTCACCAGCAACAACGGCCCTGCACTGCACTACTTGCTACTGTCGACACTCGCTCGCGCATCCTCGTGCTTCTGCGCTGCTCATTGGCCGTGTGCGTCGATCGTCGCGGTTCCCTGTTGGTCTTTGCGCCTCGCACTGGACCAGGATCATACGGCCCGCCCGCGCTTCGAGTGGGTTCTGGTTCTGGAGAGAGAGTCGACCTGGACGCACAGCTTCACTTCCTACCCTACTGTTCCTTACCTGTACTTTCTCACCACCACCACACCTTACCACCACCACCGCCTCCTCCTCCCCCTTCAGGCCACGGCCGCCGTCCCTTCACCACCCACCCCGCTCTTCACCCTTCCCTCCGCTCCGCTGCGCCTGTGTCGCTTGTCCGCTGACGTGTTGGGCGAACGGCGTTGTCTTCGGCGTGTGCAAGCTCGAGTGCGATCTCGAAGGGAGCTACTCCGCGCGATTAAGCTGGACCAGCTCTTCCATCCGAGACACCTTCCTAGCACTCGACCACCGCCTTGACCACACCTCGACGTCGACATTGCATAGCACTTGCCCTTCACCATCCGCGGCGCCGCCATGTCGGCTGCCATCATCAATGGCGGCGATGCCGTAAAGGCGACCGCCAGCAATACGGCTGGCGTCTCGAAACCGCAGCTCAAGGGTAACGTCGGCGGGAAGACGTTGGATAGCACGCGAAAGCAAGCTGGAAGTCCCATTGACGGGCAGAACAAGTAAGAGAACTCCAATGGCACACTTCATCATACCAACATCGCTCTACGAAGCTATGGTCACCCTCGCCGTGTGCGCACGTGCGCTTCGTCTCACCTTCCGACGCTGCCACTGGCTGAGCCGTCTCTCGTCTCAACAACACCCAAACGAGGATTATGAGATGGCATCAACTTTGCTAACGCATTGCGCCACAGAAAGAAGGCATGGGACAACACAAATGCTTCAATCCGGATGCCAAATGGTGGTCAGAAGCCCTCCTCTCCCGCTCCAGTCCAGTCATTGTCCAATGCTGAATTGCACCACCGGACAACGTTTCTTTACTCTCAGATGTTGGTAAGTTGCCCTCCGTTCGAGCTTCTAGCCTCGCTGTACCTGCCATGCCGCTAGCCCTCGTGCCATTGCACTGCATGCCTTCTCTCTCGATTTATGCGTGTCAGAGTTTGGGTGAATTTGCACGATGCGGCAGGACTGCGTTGCAATAGCCTCGGCCAATTCCCGGAGATACAGAGAGAATAGGTATGCCGTGACTAACAGATGTGCTGCAGGGTCAGGACGTCGTGATCACTACGACCTCAGGGGAGCGGCTCGCAGGAGTTTATAGCGGCGCCGAGAGCTCCGGCCTCGACAATCACACTCTCAAGATGGCTAGGCGGACGAGGCAGGCTGCACACACCCAAGTCAATGGCACTCCAAATGCCGAATTCACCGGCACAGGGCCTAATCACGAGCTCATCGTGGCTGGTGGGGACGTGGCTAGCATTGAGTGTGCCAACATCAAGCTTGCCACTGGTCCTGCCAGTCAGCAGAATGGTTCGTCGCCCCAGGGAGTAACAACTGCTGTCGCGCAAACTGACCGCTGTGTAGGATTCGCAACGGATACTCAGATATCCGGTCAGAACTCACAGACCTTCCGCGAGCGCGAACTGAAACGATGGGAAGCCCCGTCTGCCACCGATGTGGACTTATCCTTGGGCAAGTCCAGTGTCGGCGAGTGGGATCAGTTCGAGGCCAACCAGAAGAAGTTTGGCGTTCAGAGCACCTACGACGAGTTGATTTATACCACCCGAATCGACGAGAGCAGACCCGATCACGCACAACAATTGCGGAACGCTGACCGCATAGCTGCCGAAATTGAATCTGGGCAACGCGGCAGAGAGATCCCACCTAAGGATGATGGAGGCGACGAGGAAGATAAATACTCGAGTGTGAAAAGAGACCTGCCTAGGCGTACGGCTGGCGCGTACGTCCCCCCTAGCCAGAGACCAATATCTGGAGTCCCGACTGTCTCCGGTGCGCCTTTTGATCCTGCTATTATTTCCAGTGAAATCAAGGTCAAATCCCCAGCTGGCACATCCGCTGTTCCGCCACCAGCTGCGGCACCCGTTGCGCCAGTGTCACAAACGCCATCGACAAATGCACCTGCCGAAGTCGCAGCTCCCACGAACCAGGCGGAAAACCCCATCCGAGCCACTTCTGATGCGTTCAAACAGTTTGCCAACACTGAAAAGCTGCGCATCAGACAAGCACAGGAGGCGCAGCGCAACAACAAGAGACAGGAGAAGAATGTGAAGCTCAATGATCTCAAGAAATTCGCTGCCAATTTCAAGCTGAAGAGCCGAGTTCCTGACGATCTGGTTCCAATTCTAGCCAAGGACCGTGACAAGCAGGTCGAGATCCAGACCAAGGCCGAGCAGGCGGCTAAAGAAGCTGAATTGAGATCGAAGGACAGAGATGCAGACAAAGCATCTAGCGTCGCGTCGTCTGGCCTCCCATCGACCATGCTACAGACAATTTCTTCGCCTTCCACGCAGCAGCCACCGTTCAACATACAAGCGCAGCGCAAGGGCGGGCAACAGCAGCTTCATGGACCACAGCCCGGGCAAGGTGCCTCGCCGCGAGGACCGCCGAATGGGCAATATCAAAACCGGCAATGGCCTCGTCCACAGCCACTACCGCCTAATCTGCGCATGCCCAGCGGACCACAGGCTCCAACAACCGAGACGCCGCTCAGCCCAGCTTCAACTACAAGCAGTCGGGCGCTGAATGTCAAAGCGCAGGAATTTGTGTTTCGACCGGCTGCACATACGTTTGCGCCTTCGGGGCCATCACCGAGCCGGCAGCACACAACCAGTGGCGTTGGTCCGACGTCCACGCCATCTAGCCAGCCTGTGCCATCATTCTTTGACAGCAAGAAGACTCGTGAGACTGTTCCATTGAACACATTCAACGATGGAATCACGTTCCTAGTCTCGAACGACTACACAGAAGAGCAAAAGAAGAAGTTCGTATTCAACGGAGGAATACCGCAGTCGTACTGTACCCAACCCACATGGAACACCACCGAAGCCAACGCCAACGTGACACACGAGGCCGCATTCCCTCGTCTTCAGCCCGCAAGCCAGGGCCCGTCGCCGATGCAGACGCCACTCCCACATCAGATGCCGCACCAGCTTCCACAGCACGTGATGCCCGTTCAGGCCATGCCGGCGCCTAACCATCGCCAGCCGTTTTACCCTCCTCAAGGTGGCCACATGCCTGGCTACCCTGGTCCTAATATGCACGGGCAATTCCAGCAGCATAACAGCGCTCAGAATTCGCCTCGCATGCAACACATGGGCTCTTTCAATGGCCAGGTACCACCAATGCCACCATTCCACAATCAAGGCGTACCAGGCTACGGAAGTCCGAACCCAGCGTTCAGACAGCCCATGCAACCAGGCATGCCCCATCCGCAAGGTCAGAGTAAGTCACGCTTTTCTCTCCGTCAACCGCGACCACTGACAGGTTCAAAAGTGATGCGCGGTCCCCCACACCAAGGGTTTCCTCCTCAGTATCCTCCGCCACCGATGGGTGGGCACATGATGATGCCAAATCCATCAGCAGGAGGGTACAATGGCGGACCAGCGCCCGGCTACTCGCCAATGCCACACCCAGCACAACCGCAGATGCAGTTCCCGCCACACCACAATCAAGGTCAGTTTGGTGGTGGCAGCCCACGCGGATATCCCATGTCGCAGCAAGGGTCGCAGCAAGGATATAACATGCCCGGTCCCCATCCAATGCACTTCCAACGTGCCATGTCTGGCGGCTATCCTCCTCATATGACGCCTCGGCAGCAAGCAGCAATGCCGCACCACGGGAGCCCCGGAATGGGACCAGTGCAGGATGAAGGCAAATGAGACGCCACTGCCACCATCCCACCTGAATATTGATTGAGAGCACCGCTCGTTGCTGCTCCTGTCTGGTCGTGGCAACCCGGGCTCGAGGTGGCTCAGCAGGAGCAAATAAAAATGAGGAACGAGACACAACACAGACTGAAGGCTGCTCATCACACGCGTTTTGTCGAGAATTCGACCATTATGTTGGTCGGGCAAAGGCGTCATAGTTGGAGCCGCTGAAAAGCAAATAGATTGGTTGCGAAGCTGGACCCGGATTCATGCTCTCGCAATGAGCATACAGAGCACAGACACTGCCCTCGAAGCAAGTAGCACAGCATTCAGCGATGATCCAGCACAGAGTTAAGTGGTCAGAGGCTGCTGAAGGCTCATCAAAATTATTACAAAGGGTTTTGTCAACCAAACCGGCCTTGGGCTGGCGCGACTGGTAGGAGGTAGTGAGTAGGATGTTCAGCGGGAGTGTATGGGCACAGCGAGGAGGGGGCGGCAAGGATGGCGGAGCGCGCGTGATTGGTGGCTCCTGCTCGCAGTAGCCCGGATTTTGGGAAGTGCACAGAATGACAGACATGGCACGCAATGAAGATTGCGTGAGGAAGGGGAGACAGGGGAGAGGGGGGTGAGAGGGAGATGGAGAGAGAAATGATGTAGAAGCAAATTGCATGAGGAAGAAGAAGCAGCTCGGTCTAGTGTGTGAATGGCCAACGTCTGGATGTATGTTGCAGTAGATGCAGCGAAGTCTAGGTACATGTAGCGAAAAACTTCTCATCAACTTGGAACATGTCACATTTTTGAGAACGATCCATGTATCCGAGCATTCCTCGGTTTCTGGTCGAGGCGGCAGTAATTTGGTGTCAAAACAGGCAGATGGAAGTGACAATTCCATTTCTAGCTTGTCGGTCTAAAATAGTCAATATATCTAGTGTAACAGCAGTGGAGGGTCTCGGGGGTATACAGCAACGTACACATAACACTCTCGCTCGCTCGCTCGCTCCCATCCTTCCTCCCCGCGCCTCGTGTTGTTGATAGAAGAGGGTCGAGGGAGGGGGGGTGGGGGAGAGAGAAGAAAGAGAGAGAGAGCGATGGAGACTCTGTGATTCCCCAAACGCCATGCTTGCTTGCTCGCTCCCATCGCACCATGCATGCACTCCGTATCCATATGCTGTATCAATCCGAGCCACCGCCGTCGCCATTGTCGTCGTCGTCGTCATTGTCGTGTTCCCTGTGATCAGTGGACTGCCATCACGACCATAAGTGGAGAGCATAAAAGGCCACCAAGAACAGCAAGCAGCAACACAATAGGTGCCAACCTGTAGCCGAAGCAGCATCCTACACAGCAACCCACATGACACAGACAACAATATCCATCCCTTTGCCCTCTCCTCCCTCGTACTTGTACGACCACATTCCGTCTTTCTCATTGTTCCAGAAGGCTCCACTGGCAGAGTGCATGCCCCGTCTACCGACCTTCTTGCTCCCTGGCTCGGCTCCTGCCGGATCAGACAAGTGCTGGACGATGGTAGTGTTGACGATGAACTTGTACTGGGGCGGTTGGCCTTTTTCCTCGGGAGACTGGGATTCGGAGATGAGTTGTTGGAGGACGTTGCCGATGATGGCGTTGTTCCATTGTTGGGTCTGGGAGTGTTCGTAGGAGGTGGTGCTGCTGATGGTGGAGGAACAGGCGTCGGAGCAGATTTGCTTCAGACGCGCGGTGGGGATGGGCTGTTCCATGGCGGGTTCGTGTTAGTGATGCGCTTCTGCTTCTTGGTCTTCTTCTTGTTGGTGGAGATGGAGGTGGAAGCGGAGGTGGAGGTAGAGGTGCAGATGCGTGTAGGGCGGGACTGGAGTTGTGGAGGGAGGGCAGCGGAGACTGACGCAGTTGGAGGCCATTGCAGGGTAACCTCTCGCGGTGTGGTGAATGGTAATGGTCGGGCGGCGGAGAAGGGTCGAGACGAGTCGCGTGTTGGTCGGGTGGTCGGTCTAGTCTGGAGTGGCCTAGTGTGTGGAGTTTGGTGCAAGAAGATGGATGTGGATGGCTGTAGTCGATGCGATGGATTCGAGGCGGGAGTGACGTGGAGAGCGGGAGACAGTCGAGAGAGAGAGAGAGTGGATAGTACTAGAGAGAGAGACTAGAGAGAGAGAGAGGGCAGTCGTTCAATCCCTGCTGGGTCCCTGCACCTGCCTGCCTGCCCTGTAAGTGTCCTGGCTCCTGCCGTGTCGCGCTTTGATGGGAAACGAAGGAGAAGGAAGGAGCACCCTCTCACTCTCACTCTCACTCTCACTCTCTTATTATTAGCGTGCTTGGGTCCAAGTGGAGTACAGGACTAACTCCTAGGAGGGTAAGGCCATTTTAGTGCTTGTCTCGAGCTTAGAAGCTACATGGTCTACTGAAACGCAGCAGAGTGGGGCTCCCGCCTCCCGCTCACGATCCAATCGCATCGTCTATACCGCAACGTGAAACTCCAGATGGAAGAATTGCACTAAACCTTCATACTCTCTTACACTGCTTCATACATCCACACACACACCCAACAACAATTAAACCACCCTCCCACCAAGGACTCGAACCCACCATCCAACACCGCCATCTCGACACCATCCGCCCATCTTCCTGCGACCCGCGACCTGCGACCTCCGCCCGTCACATCCATACGTCCCGGCAGCCAACCAGCCATTGGCATAGTCACAACCACAACACATAATCTACCGTCAACATGTCCGCACAACCTCTCCTCCAGACTGCGCCAGGTGAGTGAGCCACGCATTCTTCCCCCCCTCCATCAACACAACTCATCTGACCCGGTATTCTACTCCAGGCAAACGCATCGCGCTGCCCACACGCCTTGAACCAAAAGTCTTCTTCGCCAACGAACGAACCTTCCTCTCCTGGCTCAACTTCACCGTCATCCTCGGCGGTCTCGCCATGGGTCTCTTGAACTTTGGAGATCGCGTCGGCCAAATCTCCGCCGTCCTCTTCGTTCTCGTGGCTATTGCTGCCATGGCTTATGCGCTCGTGACGTTTCACTGGAGGGCGAAGAGTATACGAATGAGGGGCAGTGGTGGGTTTGATGATCGCTTTGGCCCTACGGTGCTGGCTCTCGCGCTGCTTGCGGCGGTGGTTGTGAATTTTATATTGAGATTTACCGGCGCGGCTTGAGCCCGTGGGAAGAGGGACAGAGGGGAAGGGGCGCGGGGGAGGGTTCGGCTGGACCAGGTGAGGATACCCAACGTACATGTGTGCAGAAGAGAAGAGAACGCTGTAGATGTGCAGGATATACAAAAAAACACAAAAGGAATGCGCAATGAACAGGGGAGGTGGTTTTCTTTTTCAGGCGTCAATTGAGAGCTTCATCTTCTTGTTTGAGTCAAGAAGAGTAAGAAACTCGTACAGCCATCATCAGATGACCTTTTAATAATCACGATTCGAGTACTGTACTATACTGTAAACACGGCTGCATACATGTATGTACGGGCTTGCGAACAAGACTGTGATTCCACTTTTGCCTTCACAACTCAACAAGAAATCTTTCCAATCCTTCCTACTTTCAAGGCAAGTCCTCATTCCAACGAGCAGAAGTAGTTACAGATACATGTAAGGTAAGTCAGTACCCCAGTGTTGTTGTTGTTATCTGAAACATATTATCTTATTCTCTATGCCTTCGCCAGGTAGGCTGATATCTCTCTCTGGCGCTCTCACACGGTGGTCGTCACAATGATGATCCCTTCGTTTTGCTAGTGCTGTACTGTCCTGTAGCCGGGCACCGTGGGAGGTATGTCGTGATAAAGCAGCTCGCTAGTACCGGGTCTGCCCATTCGCTTGGCTTGCACTCGAGATGTACTCTCTTCTCTGCCCATGGAGGGGGTGCATCATCTTCAAGCTAAGCTACCTGTATCTAGGCATATGTAGATGATGGCTTTGAGGGGCGGGTGTTGTTGCTGTTCTAATGAGTTGTCGAGCTGAGCGTCTTTGAGTAGACTGGAAGGGAGGGGCAGAGGTGGGTGATGTGGGCTTCAACTCTCTTCTTCCGCTTAACATTCACCGATCCCAATGAGCCTGCTGGAGTGGTGCGAGAAGACTATTCCTCACGGTGATGTTGCCCCCCGCCGATGGAATGGAGACTGATGAGAACCTGGTGGAGTGCCATTTGCGGAGCTGCAGGCAATTTCAAGTTCCAGTCTTTCGCAGAATTTCCCCAATCGCAATCTTATTCTCCTCCCACCTCAAGTGCGCGACAGCCTGCAAGAGACAATCCGCCAGATCATCCAGTTTGCCACCGGCAATCTGCTTTGCGCCTCTAGAAGTCTCCAATTTGAAAGCTTCTGCGATTCCAGCAGCTTGGCCTTCAAATACTAGGTTCACACCTGAGCCGCTGACAGGCTCGGTTGCCCACTTTTTCACAAGAGCCACTTTGTCCTTCTTCTCGATTTTGGCGCGCGCTTTACGGGCTTTCGATGATGGTGCTGTCACGTCTGCAAGCTTCTGGCCCTGATCGAAGATATCAACAGGAGGTGATAGGGGCAATGTTTGGTCTGAAAGCCAGAATTCGGCAACCCTTCTCGGGGGGATAGCGAGTACCTCGGGGAAAAAGGTATCAGAGGAGCTCGAAGCGCGGAGAGTCTCGAGTGATGCCCAAAGCATACTTTCAAGCATGTTGACGCGAATGGTCCACTCCAGAATAGCGCTTGCACTACCTGAGCGGAAGCGCTGGCGTTCGATCAGAATCTCATCTGGCTTGTGAGACAGCAGGCCAGTAACCACATTGTACGCGGTCTTGGACAGCTGAGGCGGCGTGAATGCTTCTGAATCGGCTGGAGGCTTGCCCTTCTTCTGAGCGGCTTCCTCATCCTCATGCCGAGCCTCGTTGTCCGTGAAGGGAGCGACAATGGACGCAGCAGGATTGAGCAGATCTCTTCGCAACCAATGGGTGACTTTCACAGGCCGTGGAGTGTGACTTGTCCTGGAACGTGGCTGTACGTCGACAACGCAATATGCGAGATTGCGAATCCCCATGTCTACACTCACGACACGCCGGCCAGTAGTAGAACTAGTATTGATCTTCTTGAGGGATGCGGCTTCGAGGCCTCTGGTCAAGGCGTGTTGTAGCTCAGCCTTCCGTCCAGATGGTGTCATGCCAGTCAACAACGCCCAGTACCTGAACTGCCATGCTTTCAGATGGTCCAGGTTACGAAGGGAGGTCATTGTTGTTGTTGATTTGCATGTGCGGAAAGGGGAAAGGGTAAGACGCGTCGCACCCACGCCATACTAGTACTACTTCTAGTTCTATTCCGCTGCAAAACGTTTGATCGTGAGCGGGACGGGATTTGTAGTATACAGTATGCAGGAAGGTATGCAGGACAATAGATTGTGCAGGCTAAGGCTCCTTTAGCAGCTGTCGGTCATATCCGAGCTCTGCTGCATAAGGTCAGGTACCAGTAGGTACCTACATGTAGTGATCATAAAGTGAAGTAGAAGTACATCCCACGTGCGTCGGGTGGTTGTCATCACGGATTCACGGATTCACGGGTGTTGGCGCACGCCTTGCCGCTTCCGGCGTCAATAGACGCAGCTAGATCGCCGCTCGGAGCTTACGTGTATCTATAATAATGGAGGATGGTCTCCCGATCACTTCTTCACGATATCTCACTTCACTTCTGCTCGCACGACACGACACGACACTCACCCGTCTGACCACTTCCCCGCCTCCATCGCCGCGCTCCGTCACTCCGCTCCGCTCCAATCCCCTCCGCTCCTTTCACGATGCAGGCTTGAAGCGATTTGGCGGACACGATGATCTGTTATGGCCCGCGACACTACAAACGACCCCGATGCCGCGCGCAAGGGAGGCAGCAACGAAGAGGCGACGGGTCTGCTGCATGCAGAACATGGCACTCCCAGGGACGATTTGGGGGATGACGATGAAGAGAACCATATCGTCTACGCCAAGCCTTCATCCCCGGTGAAAGAGTCAAAGCCCCGTACGATACGACAGTCGAGTTTTGCGCAGAGCAGACCCAATGGCGAGCCCAGGACGCCGCATAGAGTGCGCTTCGAGGTCAGCGAACCAGACGCCATTGGAGAGACGCACCACGACTGGATCGAGGAAGAAGACTACATGGATGGTCACGCTTCTCCTGGCGGACAGCAGCGAGCGCCTCTCCTGACGGGCATTGAGGCGCCCAGTGTGTCCGTCGCCAACGACATCGAGTATCTCGAGGAAGACCTGCTCGAATCTGCCCGGCCCAAGAGTGGTCTCGGCAGTGCTTTTATGAACATGGCCAACAGCATCATCGGCGCGGGAATCATTGGACAACCATACGCATTCAAACAGGCAGGCCTCTTGACCGGCATTGTCCTCTTGCTCGTGCTGACCATCACTGTCGATTGGACGATTCGCCTGATTGTCAAGAACTCCAAATTGAGTGGAGCCAATTCTTTCCAGGCCACTATGGAGCACTGTTTCGGCAAGTCCGGCTTGGTCGCAATCTCGGTCGCTCAATGGGCTTTCGCCTTTGGAGGGATGGTTGCCTTCTGCATCATCATTGGAGACACGATACCCAGAGTCCTTGCCTCCATGTTCCCTTCGTTGCACACCATTCCAGTCCTCGGACTGCTTACAGATCGGAGAACCATCATTGTGCTCTTCACTTTGGGCGTTTCATATCCCCTGTCGCTGTACAGAGACATTGCCATGCTGGCCAAAGCTTCCTCGTTGGCTCTCATCAGCATGGTGATCATCCTGGTGACCGTCCTCATCCAGGGCCCATTAGCACCGGACGATTTGAAGGGGCCGATCAAATCCAGTCTCATCATCAATGCGGGCGTCTTTCAGGCCATTGGCGTCATCTCTTTCGCTTTCGTGTGTCATCACAACAGCTTGCTCATCTACGGCTCGCTGAGAACACCTACCATGGATCGATTCGCAAAAGTCACACACTGGAGCACATCCATATCGATGATTGCGTGTCTCGTCATGGCCCTCGCAGGGTACTTGATATTTGGAAGCAAGACACAGGGCAATGTTCTGAACAACTTCCCCAACGACAACTTCATGGTCAACATCGCTCGACTCTGCTTTGGCCTGAACATGCTCACCACACTTCCACTGGAATGCTTCGTCTGCCGAGAAGTCATGACAGAATACTACTTTCCCACCGAAAACTTCAACCCTAATCGCCACCTGATCTTCACGACCTCGTTGATTCTCTCCGCCATGGGCATGTCGCTCATCACCTGCGATTTGGGCGTCGTGTTCGAGCTCGTGGGAGCTACGAGTGCGTGTGCTTTGGCATACATTCTGCCGCCTTTGTGCTACGTCAAACTCACCACTCGCCGCACCTGGGAGGTCTATGCCGCATATGTGTGCATTGCATTTGGGTGTACGGTGATGAGCATCAGTCTGATTCAAGCGATTGGGAAAAGTATCCGAGGTGACCCGGGAGGGGGTACGTGTTCTGTCAGTTAAAAAAAATAGACGATACGATACGATACATACATGCACTTTGTAACAATTTTGCATCTCTGTTCTTCCATCCATTCTCATGCATGACTTGACCACCTCCTCCTCATCCTCCAATATTGGGCGTATATTCTTATCCCACTACCTACCTATTTAAGTCAAGTCAAGTTCCCTAAGGTAGGTAAGGTAGGCTTGTCATCCAGCCTTTGCATACATACAGAATTACCCAGATTTCTTTTTAATATCATAAGGTACCTAGGTAGGTAGGTGTCCAGCTGGTTGGTTTTACATCATCTTTCCTCGTTTCATAGATCCATTTCTTGAGCCTTTTTTTTTTCTCGTCAATATCACTAACCTCTCACCCTCCCCAATGTTTTCCAATCGAGAAATTTTCCTTTTCCTTTCCTTTTTCCTTTTCCTTCCCTTTTCCTTTGTTCTTTTTCCTGTTTCCTTCTTTCCTTTTCTATCTCGTCTCGTCTTTTCTCCTCTCCGAGCATAATACAATATTGTAAATATTATAATCTCATGGGTTTCTTTTTAAGGAAAGGGAAGGGAAGGTAGGTGAATTTCGAAATCTTGTTGATGTTTCGTTTCGTTTCGCTGGAGATAGGAAAGGAAAGGAAAGGGAAGGAAAAGGAGAGGGAAAGGGAAAGGGAAAGGGAAAGGGAAAGGAGAAAAGACGTGGTCGTATACTCGTTGGGCTGCTAGGAGATAGAAGAGAGGGATAGAGGGATTTGGGAATGAAGTCGTAGAAGACCAGCTCAGTATTATACATAAGAGTCAGGTAGGCCTGCTATACATGTAGCTAAGGTATAGATGGTCTTGGTAGGTAGATTGGAGTACTATTACCTTCTTCTTCTTTTTTCAAAACAAGGAAAAAATCTGTCTGGAGAATAGAATAGAATAGAATAGAATAGTCAATAGAATAGTCCAACCGACCCGACCCCCAATATATGTACAATGTAAGTGATATAATCTATTTGTATGAAAAAAATTCCAAAGTCTTATTTACACCGCAGCGCTATGCTATTGTATGTATGCTATGCTCGGGTACTCGAAAGATCCTCCTTCTTCCTCCTTCCTCCTTCCTCCTTCTTCTCCTCCTTCATTTTCTTTTCTTCTTCTCAAAAAGACAGAACAAGAAAATTGTCGGAAGGGGACCGACGGCCCATATTTGGACAGAGTATATACATAATGATGATGGAAAAACCCTGATCTCAGGAGTTCTCCCTTTCCCCCGTTTCCTCTTTCTTTTCCTCTACTTATTCATATACATAGCAAAGCGGACCATTGGAAATACTCATGACATCTCTCACCGTGACACCGGGTAATACGGGAGACATTTCCAGATAGCTATCCGGAGTGACGAAGTCTGCGTCTTGCCCTTTTTTTTTAAATAATGTCAGCAATCGTTAAATGAATTATCATCATTATCGTGAGGTAGGTAGGTAGGTAGTGGAAACTTACAGCCTCTCGACTCTCGTTCTTTGTTGAATTGGTACGGGATTGGCAACGCATACCGTCTCTCATCCTCTTCCAGACCGGACCACATATCCCACACGAGATCTAACCCGGCGTGATGGATGAAGAACCAGGGATCGGTGGGTGCGCCGGGAATGTCACCTTGGGCACCGCCGACGGCGCTGTGGGGTGAAGGGTGGATTCCGCCGGGCCATTGATCGATTCGCAGGGTGAAATCGTTGATGTCTAGAATAATAATATGCACGAAGATTAGCTTTTCAGAGGTTCTTGTTTGATGACAGGAAATGGATGAGTCTTGTTCTTTTGGGGGCGTCAAGATAATTACGCACTGTGAAAGCCCAAAATCGTCTCAAAGACGCTTTGGTGCGTGAGATTGGTCAGGCCCGAAGGATTGAAATTTCGCTCGAGACAACGTGGGTTGTAGCCCAGACCGTCTGCTTGAGGATTCTGTCTGCAGCCTGCTCCGCCGGCGATCGGTCCGAGATTGGTAGGGAATTCGGCAAATGGTCCTCCAACGCAATTGCAGCCGTCGGGCGAGGGGGAGCCATTGCCACCTAATGATGTAGGTGACCCGTCAAACAAGGCGGTTTCCTCGTATGGTTGGGCGCCGTAATTTTCGTAGCCCATGTATGGAATGCCTGTTTCGGAAAAAGAAGAAGATATTCCAGTTAGAAAAGAAAAGCAAAAGACGACGCGGGGCATACACCATGCGATCGGAATGAGATCTAGAGGGCAATCATACCTCCTTTATACCCGCACTCGTCCCTCAATGCCTGCTCATACAGATGGACGTACCACCTGTGGAAGGGCAGCGTCCAGGGAGAAAAGTGGATGCGTTGCTGTTGGGCAATGTGTACCGCCACAAAGTCGTCGCGCCGATTGCGCGCTCCAGGAGCATAATCCTGAGGAGATTGCGCGGGACTGGTGTATAGGCATTGCGTTGCTTGAATATAATCCTCCCGCTCCTCGGTTGACAAGGCGCCCCTTTGGTGTGAACACTCGTCAGCTATGATCCGACACGGCCCAGTAGAAATATGCAGTTTGTCCCGCGCACCCACCATTCTTTTCGAACAATGACATTGTCCTCATGGCAATCGGGACCCAAGGTCCGCCGTCGGTATGCGAAGTACTCCCTCTTCAGCCTTTCCAAGCCCAGAACTGGCCCTTCGAGTTGCCTCTTGCCCAGGTCGATATATTCCGATGAGACGAGCGACGCGGGTAGGGCAGCCAGCGCTGCCAGTAGGAGAAGAGGAAACATTATGATGATGAACCAAAAGACATGTGTGAAACGAATGACAGGTGAAGTAAAACAGGTACGGGAATACCTCCTCTCTCTCTCTTTCTCTCCTTCTCTATCTCTCACTGGGGAGGGAACCAACATCAAGAGGCCGGGCTCTCGTGGAGATTTGTAGAGCAGCCCTAGGTTTCGCGGTAGAGCCCGTGATGAATATGGTTCAGCAGAACGATGTTTGTTCCCGTACTGCACCTGGTACCTCGCGTCCCCATAATCTGCAATCCCGCGAAGCAGGGATAGGCATCATAGGCTATCGAAGGCCAAGAGTCTGCCCTCTGGTATATAGAATTAAGGAAGACTGTGAGATAAAGGGTGATGACAAGGACGACGACCCCGGGCGGAGCGTGTTGACTTGCAGTCCTGCACTGCCCTGCAGTGGGCGTACACGCGCCTTGCCTTTCTCAATCACAATGGCATCTATCATCTGGCATAGAAGTTCTCCCCCGAGTTCGCCTCGGCGTCCACTCTGCCGCTGTGCCGCTTCGAATTGTTCCAAACACAGAGCAGTACTGTAGCAACTCCCCAGCAAAGCATGGGGGTGGTATGCGAACATGGTGATGGTTCGTATTGTGGACGGGAGCCTGTCTTCACCTAATCTCACCCGCGTACCTGCGTCGCTGGGCATTGTGATGCTCATTGCTCAGGTGGTATGATGTAGACTGCATCAGTCTATGCCACGACATCAGCTTCGTGTCGTTGTTGTTCTTGCGTGTTGCACCTCTTGCGACCAGAAGTTTCAATAGCATCATCAATCTCATCATCAATCTCCGTCCGTGGACCCGGACAATGATATGCGTTTGTTGGTGGTATAGTTCGCATGCTGCGAAGTGACTCTGTACACTTTCATCCGGAGCACAAGGGTATGGTTGGTTGCAGATATTGCGTTTGCAGGCATGCCAAGTACGCGAGAGAAATACATTCTGGACGGGAAAGGGATCCCAGTTGCATTTGTATTACCGCTGCTGTGACTTGATCTCGCGGTCGCGCTGGATGGCAGCTGGAGCCTGGGGAGGTGGCATCTGGACCAGGTCCAAACGAAAATACCGTAAATACGATATCGCTGACTGGCTGCAATGGACCTTAGCTATGAAGGGGAGGTATCAAGTAAGAGGCAGTCCGATGGAGAATTTTCGTGATATTCGTACCGCCTCGGGAACGTGAGATGGGCGGATGTACCCCCAGGCTAGGTTATTCTCGTTTTAGTGCAGCGGCTGAAGTCTGAATTTGTTACTTGTCAGTCTTGTCCCAACACTCGAACGCGAAAAGGTGTTTGTGGTGTTGGGCCAACGTCTTGTTTCAGAAGCGGACAGGAGTCCAGGAGCAGATGGTGTAGAATAGGGCACATTTTCTACGGAGTCACGGGGAAGCAGGAAAGCCAAGTGAATAATCCGTGTGTTCTTATTATGGACATTCCTCTCCATCGTCCTGCAATCACAGGACACGAGAAATGCAAGAGCCAGGAGAAGACTGCATGTGTTTGTACCTTGCGCTGACAGTACTGCCACAGTGCCAATCACTCAGCAGAATATGTCGGCCCTTCAGGAGGCAGATGCTGCCAACTGCCACACAGCGTACCGTCGGAACCTCCTAACGGTCTTGCGGCTTCATATTATTACTGTACCGTCTCGGGCATGTCCACCAGTGCACTGTGCGACGCTCACGGCGCGGAGTCAGACCAGAAAGCTGCAGCAAGATGATCACGACGATTGTCTTCCTCTTCGCCGCTAGACAGCACAGTCTACGAGGCGAGCCGCATATATCGACAGATTCGGCAAGCAAGCGAGCAGGACGAAGGCGTCGAAACATCTGCACACACGCACCGCCACCCAATCGAGCGTGCTGAAGATGATATTCCGCCCATTTCGAGCACGCCAACCGCCGCGTCTGTTTGCCCGCTGGTTCGCAGAAATGTTGCACCAGCAGCCATGGTACTTGCTGCCCGATCGGGTTAGAGCGAGGGACCTGCAGCAGAATGGCATTTCGTCCACCTTCCAAGCCGTGGTTCGATCTGGAACACCGCAGAATGAAGTGAATGCCACGCGCCAGACATGCCGCTAATGGCTATGATCTACTTTTGCTCTCAACACTCTACAGAACTGTATACGTCCTCGCTGGCCTCGTTCCTGGGAAATCACGTGTAGTGTCTGCCAATGTCGCCAGGGAGAAGGGGAGAAGGGGCCCCGTTGGTGTGTAAATACAGACAATCTCACCTCCTGCACGCTACCCAACCGCCTACCATCCTATGCGCCCAGGTGAATGAATGATGCGCGAGGGCCATACGCAGCAGCTCGGGCAGACGCGCGAAAGAGGACAAAAGGAAGATGCCAAATTGGCAAGCCTTCGACGCCATGTCTTAGTGTTGATCAAGATATTGCTGCTTCTCACCAAGAATGTCAGGCTGATGGCGATACAGATGGACATGTCACTCCAAGGTGCTGGGTGAAACACATCAAGCTGATCTATCCGTATGAAGCAGTATGCTCGCAAGTCTCACTCATATCGCTTGCATTACCACCGGCTGTGGCCGTGGATCTCTGCAGCCGCAAAGCGCACGCGCGCTTGCACACCATTTGACTCCTATTCTCCTGATCCCAGAGATCCACCAACGTCAGACAATCGCCAGTGCAATACCGTTCAACCAAGAGCGATAGCCTCGTCGCTTCGCAGCTCGCTGAACAGAAGAGTGGTACGGCATCCTTGGTGGTCTCATTGCCTCATTTCGTCAAGGACGACCAACATGTCGCTACCAGTGTGTCGTCAGTCGATCTTGTATCGTCGTGCTCGGCTGAAGAGGAAGCAGTTTGTATAAAGCAAACGCTTTCGACTGCTACTCAACATTTCGTCCTCCAGAACTCTCAGCACATCTGTTTGCCTGCCTGCCTGCCAGCAGCTTCTCCGGTCCTCTGTCCGGCTCCTTTTGATCTTATTTCGTATTTCATCATAATCATTCTCCCCATCAAATCTTAATAATCAGCAGCACGATGTCTTCGGTCGCCAAGTTGGCCCTCTGGGCCGCGGCCGTCAATGCTCTGCCACAGTTTGGCACCACTTCAGCTCCTGGAGCTTCACCAACTGGCATTTTCGTGGTCCCCGAATTCGTCATCCCAGGCTTCACTCAGCCTCCATATGTGACCATTCCCGCCTTCACCGTCCCGGCACGCACTTTCACATTTGGCCCCAGCGGGACGAGTCTGATTGGAAGCAGCGCACCCACAAGCGCTGGTGTCTCGACAGCCCCTTCGAACCCGTTGACTTTCAGCACTGCCTCTCGATCACGATCACGCATCGTGTTGCCCACGATTGTGCCCGTGGGAAGCAGCGCAGTAACCTCGTCTTCGGGAACGACCACCCTCTCAACCAGCTCGTCCGTCTCGAGCAGCTCTACCATCCCAACCAGCTCCTCCGTCTCGAGCAGCTCTGTCATCTCAAGCAGCTCTGCTATCTCAAGCAGCTCTTCTACATCAGACAGCACTACTTCCTCCAGCAGCTCTATCATCTCAAGCAGCTCCACAATCCCCAGTAGCTCTACTATCTCTAGCAGCTCTTCAGGCAGCTCTACAATCTTGGTTCCTACCACAGACTCCAGCGGACTCCCTAGCACCTCCACGGCTGTTATAGACCCTACCGCTATCTCTAGCACAGGCAGCTCTACAGTCTCCGGCAGCTCTACAATCTCAGGCAGCTCTACCGTCTCTGGCAGCTCTACTGTCTCCGGCAGCTCGACACTCTCCATCAGCTCCACCGTCTCAGGCAGCTCCACGCTCTCCGGTAGCTCTACCATCTCAGGCAGCTCTACACTCTCCTCCAGTTCTACAACCTTGATCACGACCACAGACTCCAGCGGACTCCCTAGCACCTCCACGGCTGTTATAGACCCTACCGCTATCTCTAGCACAGGCAGCTCTACAGTCTCTGGCAGCTCTACAGTCTCTGGCAGCTCTACCGTCTCTGGCAGCTCTACCGTCTCAGGCAGCTCCACAATCTCCTCCAGCTCCACAACCTTGATCACAACCACAGACTCCAGCGGGCTCCCTAGCACTTCTACGGCAGTTATAGACCCTACCGCTATCTCTAGTACCGGCAGCTCTACTGTCTCTGGCAGCTCCACAGTCTCAGGCACATCTAGCTCTGGCAGCTCTTCCGTGGCAAGCAGCTCTACGACGCTCACAACCACCGATGCTTCTGGATCGCTTACTACATCTACCTCTGCCGTGAGCCCTACCTCCTCCGCTACGTCGTCGGGCTCGAGTACGATCACCACGACCGATGCTTCGGGATCGCTTACTACCTCCACCTCTGCCGTGAGCCCTACCTCCTCCGCTGCTTCGTCGGGCTCGAGTACGATCACCACGACCGATGCTTCTGGATCGCTTACTACATCCACCTCTGCCGTGAGCCCTACCTCCTCCGCTGCTTCGTCGAGCTCTAGTACAATTACGACGACCGACGCTTCGGGATCGCTTACTACCTCCACCTCTGCTGTGAGCCCTACCTCCTCCGCAACGTCGTCTGGCTCGACTACGATCACCACGACCGATGCTTCGGGATCGCTTACTACCTCCACCTCTGCCGTGAGCCCTACCTCCTCCGCTGCTTCGTCGGGTTCGAGTACGATCACCACGACCGATGCTTCGGGATCGCTTACTACCTCCACCTCTGCCGTGAGCCCTACCTCCTCCGCTACGTCGTCGGGCTCGAGTACGATTACCACGTCCGATGCTTCGGGATCGCTTACTACCTCCACCTCTGCCGTGAGCCCTACCTCCTCCGCTGCTTCGTCGGGCTCGAGTACGATCACTACGACCGATGCTTCGGGATCGCTTACTACCTCCACCTCTGCCGTGAGCCCTACCTCCTCCGCTACGTCGTCGGGCTCGAGTACGATCACCACGACCGATGCTTCGGGATCGCTTACTACCTCTACCTCTGCCGTGAGCCCTACCTCCTCCGCGGCTTCGTCGAGCTCTAGTACAATTACGACAACCGATGCTTCTGGATCGACTACTACTACCACTGTACGCAATTGAGATCTCTCTGTAGCGCGAAGCGATTCTTACTTATGTATTTTCTAGTCTGCCGTGAGCCCTACCTCCTCAGCCACTTCGTCTAGCTCGAGTACGATTACGACGACCGATGCTTCTGGATCGACTACTACCACTACTGTACGCGGTCGCCATCCACTTGCAGCGCGAGGCGACATTTGCTAATCTAATCCCTAGTCTGCTGTGAGCCCTACTTCTTCGGCCGTTTCGTCTAGCTCGACTACGATTACGACTACTGACGCCGCGGGATCGACCACTACCACTACTGTGCGTATGCCAGAGTCGCTACTATATAAGACGACCTGCTAATCTAGTGTCTAGTCGGCCGCGAGCTCTTCCTCCCCGGCCAGTTCGACTACGGTAACGACTACTGACGCCGCGGGATCGACCACTACCACTACTGTGCGTATGCCAGAGTCGCTACTATATAAGACGACCTGCTAATCTAGTGTCTAGTCTGCCGCGAGCTCTTCCTCTCCGGCCAGTTCGACGACAGTCACTACTACTGATGCCGCGGGATCGACCACTACGACAACAGTACGTGATTGCAAACATAAGGGCGATTCCTGTAATACTAACATTATATCTAGTCTGCCGTGAGCTCTTCGTCTCCGGCTAGTTCGACGACAGTCACGACTACTGATGCCGCCGGATCGACCACTACGACAACTGTACGTGATTGCAAACATAATGGCGATTCTTATAATACTAACATTATATCTAGTCTGCCGTGAGCTCTTCGTCTCCGGCCAGTTCGACGACAGTCACGACTACTGATGCCGCCGGATCGACCACCACGACCACTGTAAGTAGATCCAGATTCGAATCCATCAGCTGCAGATGCGAGGATAAAGCTTTATACTAACGACCTTTCTAGTCTGCCGTGAGCTCTTCCTCTCCGGCTAGTTCGACGACAGTTACTACTACCGATGCCGCGGGATCGACGACTACGACCACTGTAAGTAGATCCAGATTCGAATCCACCAGCCGCAGATGCGAGGATAAAGCTTTATGCTAATGACCTTTCTAGTCTGCCGTAACCTCTTCGTCTCCGGCTAGTTCGACGACAGTCACGACTACCGATGCCGCAGGATCCACCACCACGACCACTGTACGTTAATCGATAGCTTGCTTTGCACTACGCGATTGCGATACTAATCGAAAAAATCTTCTAGTCTGCTGCGACCTCTACAACCACCGCTTAAACAACGATTTGGTTACTAGGGAAAGGAAGAAGAAGAAGAAGAGGGAAAAGAGAGTAGTGACACACTCACTGTTTAGCCATTTTTCTTTCCTTCCTTTCTTGTAGCAAAAGGAGGGACTTTTTTGTGTTGTGTTGTAAATATGGACAGACAGACAAAGACACAGACAGAGACAGACAGAGACAGAAAGACAGGCAGAACAGAGACATAAGGACCGAATGATCAACAAGAAGAAGAAGAAATGTACATCTAATCATCGCAACGTTCATTTTGCAAAGGAGATCTATTCCGTCCATCCATCTCAGCCGTTTCCCCTTCCTTCTCATTTCCCTTCCCTTTCTATTTAATCCTCCTCTCCCACTCCCCTCCCTCCCCCCCCCTCTCCTCCTC